TTTTTATAATTCACTGAAACTGCTGGGACCCTTTTTTGAAGGCTACATGCACAAATTAACCAGACGTACTTGATGTCTGAATATATGACCATAAACTAATATTTACTTCACAATCTGGTATGTATATATATATGTTCCTTTGACCTAAATGATGCCTCCACTTTTGTTAAATACTCTAATCATCAGTAATCAACAGTAATTGTCAGTGATTAAGTAGGTTTTGGGGTGATAGTATTGGCAGTGATTGAAACATACTTGGAATTCATACTATATTCTATCTGCGAGTGTATATCTATGTAATTGAAACATAATGCCTGCATATGCAGATGCAGTCGTAGATAATTTTGAATCTATATAAGAATAATCAAGAGTTTTTCTAGTTGTATGCAGAACGAGTTATCTTAGATTGATTCATAAGAAACTTAATTAGTGAGAGAAAACATCAACTTATTAAAATCAACATTTTAATAGAGGAGGTCTCGTATTCAACTTACATAGATGCAAAAACGATATATGTAATTTTGATTAGTCTCATTGTCATGACATATATAAATCTTGTTGTGAGTGTGTTGACTCCTTTATAAAAGTATCCTTCCACATACATATGTATCTCCTTGTTTTGTCGAAAAAACCATTCAATTTAATTTGCATCCCGATAGAAAAATGGCAGTTCAAATTGGACCTATAAGGAAACGTGTACACACCTACACCCTTCTTTTTTGGTTTTGGTGTACATGCAGCAGTACTGCCCCACACTTGCTAAAGAAAATCACAATAATTTTTCGGAACGACAGATCTTAAAAGCATATAAATCAAAGTTAACTCTAAAGCTTATATCAACGAGAACCAAGCTATCACTTATCGGAAAATAAAAACAAGAACCAAGCAATCACATTTTATCTAACTTATCTATATTGACTGAGGTTGGGGAAGAAAGGTACCACACGGTGGCTTTGTCTTCTGAGAATAAATCAAGGAGATTTTTATTAAGTTGTGTACAAAGCAGCAGGACCACGTTTGAGCCTGAACCATGATCATGCTTGGCGAAAGGACAATTTGGATTTCTACCATTTGATCATAGAGGCCTTTTTTGTTTTGTTTTTTGTTTAAAGGTGATAGAGGCCTTTCTAGATGCCTTTAAATTCATCATGTTGTGCTCTCCTTTTCTCAAATTTCAAATTGGAATCTCCCTCTTTCCGATGATTAAAAAGAAAAAACATCTAAATCCAGCATTAATTACACAATTATTTATTGATTTGATTTCTTAAAAAGATTTTCGTCTTAATTTTGAGGAACCAAGCTATCCTCTTTTTCTAATGGAAAACAACACAACCTCTCTAATTCAAATTGTGACATATCTTTTCTTGTCCTTTTTGCTAACTAGTATCTCTGCACATGCACACGTTTACTTTTATTGGAAATAAATAATAATTAATTGAAAACTTTTTAGTTCATTAGTGCTTCAGATTGATTCTGATCTTAATTTCTTATCAACTAGTTATCACATTTTTTTGTTTTTTTTGTTTTTCAATATAAATGATAGGACTCTAAAGTACAAAATGGAGGGGGTTTCTCACATGCATACATTATCAAAATGACATAAAGGTTCGAACTTGAAATAACTGGTATGCAAGTTAAGACCTCTTTCTATTGGGGCTAAAAGTTCATTGGCCTGGAACGAAACATCTTTTTAAAATATATATATATATATATATATACATATATAAGTTGATATAGATTCAAATTTCCATTGAGAAGTTGGGTTTAATCATCGGATTTGGTAACTTTAATACAAGTCTTTTGACTTTTGCACCACATAGGATTACATTCATTTTTTAATATTTTATGATGTAATATTTTTCTTTTTCTTTTCTTCAAATCATTTTTTATTCCAATGTTGCCCCTTATGCCTTGAATCGGATAATAATAATTAGCCATTCACGACATTTGTCATTGAATATAAAATGTAAATATCTCGAACATATCCTAAAAATCACGTTACAAAATAGTCTCCTTTGAATAGGGAGATAAATTATCCTATGGTGTAAGGTCCTATTGCCTATTGCATAAGTATATATGTTTTTTTAAATATTTTCTACAAAGTGTAAAAGTATTTTATGTATCTTTTTTTATAGGTAACATACAGTTTTATTTGTCTATTTTTGTATCTCACTTATAGGTAGTAATATATTTATGTTCCTAACTAAGTACTATTCTAATTTATGTTCCTAACTTATAGGTAACACAACTTATCACTAAGTTTTTTTCGTTGCTAATAATAACACTATTTACCTCTATGTCAGGTACATCATTTCATGTGGGTACTTGTGATTGGTATAATATGTGGACCTTTACATTTCATTGATTAAATTATATTTTATTCATATATTAGGTAACTATTATTAAGGAAATAATTCAAAATTTAAATTATGAAATTCAATTACAAGGAAATAATGCATCAAATTTAGATTTTCAATGTGTTCTCCTTATTTACCTCAAAGGGTAAAATCGACACAACAAAAAAGCAATAAATGTCAAAGAACCTATATCTAAAACTAAAAACTTATGGACTAAACCCAATAACAACTAACCGTTTTGGATCTAGATCTAAGAAGCCCAAATTATAATACAAGTGATAGTCTAAACTACAAGTGGGAGAGGGTTTCTCACACACACTACTAAGGTGTTATGGGAGTTCAAACTTGAGACCAGTGATTTGTAAATCAATGTCATTTTCCACTAGTCTACAACCAAACATCTTTGATCACACTCAAGTAGGTCAACTGTAGAAATTAGGTCACATATCTCCTAATTACTATACACAACTTGTGATCACACTCCCCTAAAATTGGTGCAAAGATATCTCACATGTCTAACTTGTCACGCGAATTCTAAACCACTTTACTAAATACGGCTTTAAAAAAGTACATATAGCATTATTCACTAACAAATGCTTATTTATAGTGAAACTCTTGCAACGTATATAATAGTTTTTTATTTATTTTTTATTTTTTATAACAATAACTTAACATTCAAGACCTTTCAAATGACCTACTAGTGTATTGGTTTGGAGCAATTGCTCCCCTCTTCTCCCTCCCTCCGGGCCAAGGTCGTGGGTTCAAATCTTAGCATCCGTGTAGTGTGTGTGAGTCAAAGACTGAGCCACAATGGGTTCACTAGGGTCAAACGACCTTATGGAAGCCATGAAAATAGGCTTGGAGGTCTACCTAAACCGGCGATGCGACCCTATGGACTACATTCCAATTGCTTGATGTTTTGCCTAAGTAAGAAGAAGGAGATGCGCCTAAGGAAGAAGAAGCGTACTGCGCTTTTTTTTTCTTTTTCTTTTTCAAACTCCTTAAGCAAAACGACGTCGTTTTGAGCCAAGTCATTTTATAAAATAAAAAGAAATGAAAGTTTTCCTTCACCTTTCCCCCCACCCCTCAAAGCCCATCCGATAATCACCCCCCCCAAAACCCCCCAATTTCTATTATTCTCTCTTCAAACCCTAACCCCAACCTCCCTAATCCCCACTTGCTATAGTGCCGCTGATGTGTTGCCATTGTCGTTGTCCTCCAACTATTATTGCACCACTATGATTGTTTTTTGGTTAATTGATATAGGTTTGGTTTGAAATGTTACAATTTGAAATCACTCAAAAACATAAATATATATATATAATAAAAAATAAAAGAACAGATTGAATTCATTCAAGTATATTTGTCTAAGAAATGAATAACATTTGAAAGAGAAAAAATAGATTAAAAATAATAATAACCCTCTCTTAAATTTTCTTTGGAACATTTACACCATGACCAGATGGGGTCCGGATTCTAAATTCATTACTAGTGTGAGTTTAATATATTATCACTTATCTCAATAAGAAATGTACTAAAATATATACATCAAAATGTGTTCCACCACTTCCATGATAGGAACTGCTTGTAAGGCTTGCTTGCGTGGACCTACCAACTCTAAAAGTTAAAAATACAGAGAACTGGAATTTGAGTCTGAGTGTGTGTGAGAAGTACACCCACATTTTAACTATCCGACACCGAGGTAAATGGATGTGAAATTTACACTCAATGATTAAGAGATCAAAAGATTGAGAAAATAAAAAGAATCGTTAAAAAAAAAAAGTTTCAGAAGATCCAGGAGAAATCGTCTGATCGATTGATAATTTTTGCCAAAGGAAAGGAAGGTTTTCTTTGACACGTATTGACAATTGTTAATTGCTCGTAGAGTGATGTGGTTTTGATCTTACACTGATATTCTGTTTAAAGTATGTTTTGTTTTGAGCGAGCGTTGTCACAATATAATAAATGTCATGATTATCGTCTTTAATTAGGATTTAATTATTTAAAACAGAGGGAGAACAAAGCTTAAACATTTACTGTCTAGTCAAAATATAATATGAACGATAAATATTATGTTACGTTTTAATTAATCTAATAAAATATTATCGTTCGTTTGATTAAAAAAAAATTACGTGTTATGTTTTAACAAGATGTCATATAGAAGCGCAGTCCTAATCCAAATTTCCCTAATGGACGTGACTACGTTCGTTTTATCAATGCTTTAGATGGCAACAAAATAAAAGGAATATTTCCTAGTGTATATCCCTTATGGTAACTCTAATTCGTAACTCTAATTCATAAAATAAATTTGATTCAGGTCACCTTAGGTCTGCTGCCCCAGTTGATCCATGTGACTCTAGATGTGTCGTATCACTCATGTCATGTGTGCTCTTCTATTAAACGACAATTCACTCTCTCTCCTCTCTGTCTCCATCTCTCTCTCATGTTATATATAACGCTATTTAAGCCTCTAGGAACACATTGGTTCTCTCTCTCTCACGCATTGTTTTGTTGGAAAATAGAAAATAACGTATCTGGGCGTCCAGCGAAGCCAAGCAAAAACAGAACCTTGCAGTTATATCTTCTTCTAAATAAGTGCTTGGTGTTTCTGCTAGAAGCGAAAAACCAACCAACCACTGTTCGATGGCCACAAGAGGCTTAGTTTTCTATCTCCTATCAAGTTTTTCGGTGGCTATTCTCTCTGCGTTCTTCATCACGCAGTACCAGAATGGTTACGACTCTCCCCTTCAATCCCGTCTCTCTCTCTCTCTCAATTCCAATCTTTCTTCCCACCTCTCCAGCACAGACAAAACCTGGCCCGTATGTCTCCTTCTCTCTCTTTTTTCTCTGGTTTTGTGTGTGTGTGTGTGTGTCTGTGTCTCTCTCTCTCTCTCTCTCTCTCTCTCTCTCTCTCTCTCTCTTCATACATGCATATATTTATGTTATGTTTATAAGGAAATTACAAAGTGTTGCTTAAAGTGTGATGGGCTTTGTTCATTTTTTTTAATGCAGGAATTGAAGTTTAGTTGGAGACTTGTTTTGGCGACAGTGATTGGTTTTCTGGGATCAGCATGTGGGACAGTAGGAGGTGTAGGAGGGGGTGGAATATTTGTTCCTATGCTTACTTTAATTGTTGGATTTGATACAAAGTCTGCTGCAGCTCTTTCTAAATGTAATTTCATTTCTCTACACATCTTCTTCCTCCATTCTTTTGATTTATTTCAACTTTCAAAGACTGCCTTTTTCTTCTGGTTTTCATTGAGTTCATGATGTCAGAAATTTTATTTAACACATATAAAAAGAACCTATATATAATCTAACATAAAATCTATTATATGTATGGCCAGAAAATTTAATTTAAAAAAAGTCACATGTTCTAATATCCAAAAGGGTAGCCAGAGCAATGATGTCTTTCTGTCTCCCACTTGTGTCTTCCCCAGATTCTGAATTTTGCCCCTACACTTTTGTGCTTGATTGGCTTAGATACGTATCTCTTACTTTATTGAGTAAATGTTATTTCTTTTTTTCTGTTTTGTACTTTTATAGTTACTGAATTTAATTTGGATGTGCATGTTGACTTGGTTACAGGTATGATAATGGGGGCATCTGCATCATCAGTCTGGTACAATTTGAGAGTGCCTCATCCAACAAAAGAAGTGCCAATTATAGACTATGATCTGGCCCTTCTCTTTCAGCCCATGCTCATGCTTGGCATCACCTTGGGTGTGGCTCTCAGTGTTGTCTTCCCCTACTGGCTCATCACTGTCCTCATCATTATACTCTTCTTGGGTCTGTAGAATCACAGTCAACATGTATCTTATCCAACCCAATTTCATATTTTATTTAAAAAATTTGTTAATTTCAATTTTTTTCCTTTTTGTTTGTTAAATTGTATCAGGAACTTCATCAAGGTCTTGTTTTAAAGGGTTTGAGATGTGGAAGGAAGAGACTATCATGAAGGTCAGACATTTTTGACTGGTATTAATTATGCATTATGTAGAATATTTGAAGATTATTATCAAAGTTAACTGATTACATGATGAATAAATTTCTGAAAATTTTGCAGAAAGAATTTGCAAGGCAGCAAGAAACTGTAGTGGACTCTAGGGGTGAACGTACGACACAAGTACATCTGTGTGACTTTGTGTGCGTGTGTGTGTGTATTTCCTTCTGTTCCTGAAATTCAATATACTGTTTTGTTTTGTTTTTTTTTGGGTAAGGTGCAGTTCTAATTGAGTACGAGCCATTACTTCCTAGAGAAGAGAAATCAATAATGGTAAGCAAAAGCTGGCATATAAAGTTCTATGATGTGTTAATTATCTTCTCATGCATGGTGAAGGGGCTGAAAACTTTCCATTTTTTTTTTCAGCAAATATTAAAGTTCAACCTTAGGTGGAAAAGGGTTGTGGTGCTGGTAGTAGTTTGGGTTCTTTTCCTAGTTCTTCAAGTCCTCAAGGCAAGTGGCTCTCTCTCTCTCTCTCTCTCTCTCTCTCTCCTCTCTCTCTCTCTCTCCCTGATTGCCTACTTTTGATACTTTAAAATTGAGTGCAGAATGATGTAAATGCTTGCAGTGCATGGTATTGGGTCTTCTTCTGCTTACAGGTAGGCATACTAGTACAACTAGATAAGTGGGACAACTTGTTCCTTAGCTCTATTGTCCTATTGTTCTGTGGGGACAGGCTTTTTCACCCTTTTGTTCTGTTTCTCCAGTTTCCCATTGCACTTGGAGTGTTTGGGTATGAATCAGTCAAGCTGTGCAAGGAGCACAAGAAGAGAATGAGCACAGGAAACACCGAATCAATTTGCGAGGCTTCGATCGCATGGACTCCTATTCACATAGCGTTCTGTGCACTCTGTGGTATCTTGGGAGGCACTGTTGGCGGCTTGCTTGGATCCGGTGGAGGATTTATTCTTGGCCCTCTCCTTCTTGAGATAGGCGTTATCCCTCAGGTGTGAACCTACCTTCATGAAACTACAAGTAAAGTTTCTTAAAAAATCTAAGCTGGAGTAACCATCTTGCTGCTACCATGAACAGGTTGCAAGTGCAACAGCTACATTCGTGATGACATTCTCTGCGTCCTTATCGGTGGTGGAGTTCTACCTGCTCAAGAGGTTTCCTATTCCATATGGTATAGCTTTCCTTTCTGGTCTCCTTTTCTAATTCAGTTAGCAGCCTATTTATGATACATTTCATTTGATGATCACAAGAAATTAATTTTTTTTCTTCTTCCAATGTGAATTCCTTTTGCAGCTTTATACCTCACAAGTGTGTCTGTCTTGGCTGGCTTCTGGGGACAGTGCCTTGTAAGAAAAGTAGTTACAATTCTCAAGAGAGCATCAATCATCGTGTTCATCCTCTCTGGTGTCATCTTTGCTAGCGCTATTACAATGGGTAAAACAAACTTTTTTTTAATCCTGAAATCATGTTCCCAGTTACTCGAAAACGAAGTTTTATCATCCGTGTCTTGGTTTCTTATTTCTGAGGATTTTTTTTTTCAGGTGTGATCGGCATAGAAACGAGCATCCAAATGATACAAAATCAAGAATTCATGGGATTCTTAGACTTCTGTAGCAGTCAGTGATCGCTGGCAACAATACAGAACGATAGCAAAAAGATGGAAGGTTCCAATAAAATGCAATGGGAAAGTTTGCAATTGGAAGTTTGTATATTATGAAGATCATTAGGAACTGTTGGCCAACAGCTAGTTGACCAACCCCAGTCAACACCGTTGTGAAAAAAAAAAAAACAAGTGTGCTTTGTGTCTCTGGTGGCTTGCTTGTTAGCTCCTGGCTAACACATGAACCACTTGTGGTGCTTTGTCTCTGGTTTAGGTTTGGTTCTGCTCGTTAGCTCCTGGCTAACACATGAACCAAAGTGTGGCCTTGTCTCTGGTTTAGATTAAGTTGCTTGTTAGCTACTGGCTAACAACTCATGAAATAAGTGTGCATTTATGTAGGGTTATGGGTGCATGTTAGCTACTGGCTAACACCATCATCAACCGACCTCGTGTAGTGTTTACAGAATTTGGATTCTTCTCATCTATTATTCCATATAATGTTGGTTTGATTCTTAATTTTTATAGCATTGGAAAGTTGCTGAATGATTTTCAAAATTGATAATTTGGGTTCTTCGGGGCTAAAATTTGATGTTGGTTGCTTGGTTCTTAGTTGCCTCGAGAAGACCTCCTCCCAATTGTTTACACTACAAAGTTCAAGAAAATCAATAATTTCCCATATAATATTATGGCTTTGGCTGCCGTGCTGCATAAATTGACTGTATCTGCAACTTTGACCGCAAAAGTGCTTCTGTCTCTGTAAGTGGAATTTCTTTTCTTGGGAGGATCATCATGATCAAGAGCACATGTGGCCAATATTTGAACATCTGTTGCCTTGTGCATGGTTTTGAGCTTTTTGTTTTTGTATCACATCACATGGGATACTGGGGGGTTAGAATGTTTTGCACGAATTGAGAGAGAGAGAGAGAGAGACTCCCACCACCCCCAACAACACATGGAGACCAACATTTAGTTTTGTATTTCAAGTGTTTGTGATTGATTGTGTGGCAAAGAAGAATAGAATGTTTTGCACGGCAAGAATCCCCCACCAGCCCACATGGAGACCCCAACATTACGTGACCGATATCTATATATGTAGTTAACTGTCGACCGCCATGATTTTTGTAGTCATGTCTGTTTGATTTGGCCGATAATAATCTGAAAACGAGTGTTCAAATTATGGTAGTCTTAAAATCTACTTTGTATTCTCAAAAGGTTTATAATTTCAAGTGCGCATAAATTTTATTCAGTTTGTAGTGCATATGACTAAGAGATGAGCGCCAAAATCGTTATCCTCTCGGAATATAATTTGTTAAACCATCGAAATTTTACTAATTTGTATTAGCACATTTTCTGACGGGTTCTCCGATTTCGAATCTTAACAATAAAAGGAAGGAGGCCTCAAAAATAAAAATAAAAAGAACATTATGGGATTTAGTGTTTCAAGAGTCCCAGTATCACGATTGGCGTTCAGTACATGAATCACATTGAAATGAACATTTTCACAGACGTGCTGGTTGTAGGAGAAGTGTACAGTGTTTGCCAATTGCGCTTGAAAGAAGGCTCACTTGTAACCGGTGCATCAAACTTCCTTATGCTGAAGTTTGCCAGCATTAGAAGCAATCCCGAAAAATAAATTTGTAAGTCAAGCCAATCGAAGCAATCTCACAGCCCAACAAGAAAACTGATGACAAGGCATATTCCGTAGACAAAAATTATCCTAGGATTCTACCTGGATGAACTACTTACGGCTGCCTTGGAGGGTTTACTACTAGATGGGAGATCTTTGACAGGTTTAGAATCGGAATTAATGGCAATATTTTCCACTCCAGCCTCCATTGCCTCCCTCTCATCTTTTTCCCTCTTGTTCTTTTCAGTCGTGTCATGGTCCACGCCTTGTTTCTTATCAGAAGCTATAGATGGTTCCAATAATCGAGGACCTGCATTAATCCATGGATGAAGAAGGCATTGTGCAGCAGTAGGCCGTTTCTCAGGGACAAAGTCAAGGATGGGAACAAGGAAGTCTGTTAAGTCACTTGCATCTTGCTCGCTGAATTCATACTTTTCTACGAGAACCTTATTCAGGGGCCAAAAACGCAAGCGACGGATGTGCCTCAAATCACCATATCTATTAAAGTAATCTCGGGAATATCGACCACCTAAAGCAATCTGGAAAATAGGTGCCCGGAATTTAAGTTGGATGAAGTTCAGTTTAATTTTAATTGTAGGGTTTGCAGATTTCTCACCTTCCGTGGCATCATTCCAAGAAGCTCCATCATCAATGCTAAGTGGTCCTGCAATATATCAATATAAGATTTACTTCAGTAATTTTAAAAATAGAAAATAATAAAAACTTCCCAGGTTTAAATGCTTGAGATGATTGAAAGAAGTCAATTTCAAAGCATCATTCCGTCAACTTACATGCTTCAGGACTCACACTAAACCAAAGCATTTAAAGAAAATTATTAAAATGAACAGCACAACTATTCTGATCTATCAATATTAGGCAGCATACTGAAGAACTATTATGGTCAGTCCTTCTAGTGGAGATAATACTAATATATTCATAAGTAGAGATGCTAAAGCACCACTAATAGCACACTTCCTATGGTTATTCCCAATTATGCCAATAGGAAGTCATTGATATAGTAATCAACGGGTGTCTGATTAGGTGAACAGTTGATTTCTGTATTGATCTCAGCCCTTCTGAAAAAGTTCAAACCCATACAGCAGGACAAAGATAATAGCGGGAAGAGTACTAAGACCAAGTGAGATTTACTTAAGTGGTGACACAGGACATGCTCGGCTGAGGTAAAAAGTTCGGTCCTCATAGCGGTTTGCAAATATCTTATGGGAATAGTACAACTCTCTTTGTCCAGCAAAATAATATTACAACTAACACTTCAGTCATATAAGCTTTTCAGCTAAATTTTTTAATTTTAGAGCTATCTCTTTGTGTACTAAAAACATTCTGCTTTCGAAAGATTATATCGATGTAATGGACCACAAAACATGTTGCTAATATCTCCTTGCTCCAAAAGGTGCAATGTCACAAAACATGATCATTTGAGTATTTTATTCTTGCCAACTGCATCAGTAGCTTCCTATTAACTGCAATGTTAAACCATTACCAGCTGTTTACAATATAATAAAATGCATTTATTTGAACACACGAGCAGGTGGGCAGTGGTAGTGAAATTGACTTGTCTTTTATAGACATGAAGATTGTATTAGATGTCTTAATGGAATTGACATCATATGAAACTTTCATTGTGTGAGTGAAATAGGTAGACTGTTACCAAAGGGTAAAACTAATGTGGATTCGAGAGTACCATATGCAATAAAGAAAGCAACACAACCGAAGTATAGTTTTATACATCCATACCTCATCCCTGTCAAAGTTGTCGCCACTGTGGGGATCAAAGAGTACATCACCAGTTGCAAGCTCGAAACAAATACACGCAAAAGACCAGAGATCTGCTGAGGTAGAATACTTTGAGCCGAGGATCACCTCTGGACACCTATACTGTCTTGTTTGGATATCGTTTGTGAACTGTTTGTAAGTCCAACATGCATTCCCAAAGTCAACCAATTTGCACTTCAGGTCAATTGATGCCAACAAATTCTGCCTTGTTGTGCGATTCCCTCTCTTACTACCCTGACTTCCTGGGCGAGTGCCCTTTGGTCCATCAGCATCTGATGATCTACTCATACTGACAGAACTAGTAGCCTGATCTTCACCGGAATGCACATTCAATTTTGTATTAGGAGATGACCCTACTTCGGTGGATGTTTCTAGATCAGCATCAGCTTCGTCTCTATCCGCACATCCTTGAGCCGCTCGTTTAGCCTTTCTTCTAATCTTTTTCTTCTGGTTCCTACTCAAATCCCCATTCAATGCCTTTGCAAACCCCGACTCCGATGCATCCTTGTCCTTACTGCTTGAAAGAATAAGAGGCGCGCTTGACTTTCTCGGATCCTTGAAAGGGTCTATCGTTGACAACAACAATATGTTCTCCGGCTTCAAATCAGTGTGTATAATCGAGAGCTGTCTATGCAAGTAATCCAATCCAACCAAAACATGATAACAAATCTCCTTAACCATATGGAGTGGCACCCCGCGGTAATCACTATACTTAATAAGTGTCAACAGATTATCACCCAAGTACTCAAAAACCATACAAACATGTTGTCCATTCGGACCCGAATGCTTAAAATGGTCCAGAAGCTTCACTACACATTTTTTATCATCTGTGTCCCCCTCTGCAATCTGTTTCAAGATGGTTATCTCATCCATTGCCGCCTCAGTGTAGTGGTCAGCACTCTTTTGCACTTTCAGAGCAACATAACGCTGGATTTTGTAAAATTGGCAGCCACCCAAAAAAAACAACACATTTTTATTAATCCTCCATTGAGTAACTTAAAAGTTAAAACTAAACATGTGAAAAATTAAAGAAACCAAATATGATGTTCTATGTTTTGCATTAACCAATATGGTGGATTAAAAATTTGATTAAAAGTTTCCATTCCTTTTCTTACATTTTCAAACTCATCATACAATGATACAACAGCAGATCAAAAAACGCAATAAAAACGAAGTATCAGCAAAGAAAAAAGAGAAGAGAGGGTGAGATAAGTACAGAGTGGTGGGTGTCCCAAGCGAGCCAGACGGTGGAGAAATGGCCCCAACCGAGCTTGGTCTGAACGACATACCGTCCGCTCTTGAAAGTGTCGCCGATTCGAACAGCGTGGTAGCCTCCTCGCCTGTAGTCTTCGGTGCCTTCGTCCTCCGACGTGTAGTCGCTGCTCTGGCTCCGATCGTCGTCCTGATTATCCCCCATCCTCCTCTTCTTCCCCAACAGATCCACTTCAAAATCCGATCTTTCTAGGGTTTTCGGGTTCCCAATTGGAAATTGTGATTTGGGTATTGGTGAAATTTGAAATATATTTATTTATATATAAAAAAGGCGTTGTCTTGGTTACTGAGTCAAGAAGATAGCCTGAGAAACTGAGAAGCAAAGAAATATATGTATTTGTTAGTCATCTTCTTTCACAGTTTTGTCTTGGAGTGGTGGGGTTGGGGGGTTTACAAGTAAAAACCAAGAAAAATATGAAAATGGGTTTTGGATATCTTCTTCCTCATCTTCTTGAGGTTCAGTGAGGTGTCATCATCCTCCTCCTCATTATTAACAAGCTAATGATCCATCTCACTCATCTGTGCTGTGCTACCTTTTTTTTCTTTTTCTTTTTTCATAAATATAAAATGAAAAACTAATGATCATATCAAGTTCTCTTTCAAATATCCTGAATAGTAACTGGACAAAAAAAAGGATTTTTAATATCCTATCTCAAGTATAGAAGTCAATTCCAAGTTTCCAACCAACTCTAGAGCATATTGCATTATTTGGCTGTATGTAACATTTAGTATAGTTACAGATTGACCTTCTCTAATAATATATACAAATTGACAAACATAATATATATAAGAACTAACTCAAGGTATAGTGACTGTTATATACCACCCTAAACAAAGGCATTACCATGTCTATGCCAACCCTAAAGCACCACCAACCCTTTAAAATTACATAGTTATCACAAGCTAATGATTTATTACTAGATATATTTGGGATATTATGTTTCCAAATGTTGAATTTAAATCATATATATAAATAAAACTCCACCTAATTAGTAGTTCATTTTTTTTTATACAAACGATATTAGAGGGGGAACTGAACATAGGATCTTACGTGTATGGGTAAATATTCTTAATCACTTGAGATACAAACTCCTTACACAGTAACTATAATAACGTAACGTACCACATACATAAAAATATAATATATAAATCTTGAGCTAAGTTTGGATTGGTGTTTTTTCTTTTATGGATTCAAGATAAGAAAATATTTTTGCTTACCACTTTAACTTAAGATATACCATCATCATCATTTTAGCACTTGACACGTGTCTATTGACATAACCATAGTTAACTCTTTACTTTGAATTTACGGAACCATAGTTGTATCAATAGACACATGTCAAGTATTAAGTAGTGTGGTGAAAGTACATCTTTGTTAAAGTGATGAGCAAAAATGCTCCCTTCAAGATAATTGAGTGGAGTTGAGATGAGTACTGAGGTGTAAAATTATTCTATACCTTTTCCATTTCTTTTATATCAATTACAAACTTACTATTTTTAGACAATTATGGTTACTGAATTTAGGTAAAGGAAACTATACTTGATGTGACAAGCCCAAATGTTTTGGTGGCCCATCTCGAACATTGGACTGGGGAAATGTAATCTAAAGTCCTGGGCCGAAAATACACCAAAAATGGAACGGGTCCAATATAAGTGGCATTTTCGTGGTTTTTCATCGGATATGAGGGTTATTTATTAAGAAGCCCAATATACATACCCGCGTCATAAGCATTCAGCTTCTAGGGTTTCCGCTACAACAACAAGAGCAGCAGTCGACAACAGCAGGAGCAGGAGGCAGCAGCCATGGTTCTCAAGTATGCCTCTTTCTCTCTCTCCCTCTCTCCCTCTCTACATGTCTCGTTGAGATCTGATGCTGAAATGGTTTCATTATCGTTCTCAATTTTCCGATTAAGAATCCTCTTTGTCGATGCAATCGTTTTCGTTTTCCTTTTTTTAATTTATAAAATTGGCTTCTGTTTTCTAATATGCCATTTTGGCGTGCTTGGGTGATAAACTGTTTCCCTGCTCTGATTTGTGTGTATATGCTTTTCTGGGTGAAAATTGCTTTTTGTTAATTAAAAATGTATGTGCAATATTGCTAGAAACATGATGGGTAGAGTTTGTTAATAATTGATGAAAACCCAACAATAAGTTCTGAGTTTTGACTAATTAAATCTGTGTAAGAGTATAGTATTTGTAGCTACTGTTTATATGAAGATACGGTAATCGTGTTGAAATGGTTGTCATTTCATGGTTCACACGAGTTACGGATAGTTATAGCATCTAGTCTCTTGAAGATGGTAATACTTTCTAGATGTCTTGGATTGAATCTATGTGGAACATTCATTATGTTAAGTCTTCTTTCTTGTTGTAGTTATGTAGAAAAATCAATCGTAGGTTAGGTCATTATGTGAATGGTTTAGGTTTTCAGGTTGAGGGGTCCCTCTACCCTCTCTTGGCTACCTTTGTGGTTCTGTTTGATAGCATAAATCTGTTTCAATTGATCATTTATAGTACGAGTATTGTGGGTTGCTTATAAAAAAAAGGTTTTTGGCTTGTCAGGACCGAACTCTGTCGTTTTAGCGGGGCCAAGATTTACCCAGGAAAGGGCATCAGATTTATTCGTTCTGATTCTCAGGTAAACTGTAAAATCAAACATTTGTTTTAAGTTCCGTCATCTCAGTTTATATGATTAAATTGTTTTGCTGAAAAGACTTTGTATCTTGTCTTGTAAATAATCTGTGGTGTGTTCTGTCAGGTCTTCCTGTTTGCCAACTCAAAATGCAAAAGGTACTTCCACAACAGGTTGAAGCCATCAAAGCTTACCTGGACAGCCATGTACAGGAAGCAGCACAAAAAGGTAAACTTGCATTTTTGTCTGATGTATAAATTATATGATTCCATTATTCCAATTTTCATTCCTTTAGTTTTAAGGTTACTTAAGTAGTTGCATTACATGTCTTGAAGCCCATTTTGGTAATCGATTGGTTTTGATAATCCCTTTTCATCATACATTTGTTATATTGCAAATGCAATTAATTTTTTTAAGGATTTCAGAACTGCAACCTTGTGCTGTAGTAGCCATTCTATTTGTAAGAAGAAGCAGGCAGTCTGTTTTTGTATTTGTATTACTTATTTGTGTAATCTTGACACACTCAGGATATTGCTCAAGAAGCTGTGAAGAAGAGGAGACGTACCACCAAGAAGCCTTACTCAAGGTCTATTGTGGGTGCCACACTTGAGGTTATCCAGAAGAGGAGAACTGAGAAGCCCGAGGTTCGTGATGCTGCAAGGGAAGCTGCTCTCCGGTTTGTGTTCTTATCTATACCTTAGACCCTGATTCACTTTATTATGTCAACCTTTTATGTTAATGTTATTTCAGCGTTAAATTTCATGATTGCTTCGAAGATCATGATATGGAATTGTTGACTTAATGTCTGGATATGTTCTGTAGTGAAATCAAGGAGAGGATCAAGAAAACCAAGGATGAAAAGAAGGCCAAGAAGGCAGAAGTCACAAAATCCCAAAAATCTCAAGGCAAGGGTAGCATTACCAAGGGAGGTGCACAACCAAAGGGACCAAAGCTTGGGGGTGGCGGTGGCAAGCGCTGAGCCACTGTTCTGTTGCCTACTTGTTGGGAAGTAGAGTAATAGATAGGACGTGTTTGTTTGTTTGAAGATTTTGTAAGGATTGATTGGCCATGCTTGATGGTCCATTCGTATTTTTCTTTTATCTATCTTATATCTGTCACTTCGATATTACTAAGTTTCAAGTAGTTATTCTGTTGGATTTTAACTTGATATTTCTGCTTCAGCTTCAGCGACTTTTTCCATTTTGCATTAAGATTCAGAACAATGTTTTTCTCCTATGGTTAATAGGTGATGGATAGGCAACCGAGCTTTTCAGTTTAGGGCTCTTTTGGGCCCCTGCCTTTGTCCCTCAAACTTGCTTTAGGTCAGGATAAATCTGGTTTTTGTTTCACGCAATTTGGTTTATTTCGTCACATGGCAATTGGTGTAACAATAACCCAAACTCAAAAAGGCCCAAATTCAAGAGCGTTCTTTGTCTCTCCATATTTTGCTCTTCCTACCCAAAACTTATCAGGAAGCCAACGAATTAGTATGGGAGCTCGAAGACAGTGAGATGGAGCCGTTGTGAATTTGTTCCTTTATTTTTTGTTGGGTTACAAGGCAGGCCGAAGCCAGAAAATTTAAAAAAAGTGAACAAGGCACAGCCCTACTATGGGCTCTTCCTAGATCATCATCCAGCAACAAGCTTGAGAGGAGCCGACTCGTACTTATAAAGCCCCAAGGGTAACTCACAACGCTTGTTCTTTTTCATCTGGTGAAGAAGTGAGCGTGAAGACATTTTCTGGAATTCGTAACTCTGTCAAATTTTAGAAGTTGTATTAAATAAGGACCATTTTCAAGCTCTTGGCTCCGATTCTGACAAGTCTCACCAGCTCAATAGGTTGATGGCAATTTATATGCAACGGGAAATGTTTTGAGATTTGAATTCATAGGGTGGGACTAATCCAAATAAGGGGAGCTGGAATCAAACATATGATCTAGGATGTGGAGGTAAATGTTCTTGATTTAGCTATTGGTTGTGCCTTGGGGACTAAAAAACCAAACTCTGCCTTACGTAAAGTTGCTAGAGTACGCTTAACCTCTAGTAATTACTTGGTATTAGCCATAATTTACAAGAACATTCTGCAGTCTTAGTAGTTTATTAGTTTATATAAAGATATTATAAAATATATATATATATATATTTATATAATTTATAAATTCCTAAGGTTTATTCTATGCATTACTTTTTCCTATTTTTGGGAGAGATAAAGTAAGAGTTGGTTTACTAGACCCTTGAATAAAAGGTCTGATCCAAGCTCATAAAAAAGAAAGAAAAAAACACTGTACTTGCTTGGGCTTGTCCAAGCTTGGCTGTTGATTCAACAACATTCACCATGCACCCGACCAACACCTGCCTTTTTAGGCAGCATATATAAAAGTAGAACACGAACTGGATGTTACCCAAAAGGTAGAGACATGCACCCAAAAAGCCCCAAAAACAAAAATTAAAAAACTTATTATTAAAAATATAAAAAAGATTTGAGGGAAGTGATGAAAAAGATGATGAATATGGCAATAACAATATGGAAGTGTGCAAAGTTAATAAATGTCATGCTGATGATTAGGTCCACTTGGGTGAATGTAATGTCAATTCTCTAATTTAACACCAAGCTAAAGAGCCAGAAGAAATTAAAGTACTAGTTCCTCAAACTAAGCTAATAACTAAAGCAGAACCCTCAGAAAATTAAAGTTATAAGTAACTTCCAAACGACAACAACAGCCTCTCAGCTTAGGGATAAGAAGGCAGAGCTCCCCAGAAAGGTGGCGATACTGGGTTATATTCCTCAACATTGAAGAGGTAGTTGCACTCTTGCACCTGATGTTGGCTCGTCCTTCCTCCTTTGTTAGAGCTCCGAATGGCAACCGACGTGCTCTCCACCGTCTCTTCACCGGAGATTTCAGTGTACCCGGTGGAAACTTGTTTTCTAGCAACTTCATCTCTCAGAATTGTCTTCAATTTCATGACCTACATCACCATATACAGCTCACTTAATTAATAGAGTACATTTTTAGTTGACTTGTCAACACACTACGGTCGGTAAATGTGAGACAAATTTTTTATTGAATTTCATTTATAAAAATTCACGATGGGTTTTCAGCTCAATTTTCTAGGGAGAGAGAGAGAGAGAAATGCATGGGTTGCATGCAATTAGTTAATAAAGGAAAGAAGCTTTTTAGTTAATGTATGCCAATTACTTAATCAATGCATTATTACCTCTTCTTGGAGCTTTTGTTTCTCTTTGGAGACCACATCATACTCTTGTTTAAGAGCATCATACAAGCGCTCAAGCTGCTTGGCCTTCCATCTGGCTCTTCTGTTTTGGAACCAAACAGCAATTTGCCTAGGCTGAAGGCCAAGCTCTCTTGAAAGCTTCATCTTCCTATCAGGGTCCAGCTTTATCTCCTCTTGAAAGCTCCTCTCAAGTGACTCTAACTGATCAGTTGACAATCTCTTCTTCTTGTCTTGGCTAGAGCACCCATAACTGCTGTGGTTCCTGTCCAGTCCAGGAACCAAGCCTTGTGAGCTCTCAGACATCACTGCTTGATGCTTCATCTCCATCCCTGAAAAAATTAATTAAAACCCAACAAATTAATTTCACTGTTTTTATATATGTGAAAGTTTGAAAAAAAAAAAAAAAAAAAAAAAAAAAAAAAAAAAAAAAAAAAAAAAAATATATAATATATATGATAATTGCATATTTTGTGTAGTTTGACCTCAAAATGACTGAAGTGTGACTTCTCCAAGAAAGCAGGGAGGAATTTATATATATAATTGCTTGAAGTGGAAAGTGTAGAACATAAGAAATTAAGCTGTGCAATAGTCAATGGTGGTGCTTCTAGTTAAAGTAGAAGGTAGCCATGCTTCTTTTTCATGTTTCTTGCTGAAAGCACATAAAAAGCAAAAACATAAAAGGAAAGAAGAAGACCAAGATAGAAGAAAGGGGTAGTGAGTTGAATAAATTACCAGGAGGATAGCAGTCATAGTTATAGTTGTAGAGGAAGCCAAAGGAAGGTTCTGGTCGAGAAACAAGGTGTCTCAAATTGGAATTCCAATCCATTTTGGGATCTAATTGGTTTCACTTTCTCTGTCTCCCTCCTTTAAACACCAACACGTTATATATGGACCAAAGTGATGGCCATATATGGACCACACAGAGAGAGAGAGTGAGAGAGAGAGAGAGAGAGTAGGTTAGGAGAAAAGATAATGATCAAAGTGAGCTTAGGACATAGGAGGAGGGCTTGGCGTGGGTGTCTCGAGAGATGAACTTGAAAGAGTTTATGTTGTGCTGTGTTGTGTTGTATATATTGTATTCTCTCTTTTCAAGTGCAAAAAGAAACCGATGGAAGTAAGTGGTTGAGAGAGAGGTGTGACTGTGCTTCTTTACGTTTGGGGTGCAGCAAAGCTTTATGTTTAATTTTCGTACGAGAGAGAGAGAGAGAGAGAGAGAGAGAGAGAGAGGAGGAGGAGGAGAGGGGAAGAAGAGAGCGGGGGTAGAATAGAATAGAAGTGCAGGACGAGGCGTGAGAAAGGGAGGCATATGTCAGTTCCATAGGAGCAGAGGATTATGGGGACCATATTAGATTGAGACCTCTGAATCCACTCTTCCCCCTCTCTCTCTCCCATTTACATCACCTTCCAACCGACAGGGCTGTCACTCTTTTCCTCTCCCACTCCCTCTCTCTCTCCTCATCTTGCCATACATTCATACATACATTGTATCCTTTTATTATATAAAAGACTCATATATATATATATATATATATATTCATGAGTTTTGAACTCCACTAGTGCAAGTAGAGAAAAACTTGTGTGTATGTTTATGCCCGTGATTGAATAGTCCAATTAAAATCTCTTAACTAAATTGTTCTTCTACTTAGCATTGCCACGTGACAGGAACAACTTCACATAATTTTTTCTCGTGTCAATGACCATTTTGTCTAGTAATTTTAAATCTCCATGTTGTTAGAGAAAATCTTAATTAGATTCAACTATTATAGAAGTGATTTTGTTGCGTTGTTGAATGAAAAGAGTAACCATGTTGCATATATCCAATATGTTAATCATCATTTTCAAATTATGGATTAAAGTAATAAGATTTTATCTAATCAATGAATTTAATGATGAAAGTAACAAAACGATGAAACGATTATGTCGACCGTCCCAATTATCTCATTACTTTGAAATGTGTAAATTTTTCTCCCTAAATAGGACTATCATATTAAACACTGAATAACATAACATCCAAGCCAAGAGACAATTTGCATGTGCGTCTATATGTATATACATATGACAAGATTCAAGTATAGGTGAGGTCCTCGCCAGCATGCAACATAGGAAGAGACGCGTGTAGCCCCCTGAAGAGGGTGGCACAAAATGAGTGCATACATGTACACTCCAGCACCCTGCCACCTCCTCTGCATCAATAAACGGACAAATAAAGGTAGAAGATGAGAAAGAAGTTTTGGGCTCACCCTATTATTTCACCCTCCCTCCCTCCCTCCCTCTCTCTCTCTCTCTCTGTCTCTGAGAGCCCGCCCCCCACCTTAATTAAGCTGCAGCATAGCAGCAGACCAAGAAAAAGCTGCAAAATCCTCCTCTCTCTCTCTCTCTCTCTCTTTCTCTCTCTCTCTCTCTCTTAAATATTCATTCATTCATATATGCTGGTGTGTGGATTTTGGATTTGAGTTGGCATTGTTGGATTTTAATTGAATTTTTAGGGGGGGCGTTGCAGGCCTATTCTAACTAAGAGTGTGTGCTGGTTTCATGTGAAGGGTATCTTTTTCTCCAAAAACCCAAAAAAAAACGTGAATGAGAGATAACGGTAAGACAATGGCATTGCCGCATATGCATTGAAGCCAAATTGATGAAAGAGATGGATGGAGCAGCGGTCCTCCCATTCCCTCTCCTTCATATCAATTCTTCTTCTTCTTCTCTTGTGCATTAATTAAAAGGTTATTTTTTCTGCATTTGTGACAATAACACCTCATATTCAACCCCAAGAGCTTCATAAATTTTTTGAGTTTTTGAAAGCTTTTACACACATGGGATGGGAGAGTGCAAACTAAAAAAATTGCAACTCATTTATCTGGTGACTTGTGAGATGTGCATGGTTTGACCACCACACCACTGGCTTTTCTTGGTAGGAATAATGGTACTTAACAAAAATAAAAATAAAAATAAAAATAAACCCGAAAATTAATCTTTTTTGGCTAATCCATGATCCACTCTCATATTTAGGTTTAGAGTTTATGGTTTAGGGTCTAAGGAGAAAAAAATACTAGTGTATGTTACACATGTCTTCTATTTTTCTTAACTCTCTCACATTATGCTAGAAAGTTCAGAAAAAAGTGGGTGTTTCTTGCGTTTAATTTTCTGGATACACATAACCAGCTAAAACTACACTACACGATAAATCTAAATTGTTTTTTCTCGTGAAAGATTCGAACCCTAACTCAAGAGTTCATTAAATTCTTCTTTTTGGGATTGACATTTTCACTATGCCCCTGAAATGAAAGTTCTCTCTTTTTCAGGAGCTTGTTCATGAGCTTGTCTTCTCCATTGGCACATAAACAAGGAATATTTTGGCTCATCACTAACAATTTTCACTCGAGCACCATTGTATCCAATTCCAATGGAACAACAGTTTCTTTTTCTTGAGAAAAAAGAGTCACTCTTTGTTGCTTACGTAGGGGAAGACCTTTTTCTTTTTCTGGTTTCGTCTCTGCAAATAGATTGATTATATCTTGGAAGCATTCAAGAACTATATGGTCCCATTGCAGATCCCTGAAATCCTACTTACCAGCCTTCATTTTGGCTTTTTCCCTCTAACTCGTACAGCGTACGTTTTACTCACCCGGGAAAAACAAAAAACTCGTACTTATTGTCTATCACCCTTTAGTTTTCAACCAATCCTTTACCTTCTGGTTTGATTTACTTTTGTTGATTCATTAATTTTTTAATTATTTCAAAGAAGAAGGAAGTAGTTGTCTAACATGGTATCCGAGCTTAGGTTAATTAGATAAGTTTTAGAGTTCAAAACCTCTCGTTCTAGTGATTATCTCACACCGATTGTTGTGGCATTAAATTTATACAGCCCTAGGAACATGAAGAGAACTTCATAGCAATGTGGAGATTGTGAGAATGCGAAGGTAAAAAGTCCCACATTTGAAAGTTGAGAAACCTAACAAGGGCTTATAAGGAGTTGGACTACGTACTCCCCTCATTGCCAATTGGTTTTGGGGTGAAAACTCAACCTCCTTCAGAGATTAATATGTCTTCAACCATGTTATTATATTTCTAATCTGTTTAAGTAAAGACATTAAGTTCAACCACTAATTTCATATTAAGACCAGCTAGTCTAAAGTACAAAGACTGGATCAACTTTAAGTAAACCCTAATTAAAGGACAATATGAAGACTGGATCAAGTTTTTTTTTAAAAATTTTTTTTCCTTAAAAAAAGTGTACATAAGTGTAGTTTGCTGTCAGCATCAAGTTCTGCAGAGCTCACAAGTGACAACCAATCTGGTATAAAGCTCAAAATCAAACTTTGACATCAAACCGTGCATTCATATATAGAATCTCATTAACCAAGTTAAGAACTTGATCACTTTAATAGAAGTTTGTTCAGAGCAAAGTACTGTTGCAACACATGGCACATGTAACCCAATACGGAAAGAGGAAGGCAGATGAAGGTTACTATAGTTAAATGAACATTTGAAACTGGTGGAGCGGTCCTTCATACCGTATATTGGCTTGGCAGGCATGTAGCTAGCTAAACGGCTGCCCATAATTAAAGTCTTTTCTAGGTGTTCATACATAGAACAACTACTTAGAAAATATTAGTGGTCCAAATTGAGCTTGCTAATTTTCTTTTGGTCCCAGTAGTTTGCCGATTTCTGCTTTAGTCCCTATAGTTTTAATTTTGTCAATTTAACCCATGTAGTTTGATTCTATCACAATTTAAGAACACACCCAAATCTCTATCCAAAATACCCCTCCACATAAGAGACACAAGTTTATTCCGTCAAGAAATTGGAAAGAAATTTAGACATGTCCTTAAATTGCAATAAAATCAAACTACATGGGTCAAATTACCAGAATTAAACTCGCAGGGATAGAAGTAGAAATTTCATTAAACTATAGGGACTAAAAGTGACTTTTTACCTTTTCTTTTATATAATTTGATCTTGTCTTTAGTTTTGTGATACGTTTGCTGAACAAGTCTATGTTTTGGTCTATAAGAATTAGTTCATCTGATATGGCTGCTCAAGGACACCATATGCAGCGCCGGATGAGGAACAGGGGTCTAGCTAGCAAGATGCCAAATTTCAATTTACTATTTTACAGTGCACAGCTTTTTTTTTATTTTTATTAACATTAATATTGCAGTGTTTTAATGCAAGCTGGAAGAAATGTGGACCACCAGAGAAAGAAAATTCAAGTGATTTGAACAAGAAGAAAACCCAGTACCTGATTAGTGGACTTAATCTTGTATTTATTTAGTGCTGATTAGCCTTGATTTGTATCTTGTGCAAAACCAAGCACGGCAAATGATTTGAGAGAAATACTCTTAATCAGGGTGTGGCAGTTTTAATGGCACAGTAAATTACAGATAAGCAGGTGGTTTACTGCTCATCTGATGACTAAATATATTTGGATAGAGATAGATCATCCAAACGTTTATATCTGCTTTTGCAGGAATTAAATTGGAGACAAAATGGGAGGCGATTTGCAATAAAAGTAAACCCAAAAATACATATTTTGAGAAGTAATTTTTAGGTTTTAGCAGAGAGAAATTGATAAGCTAAATGTTATTTAGAGGAGAGAGACTGGGAGACAGTACAAACTATTATAGAATTATGTAAATCAAAATGATAATTCACCAACCCTTCAGAACTCATTCACCAATCAACCCAATCAAAGAACGAATATATGACTAATAATTTTAATTGTAGACTGCAAGCAGCCCAACCCAGCCTAGAAACTACAATTGGCCTCACATATGCTGTACAAAATTGCAAAAATAATTACAAATTCCACAGAGAGAGAGAGAGAGAGAGAGAGAGAGAGAGAGAGAGAGAGAGAGAGTATGAATTTCAGTTTGCCAGAACAGAAGAGGTTGAAAAAATTAAAAGAAACAATCTTGATAGAAATGCTCACCTGTCCCTCATTTAAAGTCCCATAGGTGAAACTGTGAACACTTCTCTGTTTTGCTCTAACTTCTGTTTAAGGGTTGTTCCAATTCCAATTCATTTAGTTTGAAAAATCACTTTGGAATTAGATTGAAACAGTGGAAAGGCACAAGATTCAGTCCAAATTGAAAAATAGGACCAAGGGGCTGGTCCTCAAATCACCATCATAATTAAACAGAAAGAGGACAGGAGAAAACGCAGAATTAGAGGTAAGATTCTGGGCTAGCCCACTGAGAACATGGAACCTAAGTAACCAAACTCTTATGAATAACAAATTATTTAAGGACCAGTACAGAGAGATCCCGTATTTCAAATGTTAAGAGACATCTCATACGAAATCATATGAAGAGACAAAATCTGTCGACAGACGGTGACACCATGAGATAAGTTGTATTTCCATTGAAACTATAAATTCCCACAGGATCAATTCACTTTTACTTAAAAAACTGACCTCAGACAATAACACAAACATTCATTAACCACAGAGAGAGAGAGAGAGAGAGAGAGAGAGAGAGAGAGAGAGAGAGAGAGAGAGAGAGAGAGGCCATGTCCTCTTGCCATCCAAGATTTCCAAAAATCTAAGCATGATCTATGCAACCAATGAAGCAACAGTGTTGATTGACATCACATCTAAGTTACAAAATGCTTTACAGTGAGCAACTGATACAAACAAGGTAATGTCAAAGTATATTCACTTGATCTAATCTGAAGAGGTATAAAAATGAACAAAACTGGATCAAATACATCAAAGTGAAGTTACACAACCATAGAGGACACACACCTACCACAAAAACCAAATAAGATGACATCCTCTAAAACATCTTATGCCTTTAGAAGTATAAGCTGTATCACAAATCCCAGCTTCATTCTTGTGGGATCACTGATGTGAATAAACTTCCCTGTTCAGCATATGGCTACTTCAAAACTCTCCTTTTCCGCCCTTTCAAGTCACTGGGGACAATAAAAACAGAATCCACACATAGCCCACCTTTGGAATGAGTGCAATCGATCTGCTTCATGGAAAATCTAACTTCTGTTACAGGATCTGAATCGGTGACAGTAAATTCACCAACCTTGTAGTCAACCCAGCACCCACGCTTATGATTTCCATATGCATCATCGTGTTCGATTTGATCCAAGCAGCATTCGTATGATGCTTGCTGTCCATCTGAAGTTGATAACTCAAATCGTACTGGCTTTATATCCCAACCATGGGTGTGCTCAAAATTGCAAACACGCCGTCCCAATCTTTTTGAAAATCTTCCAATGTGAAGCCTGAAAGAAAGTGTATAGATATCAGCTGGAAAAGGGAACTTCACCACCCCATCCACTTCGAACCACCATATTTGCTGTAAATAAGCCACCACATTAAACCTGCAAACAAAGAGCAACACGCAGATGATAAAGATTTGAAAGATATAATGCATCATCATACTAAGCAAAAATGAAGGAAAAATAATGAATTAACACCAAGCTGGCATAACTTGGCAACAACGGTTCAATATGATAACTGACCCAAAAGAGGATCTCACTAACGTAAATTGATGAAATCAATTACAAAATAATGAGATCAAAGGCTGTAGCGCCAATCCCAGAAAAGCATAAGCAAATCTCTCTTGTTGAGTAGTAGCGTTGAAAATCAGAAACTGTCTTGAGTAATGTCTACGGACGAATGAGTGGGTGGCAATTCAGAATCCGCAACGAGAAAAATCTAGGATGACATAAACCCCAACGCAAGAAAAAACTCAATAACTATTCAGTGTAATCTACAACGAAAATATATATATCCCTTTTCAGTTGAACATAGGCTAAATAGATTTGCCTTTCTATTGATTCCAAGAAAAAAAAAAATTATATAGTACACACACTCTTTCTAAACACCAGTTTATAATTTTACTAGATACATTTGGATGAAGAAAATCCGAAGATAAGATAGGGAACTTGAGAAAGTGGAACATTCTACTGGCATGATTAACCTTGATTTCTTGAAGATCCTGACTTACATAAACTCTGTCAAGAGTAACTATAATAAGAGGCATCACTTACTTATCTGACTTTGCATGCAATTTTTTAAAGCAAATACAAGATGTGGATTGTAAGCATAAATTCGTTCAATTTAGAGAATTCCAAATAAAAGGACATCTTCCACCCTACATGTAGTCATTAGAAGAATGTGATATTAAATTACCCTCCCAACCTACAGAACTGCAATGAGATAGAATAGTTAGTCCTATGTTTTCCAACTGACATATGCCATGAACTATGTAATTATAACAGAACAGCATCCATAAGGAATTATTAGAGAAGGAAAAAGAGCCTAAAAGACAAGAAATAGTATAGTAATAAACAATGGATCTAATAAACTTTCATGCAAGAATATCGGTTCATTAAGAGTTTCTGATTCCTCCTCTCATTTGCTTAATATAACTACTTAATTATCACTAAAAATTTCACACTGCCAAAAAAACCTTTAAGAAAAACAAGAAAGAAAGAAACTTCACTGAATGCTAAGCTGAATCAAAATTTTCAAAGAAAGAGAACAAACCATACATATCAAAAGCACACAGTAGTATGGAAAGTAAGATCTTTTATAGCTAACCTAGATTCTTCCGTAGGAATCCAGTTCCAGTATCGGCGATCTTCAATCCCCGTGATGGCCATGGCCTTCGCGGAAACCGACGTGCAAACCCTTCCTGTGACCCTGTCTATCCATACCAGCTGCAAAACCCACCAAACGCATCAAAAATTGAACAAGTTTAGACATATTATACCAAACCCAAAACCCTAAATTGCAAAATTACACCAAGAAAACCAACCCAAAACCCTAATTCCCAATTACACACCAAGAAACCCACCTTATTGCCATCGTCGAAGGGTATAGGGCGAGATAGCAAAGCAAAGATGTCCTTCTTGGAGAGGTTCTGGTACATCTGAGGAGGCAACAAATCGAGTAGATCATGGTAATTTGGGGGCAACTTGGATTCCCAAACAGAATCAGACGACGCCGCACCACGAAAAGCCCTGTTGAGCCTCGCAAGGTTGCAAATCTCAGGCGGAGTCAGGTACATGAACACGCAGGCCACGCAGCTCTCGGGTATGTCTCCAAGACCCGGTCCATGACCCGACCCGTTCGTCCCCTCCGTCAGGTTCGAGAGCGACGCTCCCATATGTTCTCCTAAATTTCACTGTATTTACAAAACACTATTGGATTTCTATCAGGTCATGATGTCCGTACAGATATTTTGGAGGGCGGAAAGGCGAAGAAATGGATGGGTGGGTTTTCTTGGGTTTTGAGGAAGATGGAGGTGCGTGTTGTCTGGGGATTTGGAGTGTTTGGTTAGTGAGAAAGTGAAGTGTATGGGGAATTTCTAGCGTGGGTTTTTGGGTTTGTGATGGGTTTTTTGTCTGTCATATTTTCCGGGAAAATTTTGCTGGGGTAGGAAAGTGAGGGAAAATTGGAAGGGACGGAGATGAGGGGAGGACGCAATTTCGCTCCCCACCATTAGATACGGTGTGGCATTACATACCATTTATGATTCTTTTATTGCGTTATATTGTTTTTATTTTTATTTTTTCGCGAGGGGATATTTTTTTTTATTTAAAAAAAATAACCCTCGCCAAAAAATCATAACCTTTGTTTTGGTTTTGTGGTATTTTTCTCTTCATGTTAGAAGAAATCATTAACTCAAATTTCACTTCATATATTTTGTTCATTAGTTTATTTATAGAACATTTCTTATTAAGACGACAATAACGTATTAAACTCACATACATTTCAGAGATATTAAGACTCGATCTTATGACTTTTTCTGAAAGAGCATTGCTCCAAACCACTATACTCATGGGTCTTTGCAATATTGTCCATGAGTTTTAGATCAAATGAATTGCTACTAATCTAAAATATTACAATATAAATTAACAACCTTTGCTAATTATGATCATCATTAACTACTTTTGGTATTTTAATTAGATATTACTCTACTTCCAAATCAAGACCAAATTGTAAAAAAAATGTTTATGTGGATTGTTTTCGTCATTTAAGTGAGTTGAGGGAGATCAAAGCTTGGATTGTCCTTATAAAACATTGAAATTATAAAGGCTGGATTTTCCACCACACCAACAAAAAGAAAAAGAAAAAGAAAAGTTGGATTGGTGGGCGCAAGAAAGAATGAGGCTTTTGATTAGGGAATTTGCATGCGACAAAGATCAAATGGTCCTCCTGATCTTCAACGCACGTTTATCACTGCGGCGGACCAATCAGAAGCTACAAAAAGTCAGCCAACTTTTATGGTCCAATAAAAAGTATGTTCATTCGACACTTCTTTCCGCCCATTCGCTTGATTATTTTATTTGTCATGCACCTTATCTCATACCATCCCTACCCAGCCACCACCAACTCAATTTTTTCAGTCAGGATTTTTATGCTATTTTACACATTTATATACTAGTTTGTGGTTAGTTCATTTTTTTAATTTAACTAAATTTTATCATCCAAGCGTAGAGTTTTCTAAATCAATATCTTCACCATTTACTTTTGTTGACATTTTTTCAGTCACCATCCGATGACCTCTTTGCTTTGCTGTCTAGTTGCTGCGCTCTTATGCAACAAGTGTTGGAAATCAAATCTTGTAATTGAAGGATTGTAAATATTGTAATTGTCTTTCCTATATTAGATCCCAAGGTTTATGGGTCAAATCTGGATTGTAGCTTTAATTAGGAATTATGCTAGGATAGGAGATTGTAAACTTAGTATATAAATGATAGTATTATGTACAGCAGCACATCAATAATAGAATGATTATTTCATCTCTTTTATTCTTTACAACAAGTGGGTAATTGTGTGAAAAGGTGGCTGACTGTTTAGCAAAGATGAGCTATAATTTTGATTTGGGGTTCTTTGTGCTTGATGAGATTCCTAGTTGGGTTGAGGCTACCTTTCATGATAATTTGTTAAGAGTTCCTATAACTCGTACTATTTCTGTCATTTAGTTTTTGTATGTTTTGATATTAATCCCCCCATTTCACCCCAAAAAAAATAAAAATACATACATTCGAAGCAGAGCTAGTATCTCGGAGAAAGATCTCGAGTTTCTACATTTACATATTGCGCATTTGCCTGCATTTCGCAACATCTCAACTATTGTAATAATCTAACTGCTTAAGAGATGACACATCATTAAACTTTTAAAAACAAAATCTAATAACTTAAAAATTCAATTAAAATTCGTAAAATCCAAAATTAAAAGAACCAGAAACCCAACCCCTCCTCCCTACCACCAATGTCTCCGCCTCCGCTACCCACCCAAGCCTCCATACCATCCAATATACCTGCCATCTCTCTCTCACTCGCCCATTTGCATATTGCTGAAAAGGGAAAACAAATAATTTCAATCATCAATGGTTGTGATGATTTGTGGCAGCCCCCTCCCCCCTCACCTCTGGCTTAGAGGGAGTGGTTTTTTGTTTTTGTTTTTGTTTTTGTTTTTATTTTTTTAAACAATAAAACAATTATTAGTTTTAAACAGTTTTTCTTATAGAAAAGAAAAACAATTTTAAACAGATGATGTGTCATGTTTTAGACAGTTAGATAACTAGGATGACTTAGATGTTGTGAAATGCATATAAATGCACAACATGTAAATGTGGAGGCTCAGGATCCCTTTGAGAATGCTACCATAGTTTTATCAAGAAATAATAATTAAAAAAAATATATATGTATATATAGTCCTATTTTAGGTCATTATTTAAGAATTATTCCTTAACGTTATTTGTAATTTTTAAATTTTTAGGTCATCATTTATAAATTATTATTTATAAATATCGACAAAATTAACACTTGCATACAAAAAAATTATAGACGGTTATTGATTAACATCGTGAAAAGAATTATATCCGAATTTTTTCTACAAGCGATTTTAGAAAAGATGAAATTCAAACACAAAACCTCAAGCATAGTGATAACTATTGTTAACTATTTGATCTACAAGCTCTTTGTACGTCCAAACTTTTCTTAAAATGCGAACATACACTCGGAGCACACCTTCCCTGAATAAATCAGAAGCAAAGCAACAGAGTACTATGGTCTAGAAAGCAAAACACATTTTGTGTCCAGGAGTAGGATATTTCGTCGGCAGTTGGCACAATTGGCCTTTGCTTTATGCAGACATATGATGCAAATTGCAATGCCTGAGAATGACCTTGGTTGGACAAAGACTCGTCGGCTTTCTAGCACGCTTCACGCCTAGCCTTGCGTCAAAATATTCTCAACATTTGGGTCCACCCAATCTTCAATTTCTTCTCCACCAAACAAGCATCTTTAAACGACAAGGTTTTCAGAAAGGAGAGTCTATTTTTTTCTTCCTTTCTTTTTTGGGTGTTTAGGCCATAATGCCGAGAATGACAAGTAGAGACCTTCAAAAACTCCATGGCCCACGATATTGATAGCCATAGAGGAGTTGGGTTTGGACCTTTTGCCTTTTAGTTAAAGCTTCTTGAACCGTTGATCAACTAGTTAGAAAATTGATGAATGGGTAAATGCTCAACCTAGTAAATGTTGTGTGTGTATTCATATTAAGTAGAATATTTCTAGCCGGGTCTAGCCCAGACTCCTAGTAAAAAAGGGTCTTGATTTGCAGACCAACTTGTACTAAAAAAAAAGTAAAATATTTCTATGTTATTGCTTTTTAAAATTAACTTCATTTTTTATCTTCTTCTTTTTTTGGTCAAGGAAAAATTAACTTCAATTCTTAGATATAATTGAACCATCTTCGAAACCTAGGCCTTACACCTCAGCATACCCATTAGGTTGGACTGGAAAAAGCCCAACTTGTAAAAGTTACCCCCAATTCCCAAAATGGCCCAAACATATGCGTCGATATCAAGAATCATGATAGTCCTTTTGGTGTAGAATCGTGGGAATTCACAATTGTTTTATATTTGCCTCGCCTCAACCATCGATGAAGAGAATACAATGATAATGACCCAACAAACCGTGTAATGCAAGTTTTTCTTTTGCATGTATCTCGCTATTTATATCGCATTTACTGATTGCATGTTGAATATCTCTCTTTTTACATTGATAGGTGGGGACATCTATATTAGAGAGGTGGTCGGTCGAATACAAATAATTTAGAAGAAAACATTAGTCGTAGTTAAGTTGATGCATTAACACGTATAACTTGATTTTCAACTTAAATATATTATTTACTCACCAAACCAAACCTAACCTATGGACGGAGAGAAATCAAACGAATTCCACACTAACATGAATATTCCTACCCATTGTACTTGAAAGTCGGAGGAGTCTTGGGGCTAATAGCTTGTGGGTCCTTTTTAGGTCATTACCCCCCTAAAAGATATCAAGTTAAAAAGTTACCATCGAATGTCAAATCATCAATGGCACCAAAATCAAGTATACTCAACTTGACTAAATGAAGCGTGTTGAAGTTCCTAGTCACAAGTTCACCAAAAGCACTACAAAAGAAATCTCCTAATGAAACCACTAGTATTGGGACAAAGATCATAAAATGAAATACAGTATAATACGTTTGATTGTATAAAACGTATATTATTTTTCTCTAATTAAAATTATACTAGAAATGGAAATATCTTATTTTTAAAAAATGCATATGATTAGCGCAAATTTACGAACTAGGAAAACAATTAAAATCTTTTTATATATGATTTTATGAATAAATCATCTTGTTATGTTAAGTTTTATATTAAGATATTTATTTTTAAATGAAAAATGCTAACAATCCCCTCTTTAACCTTCTCCGAGAAAACCCAACAGTCAACACAACAACGATCACACCCACAATTCATCTCTCCTTCTCCCACCTGCGCAGCCACCCCCACCTCCCACCTCCCACCCCAGCCACGAATTTCATTTTCCCACCCCAACCCCTACTCCTCCCTCGCCGGTGAAAACCCAACAGCCACATCCATTTTCCACCCCCACCTATGTTTGATTTTATTTATTTATTTTACAATACCGTCTTCTTCACACGTCTCTGCAGAAAAATATGAATATGATGATTTTGTCATCTTTTTATTTTATTTTTTTGCAAAAAACAAAATTTCAGGGAGGATGGTGGGCTAGAACCGATACATAGAGATTGGGGAGGGGGTGGGGTTGGGGTTGGGGTTGGGTGCGGTGAGAAATTGCAGGGAGGGTGGGTGGGGTATGAGGGCAGGGACGATGGAGAAGGGAGGAAGGGACGGTGGGGTCTTCCAAATGGTTTTGAATTTGGGTTAAGGGGAGGGACTTGGAATTTTATTTCCTGCAAAAGCAGCAGGCTCGCAAAGACTGAAGAGGTGCATGTGGAGTTTCATTTGTTGACTTTGCCAAAGCAAAGGAGTCAGTTTGCTTAATCAATGAAGTCCAAGTCCGAGGATGGGTCTGGGTGGAGTGGTGGGTTATGAAGATGGGTCTGGTGCGTGTGTGAGAGAGAGAGGGAGAGAGAGAGGGAATGTGATAGTGGGAGAGAGTAATAAAAAAGTTGAAATTTTTTTTGAATAAAAATATTCAATAAATGACATGAAATTTAGAAAAGAAAAAGTGAGCTTATTTTTAGTGTAAGAAAAGCAACATATGAAATTTAAATTTTCTTTAACATGTTACGAGGAAAAAAACAAAATTAAAGAGAAAGTTGCGAATAATACTCAAGTTGATGGTGAATCGGTGATTGTATATTAAAGGCGCCTCCATGTACACCTACTGTTTTGAAAACAAAACCTGTGGGTTTAACATTCCAAAGCAGGCAGAGGCAAAACCATGGGCAGTTTTCTGCTGTCTTCTGCACCAACAAAACCGGCCAAACTAAAACCGGTTGCTCTGCTCTCTGTATATAGCATATACCGCTTCTCTTTTGAATCTCTGTCACACAATACAATCCACCAACAAAAACAAAGCTCTCTCTTGCTTTTCACATCGTTCCTCTATGCATATGTTGTGCTTCTGCCACACATTTCTGCAAAAGCTGAAAAAGGATTCTTAATTGGAGCTGCCTCAGGATATGGTGATGTGAACAAGTCGGTTGCAATCTCTGAGTATCTGGTACTTTTGGGCAGTTTTTTTTTACTGGGTTTTGGTCCAAATTTCATTTCAATTATTGGGTACTTCTTTTCGCTACTGGGTTTTGTTCAGTGTATGTGTTTCTTTTTATAGACAATTGAAAGCCAGTGGTAGCATTTTGGGGGGATTAGATTATGACATTTGCTTCAATTGGGTTTTTGAGTTTTGCCTCAAAGTTTGTTTCTTTTGTATAATTAGTAAGAATTGTATCAGTAGGGACCGGTTTTTTGAGCTTTGAATGGAATCCAATGGGTTGTTTTCTGGAATCTTAGGCCTAGAAATGCCTTTGCATCAAACACAAAACCCCCAAAATCCTCAAAACCCTCACCATATGCACCAACCCCAAATGGTTGCTTATGCCCACCATGACCCTGATCATCCCCAACACCCTCACCAATCTGTGAAACAAGGGTACCCATTTGCCACCAAGTCCAAACAAATAGCTCTAAGTGATGATGATGAGCCTGGGTTTGGTGCTGATGACAACAGCAATGGGGATAACAAGAGGAAAATATCACCATGGCAGAGAATGAAGTGGACTGATACCATGGTCAGGCTTCTAATTATGGCTGTTTTTTACATTGGCGATGAGGGTGGGTCTGAAGGTACTGATCCCACAGGAAAGAAGAAGTCTGTCGGAGGATTGCTGCAGAAAAAAGGGAAATGGAAATCGGTGTCTCGGGCTATGATGGAGAAGGGTTTCTATGTCTCTCCTCAGCAATGTGAGGACAAGTTCAATGACTTGAACAAGAGGTACAAGAGGGTGAATGATATACTTGGCAAGGGGACAGCTTGCCGGGTTGTGGAGAATCAGGGTTTGTTGGAAAAAATGGATTTGTCACCGAAGATGAAGGAAGAAGTTCGTAAATTGCTGAATTCCAAGCACCTATTTTTCAGAGAAATGTGTGCATATCATAACAGTTGTGGTCATGGCACTGTTGGTGGGGTGTCTAATGGTGCACATAACTCCCCACCAGAGGGTGCCACAGAACCATCTGAGATTACAGCGCATCAGCAGCAGCCCCAGCAACAGAGGTGCTTTCATTCATCAGAAAATGCTCATGTTGTTGCCAATTCAGGCAGGTCAGAGACTGAGGCATCTAAAATGGCGAAAGGGGGAAGTGGAGGTGAGGACGAAGATGAAGACTATGAAGACGATGATTCAGAAGACGAAGATGAAGAGGAAGAAGAGGTGGTTGAAGTTGGCCCCGGCTCTAGAGGTCTAATGGGGCATGGACATCATGAAGACGACGATGACAATGACGACAGGGCTTCACTTAAAAGGCCAAGAAAGGAAGGTTGCTTTTCGGGGCCCTCATCCTCCCAGTTAACTCATCAATTGGGCTGTGAAGTGAGGGGTGTGCTGCAAGATGTGTCAAAGAGCCCTTGGGAGAAGAAGCAGTGGTTGAAGACAAGGCTAATACAATTGGAGGAGCAACAAGTGAACTACCAATACCAAGCTTTTGAGCTTGAAAAGCAAAGGCTCAAGTGGATCAAGTTTAGTGGCAAGAAGGAAAGAGATATGGAGAGAGCTAAGCTTGAGAATGAGAGAAGAAGGCTTGAGAATGAGAGAATGTTGTTGCTGGTGCGCAAGAAGGAGCTTGAGTTGCTTGAGCTTCATCACCAGCAGCAGCAGCAACAACAAAATTCTTCAAACAAGAGAAGTGACCCATCCTCCCTCACTGGATAGATTGTATATTATATATTTAAGGTTTAGATCAGAGAGATGAGAGTGTTTCTCATTTTTGTTCTTCAGTTTTCTTGTGTAATTTAGTGGCCAAAATTAATACAAAAAGTTGATATTATTAGATGGTTATATTGTTAACGCAAGATGGTATTGTCATGTCATCTTACATCTACTTATTAGATTTGTTGAATTGAACGACCTAATAATTTGAAGCATGTTTTCCGATGAGCCATCTCAATTTGCAATGAGAAATATGGATTTGTTGCATTGGTGATTGATTGTTTCTCACATTTTGTTTTTGTTTTCTCCCTTGTGTTGCTTGAGAGTGGATCTAAGATTATTTTCTTCTTACATAAGATGGCACATTTTCAATTTAGAGGTGCAAGGATTTGCTAAGCGAGGCTGGTCAAAGAACACACAGATTTAAATAAATTCTATAAAAAAAAAAAAAAAAAAAAAAAAAAAAAAAAAAAAAAAAAAATTAGCTTATTAAGTAAATTAATTATTAAATAGTTAACGTACAACCTAGAATTTTTTCTAAAGTTGCAATTTGGGTCCATGGACTTTTTTTTGAGGTAATTACATCCTTTAACTTGACAAGTAGTTCAAATTGGATCCTGTCATCCAACTTTGTCAATTTGTCTGTCAAAATAAGGGGCAAAAGCGTCCTTTCAAGTTCCAAGAGTCTCCTTTGCTTGATAATCCCTCAATAAGAGAAATCCCCAAAATGAAGAAACCATAAGGGTGTTGAGTATCCCAAATCGCACCCTAAGGTAAAATGTCGAAGAATTCGATAGATTCAAATTGCAGCTTTGCTACTACGAACGTGGGTCGGAAATCAAACGTCGGACTTCATGGACATATTTGAATATGTTGAAATGGGCAAGAAATGAGCATAATGTTATATATCCTCTTTAAAATCTTTTGATGACATGAGCATAGTGTAGAAATGGACAGGAAATGGGCAGGAATTGGTAGCGTGGGCAAGATATAGGAAGGAATTGCTAGTGTAAAAACCTAGGCATAAGGAATTGCTAGTATGGACCACATAGATGAAAAAAAAAACCACGGTCAAACTCGACAAATTCTGTTACGACAGGAAACTGATTCTCGAGTTAAAGGATGAAATTACCTCCAAAAAAAAATTCACGGACCCAATTACAACTCAGGGCAAAATTCGGGAACGTCTACAGTTAAAAACCATAAATTATAACGTGGGCGAGATCTCAGTAAAATGTTGAATATGAGATCCAGAATTGGTGCTATAAACGACGAAAATAATGGCAAACTAATATCCAAAAAGGCATCTTTATTGGAGACTTGAATGATTTTGATATGTAAAGACAAAATGAGAGGTCATGTACACCATGACTTGAATTGTGGATTAACGATTACAATTGCCCCGGTGTATAATCCTTTATAAAAGTCAAATCAACAAGCAAGTCTCCAACACCTGGGGTATATAAACCTCACAGGTGACACCGTGACACGAATGGTCCATTTCCCGGAAAAGAGAAAAAGGGAAATTATACCTCAGAATGAGGGTAAGAAGAAACTCTAATCTTCAAGCTCTATAATCTTGACAACAGAGGCATCACCAACTTTCTGGCAAACAACTACTCGGTCGTGCGACTTTACCACTCCGGAAGCTTTTCCGTGATCAAGAGCAACCTTCAGAACTGACTCGTTTGTTGCACTGGTAGACTCAGCCTGCAAAGTCATAGGACAACAAATTTAAGTGAAACAAAATCGACGTAAGTTTTAAGTACACATGAAGATACACCCACAGGGTGAGAAAAGAGTCATCTCTATAAACAAACATTCTTCATTCTGACAAAGATAGGGGTCACTACACGTTGCACCTATAGTCATACTCGTTGAAAGTACAAAAAAGTCAAGATTATAGTCTCCAGCCAACAACCACGGTAATGTATGATCCACAGAAAAAAAACCTAACCGGCTTTGCCTTTGTATAATCAAAGGTGATTGAAATAATGGTATAATCTAAAGACTAGATAACACTAGCTAGCAGAAACCACAGACAATTTACATTCCGTGTCAACCATTTAAAGGAAAAAAGCCACTTACAGGATGTCGAGGATCAGCAAGCATAGGGTAAAGACCCCTGACTAAAAGTGATTGCCTTGCCTGCAAATTAATATGTTTTTAAAACAAAAAGTTACCAACAAAGATTACATATTAAAAAGATAAGAGAACAAAAAATAGACGAACAATTCAAAGCAATATGCATATTTTGAAAAGCAAACTTCTAGAAATAAGTCTTAATTCTACAGCAAAGTCACATTTGAGAGATATCAATTATTGGGTGTTGAGCATACTTTGCTTAGAGCTTAAATATGATGATGCACACTGATTTTTAACAAGGCATGTCAGAAATATATTTTTCAAAATGGCTTTCCCATACCGAAGTAAATAGTTATAATTCATAACAAGATAATGAAAGTATATATAACGTCATCATTCAACCAGTGATCATCTTCTTTTTATTTTTATTTTTTATTAACAGATGCAAAACATCAAGACATTTCAATCTCCCAAAACTAAATAATAACAGACGATCTTTTATCCTGTCAAAATTTGCATATCTAAATGCACTTACAAATAGATGTAGGAAAGAAAAACCCATAAATAAACATGCATTGTGATGGACTTCACAGCAGTAAATGAGCTAGAGGTTAGTCAGTGTCAAGAGCACACCTCAAAGGCTCCAGTAAAGCTCCATTTAAGTTGATTAGTCTTGAGCCGAGGAACAACGACAGAAAGAACGGGCATCGTGGGCCGATACTTAGCAATCAATCTGCACAATAGCAAATGGATTAGAAGACTTATGGGCATTCGCCAATAAAAAAGCAGCTTAAATTGATTGTCTGATTACTGCCAAAAAAGCCCAGCTTGATTGACCATAAAAGCGATGGAAGACAAATAGACAATTTGCATTTTACAGGATAAAAAATACATCTGCATACCTTGCAGCCCTTCCTGAAGAAGTGAAGCAAATAATAACAGATGCCTTCACCTTAATGGCTGCCCGTACCTAGACAATGAACACAGTGGCCATTCAAGATCCAAACCAACTCATGCAATAATTTCAACCAGAATGTTAACTACAACTGGAAGAAAACAATGTAAAATCATCAGAAGATACTATATATGATCAAAGTCATACCGCAGAGGATGCAATAGATTCCAAGTGTGTCATTGGCTCTCCAACATATTTGACAGTCTTTTTGAAATACAAGTCTTGGTTGAAAACCTTCTCTGCCTGCATGGATTAAAATTCAGGATAAAGACAACTTAGTGACAGGTCCAGTACAGTTAATAATCCTTAACTCTAAAATTATATGCATTGACATAAAAAGCTACTAAATCCAAGTAGACACAATAAACAAGGAATGGATAAAACTATAAGAAAAAGTTTACCTCGGCACAAATTCTACCAACAGTAGAGATGGTATCAACAGGGTACAAACCACGAAGAGTCTCGGCACCAAGAAGAATTGCATCACTTCCTGCACCCACGAGACAGTTAAGTTAGGAAGCACAGATTAAAAATAAAAATAAAAATAGGAATCATGGAAACAAGGACTTAAAAAAATACAAGAGAATATCTTCAAAACATGCAACCAGATAATATAGAAACCCCTTTAATGGGCCTCAACCAAAAGTCTCTAAAGCACGCATTGAGTCAAATAGGGACACACCATCCAATACAGCATTTGCAACATCAGTTGCTTCTGCACGGGTTGGCCTCAAGTTGTCAGTCATACTATCCACAACACGAGTCACCACGGCAGGCTTTCCAGCCATGTTACATTTGTAAAGGGCAGCCTTTTGAAATAAAAAGACCTGTAAAGGACAAACAAGTTTGATCACTTATTTGAAGACAAATAAATAACATGACATCCCTACTTGCAAGTTAAGGAAACTGACCTTTTCTGGTGGGAGATCAATGCCCAAATTCCCACGGGAGAGGATAATACCATCAGCTTCTTGTAGAATCTCATCAAAATGGGTTAATCCCTAATGCAAAAACATAAAAACTCAGGGCTTTCTTTGGAAATTCTAGATTCTAAACTGAAAAGAGATGAATATCACACCTCCATATTTTCAATCTTAGCAAAAATCTGTGTCTGACTGAGGTCACCCAACTTATTAAGGAACTCGCGGGCCTGCATTACAGCATTAAGAAGCCTGTTACTCAAGTTATTCATACAACCAACTTCAGAAAATGAAGAAATAATATAAGTATTCATAGTGTGAGAATTGAGACAAAGACATGGAACTTAGAATAACACTTACTTGGCGAACATCTTCTGCATGCCGGGTATATGACAGTGAGAGAAAGTCAATTTTGTTTTGAAGTCCCCAACTGCTTATAACCTAAATTAAGCATTAAATCCAGGCACTCAATAAGGAAGTCAAGGCAGCAAACCAAACACAACTAATACAGACTTCAGTCATTCTACATTAACCACTTAAAATTTCACATGTTGAAAGGACTTACTTCCTTATCTTGAGCAGAGAGAGTAGGCAGGTCAATATGAATTTGAGAGGCATGCAAAGTGAACAATGAACCAGCCAATGTTGCAGAATTCTTTACTGAACAAACAACATCTTCTCCTTTCACTTCAGAAACCTGATCAACTCAAAATAGAACTTATCAGTTATGCATGACCTCTCAATTTTCCTTCATGATTATGTAAAGTTTTATTTATAGACTACACAACAAAGAAAACAGTTGGACCCTACAACAAAATTGTGATATACCCTAGCTAAGGAAGATATCAAATTGTGTACGTATTCAAGTCCTTAGAGCATCTCCAACCGATGTGTCAAAAGTGCCACATAGACATTTAACGGCTAGAAATAACATCACACATCACTCCAACTGATGTGTCAAAGCTTATGTGGAATGAAGGCTGGAGGTTGAGATGTTATTTTTGACATCTCAAAAGAAAGATGTCAAATGAATATTTTATTATATTTTATTTTTAATTAAAAATAAATCAACACTAAAATGTAATAAAATAATAATTTAATTTGACATATCGGGTGGGGTGTAAAGCTGTGTAAGATGTCAAATTGCCACATCAGCCATCAAATTTAAATTTGATGTTTGGTATTTGACATCTCCCTTGGAGATGCTCTTACAAGTTAAAGTGTAGGTTTATTTCAGGAAGACAGGAATTTTCAGTTTCAGGTAGGTGCGATGATTTTGCGGGTGCAAACAAAAGACTTTCTTAAATGAGTTTAGTCTCTAAATATTTTTATTTTACCTCCAACCACACAGAAGTAGTTTCACTTCCAGTGAACAGGTACTGGCCGACAAAAATGGTATCTCCCTTCTTCACTGCCTGCAAAAAGCATTTAAGATTGATCGGTGATTTCTCATGGATATTTGATTTCAGCAAGGACTGCTATTTGAAAATTTTAAAAATAAAAAAACTTGCAGTATTTAACTGAATTAAGAGGTAAAAAAGACAGCACCAAGTATCTTATGGGAAGATAATTTCGAGGCCACATTTAGAGATAATACACATCAACATAAAAACATAATTGGACACGTTGCAGCTTCACATCTCAACTGTTACCATGACTACAAGTAGGTCAGTAGTTACGTTTCCATTTATGAAACTGTAATTCAAACGGCGATGCTGCCATTCAGATTACTCATTGTCATTAGGACATCTATAATTCCAAGCAGCACACAGCAGAATACAGGTTTGTTGGAAAGTACATCGAATAGGAAACGGAAGTGGGAAAAGGTCTGTAAACCATGGGACATCAATTGACCCAAAATCTAGGCTTCAAGCATCAACAATTCAAGTCATTTTTCAGTACAACCTAACTCATTATTTGTTAAATGCAATGTCTACAGCCATGAATGTCTTCATAGGATTCACCATCATAAATATTAAGAGACCTAAAACTAAAATTGCCTAGTTTTTCAAACGGTCCATCAAGTTTATTACATACTCAACCAAACTATGGACATTATGATAAAATGATAGGTCTTGGCAAACCTTTGACAATCCATCAAAATTGATGGGCAACAGCTTTGAGGATGGTTCCTGTCCGCGATCTGGTGTCAGAACAACGAGGCCATCTCCCAGGAGTGAAATAGGATTCCCGGTTTTGTTAGCAACCTGCAACTCAGGACCCACAGTGTCCAACATAACCTGAAAACAAAAACAAAAAAGCCAGATATTAGCATACAGTCACTTCCTCATTATTCGTTTATTAAACTCACTTGGAAGGTGAAAATCACACCACTTAAAACACGCAGTTCATACATTGTTTCGTTAGCAATTCATGACTCATTTTTCCATTTCTTTCGAAAATGCTGACCAAGCAATACTCGAAAGACACTCAAATAATCCCAAAAAGAAAAAAAAAGAAGTTTAACCCAATATCTAGTTTCAGTTCAAAACAAAAATAAGTAGACAAAAATGCAAGTCTTCCTTCACGGATTTCATTTACCAAACTCTTTTAACACTGAAAAAAAAACAAATAAACAAAAAGAAAGGCATGCATGACAAACAAACAGAGCGCAAGAAACAAAAAGAACTCCGCAACTCAAATCCCTTAAAGAAAAACATACAGCGCAAAGCTTCTTAGTACTCTTCACAGCCGCCTTCAGATTCTCCAGCGTCTCCTGGTGATATTCCGTGTTTCCCCATGAAAAGTCGAATCGGGCCACTGCCAACCAACCCCATTCCAATCCATCAAAAACCAAATACAGAACTTAAATTTGTTTCCATTTACAGCGAACGAAATCGCATACCAGACATTCCAGCATTGAGGCAAGAAGCGATAACCTCCACGGATCGAGATTTGGGCCCGAGCGTACCCACAATCTTCGTCATTGCGGGAAAAAAACTCTGCAAAGTCACCAAATAATAAAATAAAATGACATAAAATCAAAATAAACCACAGATCCACGCTTAAACCGATTAGGGATTGAGTTACTCACAGCCTTGGATGGCTCGAGAATCGAAGCCATCCGAATGGGCTCTTCTAGAAGAAGGTGATTCGAATGCATCTTCGCTTTGTTGTTGCTGCTACTACTGCCGAAGCCTTACAGAGACAAAAGACTGCTTGGGAACAAAGCTTTGCGTGGAGAAGAAGAAGGAGCGAAACGAAAGGAAATGAAACGGGTAGGCGTCGAAACTTGACTCTTTGGAATATCAGAATATGCTGGTGCGAACAATTCTGCTTTTTTTTTCTTTCCTTCTGCTTCCGAAAAGCACTTTTTATTGCGACGCCAACGATATACGAATTCCTGTGTGTGCGTTTCTCTCACCACCACCGGAAGACCCTTTCGCACTTCACTTTTGTCCTCTGTCGATTTAAAGAAACAAACACAATAATAATTTTTTATTTGTTTCAACTTTTTTTTTAAAAATTTACACGCGGCGGGGTGTGATTGGTCCAGTTTGCTGAAGCACGATGTGCGTTAAGCAGCTGGTTTTGATTTCGTGGGCGAGGGGAAAGCGTATAGCGCACGCGGATTCTCAACGCGTGGCGTGGGGTGCTCGTGGTTTTTTTCTCAGGTGGAAAGCGAAAAATAAAGCACGTGTTTCGTGAAGTCGTTTGGTTAAGAAGTGACTGCTGCCTACTTCATTTTTTATGAGATTTTCAGCTTCCTGCTTCCGCCCAACGAAACAACAAAACCGTAAAACAGCTTAACTTCAAAGCCCGTTGGTCCGCACGTGCTTAGCGGTCAAATTCTAGGGGCTGTCGTTTTATGTTCTACATACAGTCGTTGAAATCTCACCCCATGGCTTGTGCGAAAAGTTGTTTTTAATTATTGTTAATGCGACCCTTGGCGCACCTTTGTTGTTTTTGCCAGCAGTTGCGGGTTAGCGAATTGAGTTGGGCCGGACCGACCTGTCATGTACCCGGCCCACTATCTATGTATCATCGGGGAGATGCTATAATTAGGTGAATTTTGGTGAGGGGGTGTGCATTGTCCAAATCAATCGATCCAATCTAATTTGTCTAAATCGATCAATTCAATCCAATTCAAGCCAATTATAATCAGTTTCGATGATTTAGCGGATTTGATTGGATCTCTAATTTCCAAAACTGATATGATTTATGACAGATTTTGCTTGTGAGGATCCAATTCAATCCAATTCAATCCAATATAGTTAGTTTCATGCCTATTTTGCTCATTATGTAATTTTCATTAAAAAAAGTTATAAACATTTAAGTAATTTGATGCGGCGGACCCATGATTTTTTCTATGTGTGAGCGTAACAAATATAAAATACAAGACACAAGTGCAAATATAAAATTCTTGAAACTTGGTATTGGAATGTATATTGTCAATATAATTCTCAAGCTAAATTTCAAGTGCCATGAGTTGTTCAGTAGAAAAATCACTTGGATAGAGTTCAACAAGACGTACCAATTTTTGCTTATTGAAAGCAGAAAATGAAACTTAAGCATGCCAAGCAAAGTAGCAACTCAGTGTCAACCTTTGTGAAACGATTCCGTAACTCTTGAAGTTGCAAATCTAACACATCATAAAAAAGATCAACATGATAATAATGCATATTTTTAATTTGTTGTGCCCTACGCTGTGATCGCCCTCGTGCTACAAACATATCATCCATATTAGGAACTTCAATATTTTGTTTCACACAAAAAAAAAAGGGAAACTTTCTCCAATAAATAATCACATCCATTGTCTCTCATATTCTGCAGGTTTCGCTTGCATATTTCAACTAAGTCCATGACTTTCACAATATCTTGATCATCCCTTTGCAAAGCTTGCGATAACTCATTTTTAATTCCAAGTATAATCATCATCAAATGTAAACTGAACACAAAATCAATTAATTGCTGCAATCCTAACAAAATAAATGCTTCATGTTTCTAAACAGTGCCCACTCTATCATCTGAAATTTCCTCTAATACATCAATTATAGATGAAAACATGGAAACAAAGTTAAGCAAAGTACCATAGTGTGAGTCTCATCGAGTATCACATGGACGTCTAACTCCAAGTTATTGATTTAAGCCTTGTCCACTTGAGAGCTTACCATTGCTAGGTGCTTCAATAACTTTGAGGGCTTGTTTTTCTTGAAGAATGTCGCGACGTTTTATTGATGTCCCAACAATATTTAGCACATTGGAAACTAAGGTGAATAAAGCACTTATTAGGCTATGGTTTTTTGCCAAAGACACAAGAGTCAATTGAAGTTGATGAGCAAAGCAGTGAACATAAAAAGCACATGGACTTTCTTTCATAATGAGTGTTTTCAAACCATTGAACTCTTCATTCATATTACTTTCCCCATCATAACCTTGACCATGCAATCGAGATATGCTCAAATGATGTCTAGCAAATAATGCATCAATTGATGTCTTCAATGAGAGAGCTGTTGTACTAGCCACATGTTCAATACCCATGAAACATTAAATCACATACCCTTTGTTGTCAACATAACGAAACATAACGACTATTTGGTCCTTAATGGATACATCACGAGATTCATCAACAAGAATAGAAAACAAGGAATCAACAATATCACTTATAATAGCATTAGTTGTTTCAACTGCAAAAGCATTTACAATGTCTTTTTAAATCTTTGGTGACATCAACTTGAGGTTATCATAAGCATATTTAAGTGCTATAGCTCGAACCTGTTCATTGTGATCGGTAAGGAATTATAAAAGCTCAAGAAAGTTTCCTTGATTACTTGAATTCTCACTCATAATGACCACGGAATGCAAGACCTTGTCTTAAGAGAAATTGAATACAATCAATGGACGCACACAATCTAGTTCGATAATCAATTCGAGATTGAACTGAACTCTTGTGAAAAACATTTTCAATATGTTGTTTTTCATTCATCAAAGCTTCACACTTATTCAGAACTTGGTTTTGGGGCACTATTGGGACCTCCAATATGAATTTCAAATCTTTTTCTCTCCTTCCAATTTTAAAATCCCTCACCAACGAATGCTTCATCACTCCCTTGCTCTCCACTATTTGATTTAAAAAGATAACAACATAAACCGAATGCAACATTTTTTCCTATGATATATTCCAACCAATTAGGAAAATCATCAAACCAAGAAGAGATGAACCGTCGTTTCCCATTTCCACATTTCTTAAAAGGGAACATATGAATTTTGATCTTGAATATTGTGATTGTAATCTAAAATTCTAATCCAGGATCTAAAGGAAGATCCGCCACATTGACTTCCATACGACTTTGTTTTGAACTGCCAACCTTTATAGGAGTAGATGACTCCATCACTGATTTTCTTTTAAAATATTTTTCCACGGCTATTACAAAAATTCACCTATTTAGAGATAGTCTAACAAAAAAATACAAACAAATGTTTTAATAGTTTTGACAAAATAAAGATAAATAAAATATTAAAGTGTAACTAAGGAGGAGAAATCAATTACTAACTTACAAGAAGCGCTAAGTTATAATAAACAAAGATGGATTCGCTTGTGAACAACGATGTCTTCCTCTCTTTGGCGTTGGCAATTGTTCCAGATAGGACAGGGAGTTCAGACTTCAAAGAAAATGCAGCAAGTCTTCACATGATAGTTTTCTAGACATGAATTTATAAAAAACACAACACTATTTAAAACATAGAAACACACCCAAAATCAACAATTGTATATTTTTTGGGTGTGTTTATAAATGGGTTTTGAGTGTGTTTAATAAATGGGTTTTGGGTGTGTTTATAAAGTGTTTTTCATGTTGGGTTTTTTTATAATTTCAGCCCCTATTTTGGGTGTATTAGTGAAACTCCATATTTTTTAATCATTGAACAATTGTGTGGGCTTAACTATACTGTATATATAGAGGTAAGTAACAAGAGTTAAGTGTGGGCCATGCCCCATATTGGGCGTGAGCTAGGTCCGCCCCTGATTTGATGAAGTTATGTTTAATATATTATAAAATCAAAATAATTTTCTCTAAAATTTCATTTATATTTTACATTTACGTTTATTAAAGTGTTTGATTATATTAAACTTGACGATAAATGTTTCATATTTCATTAAAATATTTTTTCATTATGAAAACTGATAATCCAATCCAATATCAATTGGATTGGATCAAATCGGATTGGATTTAAACCTCTAATGCGATCGGATTGGATTGGAAAAATCATAATCCAGTCTATGTTGGATTAGATGCGGATTGGTGAAATAGCATTGGTTTCAAACCGATGTACACCTCTAATATGGTTGAACTGATGTACACCTCAGAGGGGTTTAATGAAGGGTTCAATCCAACCATCCAATCATTAAAAAAATTTAAATCCATCCAAGTTGAAAATTTGGCTAATTGATAGTTGGTTTTAGGCAATAATCCGTATATTTATCATAGCATAATATATACCTTCATAACCATGAATTGGGGCAATTAGTTGATTCAATTCCAATTTCAATTTCTTCCCTTAATCCTAAGTTTCTCTTTCCTTACTTCTCAACCTCAAGTAAGTATTTAATAAAAAGGTCTATAGTATTTCACACTTCACATTTCCCTTAATCGTATATATTAAAGAAACACTTAATTACTTTCAAACAAGCTTCCACTCTCAATTTTTGTTTATTTTTTTTTTTTTTTTTTTTTTTTTTAAGTTAAATTTTTTATTCAAATTGGTTATTCAAAATTAAAAGCATTAAAATTTCAAATTTTAAAAAGAGGTGGGAGGTTTTTTTTTATTTTTTATGGATAGTAATAAGGTCAATCTATGCAATTATTAAGGGTGAGTACGATCTGGTTCAATCCGATTTTCGTCTCAAATCGAAACTGAAACTGAAACTATTTAATTGGTCCGATTTGATCCAATTTTAGTGAGAAAAAAAAATTATAAAATTGGTTGTTTGAATCGATTATGGTCTAGTTTCCAGTTCGGTCCAGTTTTGGACCGGATGATTATTATTATTATTTTATATAAATTCCAATTAAAATTTTATTTGTTGAGCTTGAAAAACAAATAAAGGGCTTAGTGTTGGCCTTGATGGCTTGGAAGAGTATTTAGGCTTGAAGAAAAATTAAGTTTGGGCTAATATTATATAAATAAATAATATATATGTAAGATGGTCTGGTTTGGCCCGATTTGATTTTTTTTACTACAAGAACTGAAATTGGAATTGGACCAAATCAGTCCAGTTTGATTTTTGGATAACTCGGTCTAACTTTTGGTCAACTTGGTTTTTTTTAGCCCAATTCGACTCAATTTTCTGGTTTGAATGTCCACCCCTAGCAATTATTTATAGATATTGCCAATGCTACTATAACATTTTGAAAGCAAAATAGCAAAATAGTCATTTACAGAAGAAAATAACTTGTAAAATATTCATATATGGGTAGTGGAGGCTGTTTTCGCATTGATTTTTGTTTTTAATAGAACGTCTAACTTTAGTTAAAATACAAAAGAGAATAGGTTGACTTTTTATAATGTATAAATGTTAATGTCGCAAAAGACAAAAAGACATCATTTCTTGTAGACTTCCTTGATCATTTGATGAAATAATAAATTTGAGAAATTTAGGGCCAGTTTGGCTGTACTGTGAAAATAATTGCCGTCAAATTTATTGTGAGAGAAATCAGTTGTTAAAGCAGTTTGGCGTTTGATAAACATTTTGTTAAAAGTGTTGTTGGTAGTAATTTCCGCATAATCAGAAAATAATTCAAATATAATCATTAAACCTAGCGCCTCCTTGAAGCTGATTCCCGCATAATCAGAAAATGAAAGCACCTCATTAGCTGCTTTCCCTTTTAGCTTTCTTTCACAATAATTTTTAACAATAAGTGATTTTCTCATAATTTACCAAACGGGTTGCGCTTTCCAAATTTTTTTTAAATCACTTATCACCCCAAATAAGTAATGCCAAACAAGCACTTATAATTTTTTATGGTTTATTCATTTGTTTATATATATATATATTTTGGCAACTTATTTAATTATATATATTTTTGGCAACTGATTTAATTTTATATATTGGTCCGTTGAATTTCCACCTATTTCCACCAAACCAAGCACACACAGCTGGTCTGGTAGGGCAGCTGACGTTCGTGACCATCCAAAATCGTGACGAGCCAATTTCCGAAACGCAAAATCAAAAATGAAACGGACCAACCAAACCAATAGCCACTTAGCCATCCACATCCACGCGGGCCCCACCCACGTTCCAATTAAATTCAATGGAACTATTTACCCCTTATTCATTACTTAACGGGACCGTCACAAAGCCGTCACGGCCCATCCCACACCCATTCACGGCACACCCGTTCCGTTAAACAACCTCGTCCTCTCTCACTCTCTCACTCCGCCCCAACGTTCCAACCCGCCTTCTCTAACGTCGTCGTTCCGCCAAACCCCGCTAACCCTAACGTCCTTCCCTCTAATGGCTTCCTGTGACGACGACTTCTCCATCCTCGGTGACGAGTCAAACACTACCCACCACAGCCACCTCCCCCACGCGCCCGCCTCCCACCAGCTCCACCAGCCATACGCGCCTCCTCACCGCTTCGCTACGCGAACGACCCCGGTCCACGCGCCACCTGCGCAGCCCATACTCAGCGACAAGGTCAACGCCGGAGAAGACCAGGCCGAGGCCGGAGACGACTACGACGATGCATCCGCAGCCGCGTTCTGCTCGAATCCGTTCGAGAGCGGGACCGATCAGAATGACGTCGTTGCTGGCGCCAGCGAGAAGAGGAAGGGCCACTCAGATGAGCTCAGCGATGGCGGCGGAGGAGGATCAGGATCAGCTCCGTACAGTTACAAGAGATCGAAACCCTCCTCGGCGGCTGCGATCGGGGAGTACAGGAAGGACCGAGAGGAGTGGAGCGACTCGGCGATCTCGTGCCTTCTCGACGCGTACACGGACAAGTTCACTCAGCTGAATCGGGGAAATCTGAGGGGCAGAGATTGGGAGGAGGTGGCGGCGATTGTGAGCGAGAGGTGCGATAGGCAGAGGAAGAGCGTCGATCAGTGCAAGAACAAAGTCGACAACTTGAAGAAGAGGTACAAGCTTGAGAGGCAGAGGATGAACAACGGCGGCGTTTCGGCGAGTCACTGGCCTTGGTTCAAGAAGATGGAGAATATCGTCGGCAATTCATTGCCTGGAAAGGCCGTCTCCGACGAGGATAAAGGCGTTTCTTCTCCCGGTACCACGCCGCGGCAATCGAAGAGGTTTGGAATCGTTTGTTGTGCATTATTATTGTTTAGGTTAATGCTGCAATTGGTCAATCTACCTTGCTCAGTTGCTTGTGTTGGGTGGTTTTTTAGCAGAAATGCAATGGCCATAATAAGTCCTGTAAGTCAGATGAACAAGGTCAAATCAGCTCCGAGTATCAAATGGCGGAGAGTGGTCTTCAAAATCAGTGGTGCTGCTCTTGCTGGCGCTGCTCCAAACAATGTTGACTCAAAGGTTCTATCTTTTATGCAATCCCATTAATTGTATGAGCCAAATTTTGATCCTGTTAGCTTGTGAACAGTCTTGTCTCACTGTGTTTTGTGATTTGGCAGTTGGCAATGCTGATTGCAAGAGAAGTTGCATTGGCTTGTCACAATGGGGTGGAGGTTTGTTTGTTATCCGTATGATTGTTCATCATCTTTGGGTTCATTTGTCTGTTGTCTTTTTGAGTTTGAGCTGCAAAGTTTGGTTTCTTTCTTGCTTGGTGTATTAGGTGGCCATTGTTGTTGGAGGTCGCAACTTTTTTTGTGGAGATGCATGGGTGACTGCAACAGGGTTAGATAGAAGTACTGCATACCAGATTGGGTAAGCATCATTGCTAGCCTATCTTAATTTTTGCAATCTCAGATCATACCACCTTTTACTAGCCTTGGTTTATTAACATGATCATTGCATTCTTAGTGATGAAGCATGTCCAATGAGTTTTGGGCTCCATTTTTTTGTTTTTATTATACAAAATAGATTTTTATCTTTTTGGTTTCTTTTTTGTGGCTGGTGCTGTATTTGGATGTACTTGATAGTGCTCTTATTAAGTTTCATGAATTAGTTGATCTGATTTGCTTCCGCTTTTGCTTTTTCACAAAGCACTGAAATAAAACTGGGGAACCATATAATATAACAAAGCACTTGGAAATGTGATATCATGTGAACGTTATGCATGCTCCACTAAAAGTTCAAGACACGGTCTTCGCATCGCTGTGTTTCATTTGAAGCATTGCTGTGTGATGTAGGAGGGATGTCATAGAAATGGTGTGACTGAGGAATAAGAAGTTTGGGTCTATGTCCTATCTGCACCCTCTGATATCTTAATTATAAATTGCAAGATAATGCATCTATGATGCTCAAATGTTCGACCTAAACAAGGTGACTTTGTGATGTGTACCAGAATGATGGCCACTGTAATGAATTCTGTATTGCTCCAGTCAGCACTGGAGAAGATGGGAGTCCAGACTCGTGTTCAAACTGCATTTTCGATGCAGGAGGTTGCTGAACCATACAGTAGGCAGCGGGCCATCCGCCATCTTGAAAAAGGCAGAGTTGTAATTTTTGCTGGAATTGGCGCTGGCACTGGAAATCCTCTCTTTTCCACCGACACCGCAGCAGCACTTCGAGCTTTGGAGAGTATGGCTCTGCGATCTTTCACACTTCCTTTCAAACATATTACAATGCTTGAAATCTACCAAGTTTTTTAATTGTTCTACTTGAGCTCTTCAACACACACACATATACCATATACATGCATGGATTCCCACCCACATCTTTTGACTTTATATATAATTTTGTGACACTCTTATTTTCTCTCAGTTCATGCAGAGGCAGTACTCAAGGGTACCAATGTAGATGGTGTCTATGACTGCAACTCTCAAGACAATAATTTTACATTCGAGCACATTTCTTTTAGGGATGTGGTCACCAGAGGGGCCACCTCAATGGACTCGATGGCACTGACCTTCTGCGAAGAAAACAGGATTCCCGGTAAGTGCATTTTGTTTAACTTGTATTTGGTTCAGATTGCGCCTTTATCATAAATACATAATGCAGGCATTTCCAATTCATTTGGTTAATACATCAATGCATCAGATAGGAGGGATAGAGGGCTAGTTCTGTTCTGTTGAACAATAGTGAGAGTGGATTGAGTCATCCAACAGTCCACATTTTTTGGTCAAAGTGTTACAAGCCTAAACTCAGAAGCTGTTAATTGAACCTTTGTTTATGCACACGGGTGTTCAAATTCAATGTTAATCAATGTGCATTTTTATGTGCAGTTGTGGTCTTTAATCTTTTAGAGCCTGGAAATATTTCGAAAGCACTATGCGGAGAACAAGTTGGTACCCTGATAGATCAAGCTGGAAGGATTAGCTAATATTTATGAAACTCTTAGCTGTTGTATTACTAGGTCTGGCAACCTCAAGTAGCTGTCAAGTTATCTTCAACAGACCCCTTATGGAGATGTTGGTGGGTTCTACAGCTGCTGGCTACTCGTTGAGACTTGGCTGCAAATCCTCGGCATACATAATTTGCCACCTGATACCTTAAGGTAGAGTAAAGATTCTAACTTTTATGACGCTAGTGGTTGGTGATTCATAGAATTAACTATATTTTTTAAGTTCTGCATCCTAAGGTGGTGCCGGTGTCGTTCGTATCGTCTTGTAAATGGTATCTACTTGGAGAAAGATTGTTAATGTAGATGACAACAACAATTTAACTGGTCAGTTTGTATTGATAGAGGTGTGAATAGCAAAGTATGGTTCAAAGTCATGACATTTCTATGTGGAAATATTTATCTTTTAGATGCAATCTGGGATCTCCTACATTGCTTTATTTTAATCTATAGTCAGCTTATATCAATTTTGAAATGCATGGAAATGAAAAAAAAAGGGGGAAAAAAGAGAGAAGGAAAGACTAGTCTCAAATGCTGCACAAATGCCTGAAATCATATTTGTACAGGGAGGTTAAAAAAACCCCATTCTTCATGAGTTGGGGTTTTGATTTTGTTGTTGTCGTTGTTAGAAAACAGCTGTTTAGCGTGAGCAAATATCATTAGTGTAGAATTAAAATTGAGAAATACAAGTTAATTTGATCATATTCATGTATCAAGATAGATCCAAAGCATTCATGGCTGACTTAATAAAATAATTTATCTGCATTACTAAAACAAAATATTAATTGACTTTCAAGTGCAAGCAAAGCAGCTTTCGGCTGCCACTCAGAAGATTTAGAGTGATTTGAAGATAATAATCACAAATAATTATTGTCAACAGCTAAATTACATAATAGATAACTAAACAAAACTATCTTAAACTTGGTGGCAAGATAAGTAATCTCCTCACCTGCGACAAATTTATAAAATACAAGGACTTACAGATATTACAGAGACCACAACTACACAAAAAATAAGGACTGAGAAGGAGCCAGCCGAGGCAGCAATTCGCAGTGAGAAACGGAGGATGATGATACAGACAATCAAAGCCACAGTGCAGGCAGGCAACACCATTACATTACGCAACGATGGAGAGGTGGCGATGATCAGGCCAGCCCGTCTTCAGTGGTGGCAAGGGAAGGCGAAAGCGAATTGCGGGATTCATCATAGTCTTCCCCAAGAGGAGATCTCTCCACTCTGATGTCCTCAATCATCTTTGCCACTTCAGCCATTGTAGGCCTCTTTTCAGGCTGAGGCACCACACAAGCCAATCCCACATGGAGCATTGCCACAAGCTCCTCCTCAATGTTCTTGTACCTCAAAAGTTCTTGATCAAACACCTCCCCAGTCCACTCCTCCTTCACCACAGACCTCACCCATTTCGGAAGGTCCACCGCCTCCTCCTCCTCCTCAACACGAGGGCGAGCAGGAGATGGGTACTGGGACGGGGCTCTCCCTGTAAGAACCTCCAACAATAACACCCCGAAGCTGTACACGTCCGCCTTCTGCGACAGCCTCTTGACCTCTGCCTGTTCAGGAGCTCTGTATCCACCCAACCTTGCAATGGCATGAACCGGGTTCAGAAGCAGAGAGAGTCCAAAGTCAGAAATGCAAGCCACACCGTTCTTGTCAAGAAGCACATTGGAAGATTTCACATTCCCATGTGGCACTTTTGCAGAGCTATACTCTTCATGAATCCGAGCAAGCCCACGAGCAGCACCCAGCATCAAGCTGATCCTTGTGGTCCAATCCAAAGGAATTCTACCCGGACCACGATTGCCTAATTGCATCAACAATCAAACACCATGTCAAATATAGCCAAAATTCAAAATTCATAACACTAAACCAAACACATGTTCTAAAATTCAGGGTAGTATTTAGAATAATCATGTCGTTCACTCATGTTATAACACGTAAATCATGAACATTATAACATGTAAATCAGGAACATTACGTGACAGTGTTGCAATCTAATTCAGTATAATTCAACAATATTTTGATGATTTGAAGTACCAATTACCATGAAGGAGTGAGTGCAAGCTTCCGTTAGGGAGATAATCATAGACAAGAAGCTTCTCCTCCTTGGCATAATAGTAAGCACTGAGCCTCACCACATTTGGGTGCTTCACCTTCCCTATCAAATCCATGTACTGCTCAAACTCCTTCCTCGCGCACGGGTTCGCGTCCTTGAGCCGCTTCACAGCCATGGTGCACCCGTCGTCGAGCACAGCCTTGTACACCGTCCCCAAGCTTCCTTTCCCCAACATCTCTGCCGACGCCCGGAGCAAATCTTCCAGCTCAAACTGCTTCCTCCGGTCGAAAAACACGAGCTTGCTCCGGTCCGTGGCGTTCGTCCCATCACTATCCGCACCCCCACTGTTGGCATACACCTTCTTCTGATCGCCGCCATAGCTGCTACCGCTCCTTCTCTTCCCACTCTCACTTCCGCCGATCGAATTCGAACCTCGATCTCTCGCGCAGTAATGGGCCAAGATGAACGACACAACCACCAGCATAGCCACGCAATTGGCGATTACAATGGCGACTATAGCGCCGGGGCTTAGCCCCTTTCTCGATTTCTTCTTCTCCGGTACGTTTACGCTCGTCGTCTGAGGCAATTGGCTCGGATTAGACGGCACCGTTTGAGCTGAAGCCGCCGACGGCGGACTAGTAGCTCCGGTAAACGAACACGCCGGCAAGGGGCTCGCCCCGCAGAGTCCTTCGTTGCCGGAAAAGCTTTCGTCCCCGAACTTTCTCAGCAGACCCTCCGGAAGCCGTCCGTACAGTTCGTTGTTGGTGAAGTTGAGTTCTTTGAGGTCGGCGAGGGAGCCGGAGAAGTCGGGGACTTCGCCGGAGAGGACATTGTTCTGGAGCCGGAGCGTGAGGAGCCGGGTAAGGGCTGTGAGGTTTCCGGGGATTGGGCCGCGGAGGTTGTTGTCGGAGAGGTCGAGCCGAAGGAGTCGCCGGAGGGAGGTGATCTCAGGTGGAATTTCGCCGGAGAGGTCGTTGCCGGCAAGGTAGAGTAGCTTGAGGTTGGTGCAGTTGGTGAGGGGCGAAACGGTGCCGTTCAAGCGGTTGTTGTGGAGGTCGAGGAAGCGGAGCTGGTCGAGGAGGGCGAGGAAGTCGAGCGGGCCCCGCAGGTTGAGGGAAGGGAGGGAGAGAGCGACGACGCGGGATTTGGAGATGGAGCATCTGACTCCGGTCCAGGATGAGGTGCATGGGTCGGCCCCGGTCCAGTTGGATCGTAGGTAGCCGTGAGTATCGGTCTGGAGGCGGAATTGCGTGAGCGCCCACGTTTCGTTGTGCGGCGGAGATGATGAGAGTGAAGGATGAGCCAAGGCCAAGAGAAGAAGAGACAGAGTGGCCACCAAAGCCAGAGCCTTGCTCTTCTTCATGGCTTATGTGCTTAGGCGGGAAGAGTAGGCAAAACACTAAGAAGAAGGTTTTTTTTGAAAAAAAGAAAAAAATGTGACCAAAGACTAAAGAGAGTGAGAGCCTCTTTCTATGAATTTGAAGAAAGAGAGTGGGAGAGAGAGATTAAGTGGGGGCAAAGATATGATTTTTAATTTTATTATTATTATTTCTTTTTGGTTTTGACATGATTAGGGTGGATGGGGTTCTTTTAAGAGTGGGGAGGAGAAATAGTATGATTAAAGATGAGAATAGGGCATGGTTGTGTGAATGATTGATGTTCTCCACTCTTCCATATGGAATGAGTAAAGGTTTTTGAGAGCAGGGTTTTTTCCTTTTCACTTTTTCTTGACCAAAGTGAAATAAGAATGAGGACTCCAGGACCACCATGACCTGTTTTTTTTTATAAAATTTATTTATTTTATTTTATAGTATTTGTTATTTCTGATACGAGTGATATCGAGATAGGGGATAATCAAATACAAAACCTCGGATGCATGAATAAACGTTTTTAACTAGTTGCAAATGGCCTGTTACATTAAAGAAAGTAATCAAGTTTGATGATGGCATTTGTTTTAAGCTATTGACCCCAAAAGTTATCAAGTGAGTCTCATAGACTCATATGTAATTTAATAAATTCAATTGCAACAATCAATATCCCATCAGTACTAAAGTTCTGTAATCAATATGCCATTGCTGATAATGTCTACGTAGTTAATTTTGCACAAAAAGAAGCAGGCAGCACTCATTTACTTCGTTGAAAATCTTTGCCCCCCTTTACATATTGGGTTGAGCTGGAGACCTAGAGTAGCTAAGGGTGTCCAACCAAACTAGTATAAATTCATCACATCAATCTTGTTATCTTAACCTTTGACTGACCTCTTTCAGTGTCAAAGTTAGGTTCCAGTCATCTATGGGAATCTCCTGCCTCAAACTCTTCTTTCAAATGTCTTCTTTCTTAGCAGAGTGCGTGATGCAGAACACTTGTACTATAAATTTTGCCCTCTAGTAGGTGAAACCAAAGATTTGCTTAATACACGAGTTATGAATTTTGCTAAGATTAGTCGCAAACGTGGTAGCAAAGCTCCGGACTGAGCATTTGGTATTGTAATTTCCCTACACTATGTATCTGCATGTTTGACTATAAATTTGATGTGCAGTGTTTCACGAAGATAAATACATTACAAGCCAAAACATGCATGGAATATTATTTTGGACTACTTTTTGAGGATTTTACATAGAGAAGGAGGAACATATTTTTTATTTTTTATTTGGTAAAAGGAGGAACATAATTTAATTTGCCTGTCGGTGCCTCGTCTTTTTCCATGAAAGAAAAAGCTTGCTATGACTTTGAGACTTTGAGTCTTAAGAAAGCAAAGTTGTTCTACCTATCAAACCTTAAAATGATCATCACAAAAAGCATACCACCTAAATAAAACACGACTAGATTGCTGTCCTAACATCTCTTTTCCCTTTCTCTAGATATATGTAACAGTACTATTGAATCAGTTTCTTTGTATAAGATCTGCATACAACAAGTAGCTGGGCGCATAATGCTGAATGCTGAGAGAAATACGGTCCCCGAGGAAATTGAGTGACAGTTTAATAGAGAAGTGCAAACACATATCTGCACCCGATGTGTGGTTAAGAATGTTTATCCATACATCAAGGTTTTGTATTAGAATTACTTCTCTCGTAATCGCTAGTATACTTAAAAAATAATGTACTAAATTAGGAAGTTGACGTAGTTTGTCAAATTAACCCATGTTGTCAAGCAGCATTATTTGTCGCTTCAAAGAAGTTTTGCTAGCATGGATGTTGACAACACAAATATAGTTAATATACCCAACAGACAATTGACTTTACCCAACAGTGTTATTGGAACTATTTCACAATTTCAAATCCCTTCCATAATCATAATCTACAACCTTTTTTTTCCCGAGAATTAGCAACATTTTCAGGATTTGATCTTCAATTAGTGGAGAATAATATAATTGCAGATTTGATCCAATCTTTATAGCCACATGGTAATCCATTTTACAGTACACTTCCCAGTTGTCAGCAATCAACTTGAGTTGGGGACTGTGGTCATGCAGTTGATGCTGTCACAAAAAGTGAAGGAAATGCTTACAGGCTGCAGCCTCTCTCTTTCTTCTTTTTCTTTTCTTGCTTCTTGGTTTGTTTGTTTTTTAATTATGAAGCATGCAAAAAGAAGAGAGAGAGAGAGAGAGAGAGAGAGAGAGATTGAAGGCGGGATTGGCGTTCCAATTTGCCACAGTCATTTGCTGAATCAGCAAAGAAAAGCGGACAAAAGTTGGTGCCTAGCAAAAAATAAAAAAGAAAAAGGGTCAAAGGACAAAAAGATTAAGAACGTAATTTCTCAAAATTTTGGTAGAATCATTGGAAAATGAGACAAACTTGCAGTGATTTTTAGGTTTAAGAAGTTTCAGGAGCAAAATAAAGCCAAAGTTGAAGAATTTTTATCTGCATTATTTCTCAGCGGACTTGCCATTTTCAGGGTTTGGATTTTCTGTGAAAGACAGGCAGTGTTCAGTAACTTGAGTTAACTTACAGCTAATCAAACAGAATGTGTTTAACGTAAGTTGAGGAAGGAAACGAGGGCACATGGGATTTGATAACAGAAAAATTGGACTCGTCTCTAATTCTTATTTATATGTCCTTATCAACCGTTGAAAAAAGGATCAACAGTGACAATTGTTTAGAAAAGATAGAAATACATTTTGTTGGGATTTGAATATCAACGTTTGAATTCGATTAAATGGTTGCTGAGCATAACTCTTGTGACCAGCATCCTTTGGCTAGAAAAAAGATAACATTATCCTTCTGTTATACGTTGTTTTTCAATTATCCAAACTGTCTAATTTTAAGATATTCCCTCAAAGATCATATATGCAAAAAATTACTTGAATTCGAAATCATTTGACCACTCAATTAGATGATTGTTATTTTAGTATTTTCTTAAAGCACATTATTCTTTTATTTTGTTGCTTGCAATTAGATGCCTTAGGGATTTTCAATTTTCTGATTTTTTGTAGTCCCCTTCCATTTAGGGACACACTTTAGGATACCTTACGAATTTTTTTTCAACAATCCAAATAGTCTATTTTTCAAGTCTTCATTCATAGATCATCCAAAAAAAAAAAAAAAAAAAAAAAAAAAAAAAAAAAAAAAAATCTAATTGTTAAGCAACAAAATAAAATGAACAAAAGAGAAGAAACCGAAAAAAAAATAAACAAATAATCTAATTGAGTGGTCAAATGGTTTCATATTCAAGTGATTTTTTTGCACATATGATCTTTGAGAGAATATCTAAGAATTAAATGGTTCAGATCATTGAAAAACAATGTGTTGTGAGTCATATAAGGGTATCCCTCAAATAACTTATTTGAGAGAGATGAGTTATTTGAGGAATCCCTCAATAGAAACTCACTATATATATATATGTATGTATGTATGTATGTATATTTTCTCAACCAAAAAACTACATTCTGAGCTGATCAACTCAATCAAAAGGCATACCATCAAACAACATCTCATAATGAAGGCTGAAATGGGCTAAAGGCAGCGTGACCCAAGCTTTCGCTAACCCACAAAATTATAAAGTTATAAACAACTTAACTTACGACCATTAATGAGATACACCATTAACATGTAAATCATTGACCTACAATCTCACCGGCACAAAATCAGGCAAAGCTTTCCAAGTCAAACAGGACAGCAATCCCGAGATTCTCCACCCTCAGCTCCTGCCTATTCTTCCACAGTTGTTTGACAGAATCAACCTCGATGGCTTTGGTGGGTTAAGCAGCAAGTTTGGCAGCAAGGTGGGTTTGGTGTTTGTGATAAAGTGTATTATGGTGTACAAGAGGTATTTTTGATAGTTAGATAGAGTGTACTTAGTTAATTTTACATTTTGATTAAAATATTATGGTGTACTTAGATCATAGGGTGTACTCATTTAATTTTAGGGTTCGTTTAAGATTATTAGAACCGGCTACATTTAGCAAAATACAGATAAATGCACAGACTTTAAATATAGAGATTTATGATTCAACAAAAATTCTTCATATCTTTTCAACTCTTTCTTTACATCTCTATTAACATTTGAAACCCTTCATATAACTTTCAAGAACTCTTAACTCTTTACAATCAGATGCTTATAGAGCTGAAAACCCCATTATTTGAGAAACCCAAATAGACCTAATTCCAAACTCCTATATGACTAACAAAGTCACATTAGAAAATTAAATTGAGAAAAGCTGAAAATATGAGTATTTACACTTCCATTTTGTTTCATAACAAAACCAAAATTAAAAAGAGAGTGATGATGAAGCATAATTAACCTTCATACCTAGACTTCATTTCAATCAAAAATAAAAAGGTCAAAAGAATCTCTTTTTTACTTTTTTACTTTTTGAAGAGAGAGAGAGAGAGAGAGAGAGAGAGAGAGAGAGAGAGAGAGGAGAGGGGGGGGTTGAAGCCTACCTTCTTGTCTCCAACCGCAAGTAACATGAATGGGCATGGAAAAGACCACACAGCAGTACACTCCCATGTTCCAATAAATGGAAAATCGTTACTCTTGTACAATCGCCATGTTCATTTCTAATTTTCTTTTCCCAAATTCTTGGTACTGAAAAGGACGATGGAAGTGTACAACATTATCCAAAATACAGACAGCTGTTTTCTGTATTTTTTTGTCCCTCAGTTAAAATTGTTGTCCCTTTCTTCTAGCCCTGAATTTCGAGGGGACCAACCTCTCTGACTAAAAATTTGGACTAACCTGCGTGGTGATGGTGGCTGAATGATATATCATCAAAACACATTAGATGACGATGGTGTAAAATTAAGGCGTGTACTGTTAATCCATTTTTACCACATGGAACCCAACGGAATTTAAACCAAAGCTCCCAATTCTTTTTCTGGTTTTTTTTTGGGGTGATGAAAAGCTACCTATGAACTCAATATATCTACCTTTTACCCTTCCAAAATAATTATGCTTTGCAAATGTTTGGATTGGATGTAAATGGAATGAGAAAAACTTCACACCGTAGGCACCGTTCAATTAAAACCTTTCGTATGTTATTTTTTTATTTATGATTAAAAGTATGTAATGCGTAATAGATTTTAATATGGACGGTATTTGTCACTCAACTAATCAAATGACACGAAAGTAGAAATAAAATTTCAAGGGCATGAGCAACCTAAAAAGAACTACAGCAAACTGCATGAATTCGTTGGTCATTTTTCATTCAAATTAGTAGGCAGCCAGTCCAGAAAGAATGAGTTGTAGCCAAGCTGGCGACTTCTGGCAACTACTAATTATGAGAAAATTATACTTAAATCTGGACCTCTGTCAACGCCGAGACATAAGACAACCCCATCAGATGAGAGAGTTTTGGACTGGGTTATTCTCAAGCCTAACTTCAGTTTCATGACCCATAGCCATCAGCCTTGTACGGAAACATGCAACATGATGTTATGAGGACTCTATTCACCCCCACCTTCGACACTTCTCTCAAGAGAAACTTCCATGTCACAGTGCCACCAAATCGAGGGGAGAGGCAGAGGAGCAGCAGTGACGCTACCAAAATAACCATGATTCCATCCTTACATACAAATAATAGTTTGATATGTGTGAAGAAACCCTTTTTTATATTAAAAAAAAATCTGTTTTAATGAAGTAATTGTGTACATGTGTCAATACTTGTGACTTGTAAGTTTAGCAGTAGGGACCCAAGTAGTATTTTGTCCTAAGACAGAAAAACAGCCCCTACTGTTGATGCCATGAAAAATTGTTCGTTCATGTTCGAGAGGAAAAATTCTAGCATACCACGGGTGTATACAACATGCCTCATCCCTCAACCCTCATATGTTGATCATGTAATCAGTGATTATGAAAGAGACTTGTATGTGTACGTATGTGGTATGCAAGGATTTCTCCTCCAATGCATGTGTTGTGTACATGTGAGGAGTTAGAAACCATGAAAAGAAGACCATGGTCCCAAGAACCCTAACCAACACATGCTACGAGGGCTATTTCTTTTTGTTAAGGACCGTGGTGTGTTCTTGAAATCTTTATGGGTCAAATGGTATGTACGTATTTCAATTTCATCCAAGGCAAGATCCCTTGCTTTTTAAGTTATCAAAATTTGCTAGACACATGTTCTCAAACAAAGAAGTTGGGTCCAATTACTTCAATCACATCAAGTTATTTGAGTGTCAATTTTTATCCCAGAAAAAACTAAGCAAAGATGGTGATGCAGAAAACCTAACAACAGAAACCCCAAATCATTCACAACACATTTAACCCATATTTTCTGCATTTCGTGCAAATAGTAGTTATAAGATATTTTACCTTATTGTGTAAATGAATCGATTGTAGAAGACCAAACCGGAGAGGATTTCTGCCCTCACAAATAAATACCCACGTCCACCTTGAACATCCTTATAAAAAAAAGGTCTGAAACCTCACTCCTCATGGATCATATGGCTCCTCTAACAGAGCAATATTCCGTACGTGGCATGATCTGCAACATTGCAAAGCTGAAAAAGAATGGGTTGCATGCGAAGCGGAGGCTTACCAGAGGCAGTGAAAAGAAGCCACCCCGGGATGTCCCTCCAGGTCACTTGGCTGTAGTAGTAGGGGAAGCTAGAAGAAGGTTCGTTGTAAGGGCGGATTTGCTGAACCACCCGGTTTTACGGCAGCTGCTAGACCAAGCATATGAAGAGTATGCTCATGAATGCCCTGGCCCTTTGGCCATACCATGCGACGAGCTTCTGTTTGAAGACATAGTTCACTCTCTTAGAGGTGGTACAAGTAGCAATCAATTCTCCTGCCCCTTCATTGCTTTCTGATAACTATGATCACTATCTTTCTATTTTAATAGCAAAACCATTATACCTACCAAGCTAGCAGTAGACAAAAAGGAGAAGACAGTCTTCCCCTGCTGAGTCAATGCAGTGCGTAAACAGTTCAAAAAAGTGTAGGATTTGTTAAATGGTTGTCATTGAACAAAAAAAATCAGTACTACATAAACCAATATGGGTTCTTTTATTTATTTACAGGTGGAGATTCCTAAAAAACACACTCACAAGTCACAACCGTCTCATGCACGAAAATGAGGTCATTGCCTGATCAGATTCCTTAAAACAAAGATTGTCCAGTATCATAAGAATTAAGATGCAAGAGATGTCCCAGAACTATGTATATGGGTTTAAACAGTATGAGGTTTAACATTTATCCTTGCACAAATATCTTTCTGTTCTACATAAATTAGAGATCAAGGCACATATTATTTCCAAAGCCCTTTTTTTCACTGTCAACCTTCACCTTTCTTGAAGGGCAAAAGTAAATTCAAGAATCCTATACCCAATGTGAGGTCGTACAAACAACCTGACACTCACAACCAGAGGTGCCACTGGAAGAAGAAATTTGATACAGCAAACCCGTGCTAAGTAATCTAGGGCATGCTAAATGGCTATAAAAATAAAAAACTCTGATGCTAATGGCAGCAGTAAACCTTACCCTATTTTCTATTGTTGCAAACTGATCTTCATGTACGGTTTAGCTTAAAGCCCGTTGGAGAATCTGAAAATCTAGAAGACTCCAAACCTTGCCAACAATACCAGTTGACAGAGAATGATACACTTGTTTTGCAGCTGTACGATGTGCTTCTAGAATTTTGGCATCACTAAACAACTTTTTAAGAGCGTCTTCAAGTTCTATTTTTCCAGAAACCTGCATCACCATTGACATAGAAAGCAAATTACAGACTTTTTTTTCTGAGAAGCTGACAATAGAAAATCCTTTTAAATTTTATTTATTTATTTATCAGTACAGAACATATGTTAACTAAGTCACAGGATTTCATAGTTATTTTAACGTAGAAACTATCCACAATCCGAACATCCAATACTAACACCACGACAACAACTATCTTCCCACTGAAAAACAGACTAGTACAGGTGCAATGGCTTATTTAGAAAGACTAGCAACTGAATCTAACACACACCAGAAAAATTCTTAAAGAAATTAACTTAAACAGAATGATGCCCATTCTATCCATGCAGTACTAGATGGCTTTTTCGACATGTCTGCCTAAAAGCTTCACCCAACAGCTGAACAGAGTAGAGGTTACATGTACCGATTTATGAACTTCCCATGTCGATCCTATATAGATGATCATATAAATAACAACGTTTCCAGGTAGAATTGAACACTCCCATTGTTAGGGTCCCTACATTTGGCAATATGAAAACATCTGAATTTTGAATGAAAAGGTAGATAAAGATTTAAAATTAAATTAAAACCAGAAAAGGATATACAAATCATTATATCACATGTCAAATTTCAGAAGAGTGCAATATGATTTTGGAGCTAAATCTTGAAGAGTCTCAGCAAACAGTATAGAGAATAGAGGTTCTTCACACCTGCAGAACTGATAGAGGATTTAACCGTTGCATTTCCAGCACCATGCGTGAAAAATGCCCAACATAAGGACCTGAAAAATTCAAAATAAGAAAGCATTTATTAGTGGTATGTTAAGAACCAACCTCTGATATGGTAGCAAGTATTCACCCGTCAAAACAGCACAGCCAGCTGCAGCAGCTTCTGATATGTTGTGACCAGAAAGAGTAGGAAAAAAAGAACCTCCAATTACAGCTACTGGAGTTAACCCATACAAGTGTTTCAATTCACCTATAAATCAAGCCAGGACAGAAAACAAACAATGAAGTTAGGGAGAATATTTTTCCAGAAGCCATTGTAGGAACCAGCTACAGATTTGTCTAAAAATTAAGTAGGGAGAAGATTTCAAATTTGCTGACCTAATGTGTCCACCACGTATAAATTTGTGTCTCCTACAAGTTTATCATGTCGAGACCTCAGAGCTACACCATGCCCTTCTTTCCATAATTGCTGCACTACTCAAGGCAATGACATATACTAAACTTAATACATGTAAAGTTATAAAAATAAAATCTTTTTTGCAGGTAGTGAATCTCAACGAAATTATGCCTTGCCAAAACTTATCATCAGGAAATTAAAACTTTTATAGTTACCATTTATACTGTTAAATGTGAATAAAATTGAATGTATGTCATACTTGAGCAATCTCTTTTCCATGCTGCGGATGTCGAGGAACAATAATAGTTAACACATCTGGGTACTGTTGCATGAGCACTTTGTGAATGCCTAGTATTACTGCAGAGAGTATTTGTGAGCTTTTCAGCAGACAGAAATAAATTAGCAAAAGAACATTACTGTTAAATGCTTGTAAAGAAACTTAAAACCAGAAAGAAGGCAAAAACCTTATTAAAATTTATCCATAAATATATCACAAGCTAATTATGATTTTCCAAAAACATTATTAGTGTATCTGTTCAAATGGCTGGCTGGGTAAGAATAATATTCCCTCATACTCAGGGAAGACATACAGAAAGTGAATGTTTCTTTAGATGAATTTCACTACTTAAAGAAAGCTAATGTAAAAAGAAATGGAAGGTAAAATGAACTAAGCAAATAAAAAAGCACTAATTTCTAGTTGAAAATGATGTTGCAAGCCTCAGTGGCACCAAACAAAGGACGATGTGCCAGTCTAGCACTAGCAGTTGCATAACAAAATCGTCGAGCACTTATATAACTTTCAGAAACCAATAACTGCCAATAATGAGGTAACATGACACTGTACGATTCGGGTGAGTTCTCTAAATGAAACTCTAACATGCAGATGACACCATATATACAGTTTTGGACATAAGGCTAAGTGAGTAACAGGAAATGACCTTCTTCTTCCCCCTTATGTATGGATGAAGCCATCCAAACTTTCCGATGGCCAAGATGTACTTTTAGATCTTCTATACTTCTGATCTCTCCCTCAGAAATGTCAAATTCTTCAACCACTGAACATTAACAACAACAAAAAATCGAAATTCTGGGATTAGAATAGATTATCACCTTCTTGAAGAGTTCCTATAAATTTATTATGGAATGAACCCTAATTCAAAAGATAACATTTGGACTCTCCAATTGACTTCCAAATCATAAGCTTCATTTTCATATATGGGTCAACATGTTAAGCCAAATATATATAATATAAAATACAAGTTTTCATATACCATATTTCAAGTCACCAGAAAAGTTGATCACAAAGGGGGGAGCATGCAGTAGCTGAAAGTGGATAGCCTGCATATTGCTCTGTGCATGCAGCAAATCAGTGAGAGCACAACAGAAGACACAAATTACTCAATGCAATCTATAGCAGCACTTACCAATGGGACAATCAAAGAAAACTTTGATAGCATCAATGAAACAAGTGGCAGAAGCAATGGTCCTGACCAACGTTTAAAGGATTTAGTAGATACTCGAGCATTTAACAATGCCAGTGTGATCTGAAGAAAATATGGATCATATAAGTGATCTAGAATCAGAAACATGACGACAACAAATCATTCTACAATATCCATTTCAAAAACCAAATGCATTTAACGCATCCAAGTTATACAAATTGAAAAGGTAGTCAAGCTAAGCAGTAATTTGGATGCAGATACAGGGAATAATAAACAACTATTTAGGGTAAAGTTAAAAATTATAACTGAGCTAATACTTCTCAGTACAATTTGATTATTATTTTTTCTCAAAAGATATGCTCACATAATTTAGAAAGATATATTCATGAGATAAAATAACTTACACCCTTTTCTGAAGCACCCATAATTAAATTTGGCCACAGTTCACTCTCCATAATCACAATCGCATTTGGCTTCCAGTGACCGAGGAATGAGTCCATAGCAGAAGGTGTATCAACAGGCGCAAACTAGTTCAATTGGAAAGTTTGAGTATAACAAAACCAGAAATATGATATTTTTACTTTCAATTAAGCTATACAGAACAAGAGCAACACATTACAATTCCATGTTACTCTAAGGACACCAATAGATATAACCAACCATGGATATATTCCAATTCCAATCTATTATATAAACCAATAATATACATATATATACAACATATTAAAACATAAATGTCTGAAGAACAAATAGTAACTGACTAAAACATAGAATGTTGTAATTATAACCAAATATTATTCAGGTATTTTTTTTTTTTTTTTTTTTTTTTTTTTTTTTTTTTTTTTTTTTTTAGGTAAACTAGTTTGTTTTTCCTTTATCTTGATTTACACATGCTAAAGCATAGAAGTAATCAGCTTTATCCTTCTCTTTTTCTCCAAAGGGGAGCTAAAGCCATACTAGCACTCTCTTTAAAAATTTATTGTTCTTTCATGCGTGTGCAATGCCAGGAACTTCTTTGTCAATTCCAACAAAACTGACAAGGTAAATCAAGTCAGTTTTACTTGTTTTCAATTACCACTTTATGCAAGCTCTAAACCCTTTTTCAACCACACACAATATAGTAAAAATCATAAGCCAAAGCAACCACATAGAGAAGGTTTTTAGGATTAATTGACACTCTCACGAACTTTACACCACTGACAAATTTTTTGTAGGATTTCTTCTTCTTCTTCTTTTTTTGGAATCCTACTGTTAGATTTAATGATCAGATTCATGTCAAATTTCAAGTTGGTCCAGTACCTTTAATCATTCCATCTATATTGTATTAAAATTAGTTTTTTTATTTTTTGTACAACTAACTAAAAATTAGACCTTGATCCCCTCGTTGCCTATAAATTATGTCCCCGATTAGAGCATTAAATCAAATGATTGAATTGAGCAGAAAAATCTAACCAAAGTTATTAAATGGTATAAAAGTCCCAACATTTTCACCAGTGTCGAGCAATTAATTAAGTAAAAGTATAAACATGCACCTGATGTATGACACCAGTTGGAAGACGTTTCTCTATTACTTCACTGCATATGTAGAGAGGGAAAACCAAAAATAAGTTCAGAGTTGCTTTTCAAATGGATAAAACTTACACAATGAATTTCAAATTAAGCTCTGGAAACGGAGATTTGGTCTTACAATGCGGACGACGTCGTAGTGGTCATCAAGATGGTCAAATCAGGCCTTCGCTGAATGCATTGTTTGATTACAGGAATGGCAGCCATTCCTTCACCTGATTCAAATTTCATTACGCCAAAATTATAATCGAAAAAAGAAATTCAATGAGCATTTCAAAACTGAAGAAGCAGAACCACGATTGATTCAGCTTTCTCTCTTATTTTCCCCCACTTTCTCAGTAACCGAACCAGAGGAAAGCAAACGAATTTAAAGCAATGGATCGGAGAAAACCTAATGAAACGGCGTGGAACCAGAGGAGCTGCCCCGGGGGACGAGGAAGGGAAGGTCGGCCCAAACGCTCAGGCCAGCGGAGTGGATGCTCGAGGCCTCGGAGTTTGCGCCAGTGTAGGTGAAGGTACAGCAATGGTGAGAGACCATGGCTCAGCGCTCGGTAAACGTTGTAAACTGCCTTGCTCTTCGTTGCCGCCATTTCTCTTCTGTAATTGTCTGTTTTTCACCGGCGGAGTGAGGGAGTCCACTTCGTCAAAGACATTGAGCATACTGGAAGGTTATGTGGGCCGGCCAAGAAGTTTACTTTCTTGGGCCAGCTTATCTGATTGGGCCTATCCAGAAGGCAGAGTGTGACTAAACCCGTTCCGACAAACCTACCAAGCACCATTATTCTTATAATATAGAGTTGTGCTACGTGGGCAACTGATTTTAGCAAAACTAATAAATAAGAATAAGTATAGGATTCAATCACACTCCATTTCCTTCCTATCAATAATGTTTCTTCGAAAGGAGTTGTTATTGGTGCTCCAAAAAAACTATCACATATTCTCTCATTGTATAAATATAAAGGAGTAAGGGAATTGTAGCTTAGAATAATATTTGTATTTTTAATGAGTGCATTAAAGTGCTCGAAATGCCTACCACGCAAGTAATAGTTTTTTGAAGTGATTTTTATTTTTTAATGGAGACATTTTGCTATATCGTTGAACTTTCTTCTAGTCTTCACCGTAAGCCTAAAATAAATTACCTATTAAACTCATCCTAGTGGTGTGGGGTTTTTATTTTTATTTTTTATAGAAGTGATATTGAATCAGATATAGCGTGGGGAGCAAGTACATCCCCTATAGTCAACTTGACTAAGTGGAATTGAGGGATGATAGGGTGGTACTTTTTAAATCTTCTTAGTACTTGGGGAGGAAAACAAACCTAAAAACTTATTCTAACATGTATGATGTATACAGATTTCATGGAAAAAGGGAAGAAAAGTTATCATCATCCGTGACTCGAGTATGATTCAGACATCTTTGATAATTTAAGGATAAAGTAAAAGTACTGAATTATAGGTCCTTTTTTTTTTCTCTAAAAGGGGGGGACAAAGCTATATATATATATATATATATATATATATATATATAGCTTCCATTGAGGGATCCCTCAAATAAGCTTATTTGAGGGACACCATTTGTAGGCCCCACTATGGATTGTATTTCACTAATCCAAACCATCTATTTTGTAGATACTCATTCAAAGATCATCTCTACAAAAAATCACTTGAATCCAATATCATTTGACCACTCAATTAAATTATTGAAATTTTAGTACTTTCTTGAAGCACCGTGTTCATTGATTTTGTAAGACACAATTGGATGTCAAAACGATTTCCGATTGTCTAATTTTTTGTAAGGATGATCTATGAATGAAGACCTAAAAAATATATGGTTTGGATCATTGGAAAAAAAATTGTAGGGTATCCTAAAAGGCGTCCCTCAAATAAAATTATTTGAGGGATCCCTCAATAGAAAGGGACTGTATATATAAGTTTAAATCCATGCCTTTGGCGCTTTAGCATCACCTTGGTGCACTTTAGAAACCAAGTCAAATAAAAAACAATCAGAAAAATATAGAGAATATTGTTTAAGATATGATATTTATATAACTTGTTGGACCAAGCATGTACTGTGATCAGAAATGAGCTAAGCTTAGCCTCCTTTTTCTTCTTGGACAAACAAAAGGCTCCTTGCATACGCCAAGGTTAGGTGAATCGAAGCTCAATCAAACCACAAATATCGCAATAAGATGGAGGAGGGGACCAGGTGTACTGTAAAGGCCATTCCCTTTGTGGCTTTGTCAATTTCAAAACCTTAAAGAAATGAAATTATTGAGTAGCAAAAGAAAAAAAACAAGAAAATTAGGGGACAAAGGGATAAGAATTAATTTACAATAGCTTAATGACACAAGAGAATAATATGTGATGCATATAACACAACAAAAAGATAGTTCAAATATATATTTTCTATATATAGGTAAATTTCTAAAAGTTCGTGTTTAGATATATAGCGATATATGTCAACATGGTCTAGCCTAGTGAAAAAGGCCATTTGACTTGTAGATTTAGTTGTCTTAGTTTCGAACCCCCATGACATCATATAGTAGCGTGTCTGTATGAGAAACCCTTCCTCTGTAGTTTAGACTATCGCTTGTACTAAAAAAAAATATAGCAATCATAAAATTTGTATATTAAATAAAAGATTATATTATAAAAAAAGAAGGTGATATTATATTAACAATAGCACATGGTCCACTGGTCCCAAAGACCAGTCACAATACCATTTAATTAAAATAGACAATTCTAAAATTATAATTAAACTCTTATATTAAGTTATTCGGTTGTTACCTTGTTTCAATCAAAGATATATCTTTCTTGTTCATTCTGATGTTATCTTCTTAGTTTGGTTGTTTCTGGCAAAAGATTGAGTTGCAACAAAATCTCACACAAGTAGTGTAACGAAGACATTTGGGACAAGGATCTGTGGTTTAATTAGGGTGCAAAAAATAAAAGTGAAAGTATAATGAACGAAATATAAAAACGCTACAAGGATCTGTGGTTTGACAATACTTCTGTGTTTATTATGTTCATAGAAGGAAGATGTATGTGGAGTGGATAAAAATAAAAATAAAATGTGAAATGCTTGAGGTTGAAGCTATTGGATAGGACATATTAATTCATTAAAGATAGTACATGTCCAACATGATCAGGTTTTAAAAAATAAAATCAGGGTTTAGATTCCCCTTGGAAAAAAGACAAGTTTCTCAAATGCTAATAGGTTGCTTGGATTTGTCACGTAATCAAAGGAGAAACTATATATTAGGCCTCCTCCCTGAGAAAACCTGCAAAAACAGAAACGAAAGCCAAATAGAAATTTTCCCAGAGACCAAACAAAACTTTAGAAAAAACACACACGCACAAAAATGGAGCACAATGAGGTTGTTGGTTTATCCATAGGGGTGGTATTGATATGGGTTGCGTGGTCAATAATATTGTCGGTAACCCATCTTCGACGACGTCGTTTGGAGGAGGTAGCAGGGCACCTCCCACCTGGGCCAAGGTGGTGGCCCGTGGTGGGCAACATATTCCAACTGGGTTTGGGGCCACCCCACGAATCATTTGCCATGTTGGCCCGAAACCACGGCCCAATCATGACACTTTGGCTAGGATCCATGAGCACCGTAGTGATCTCGTCGAGCCAAGTGGCCCGTGAAATGTTCAAAAACCACGACGTGGTCCTAGCCGGTCGAAAAATCTACGAGGCCATGAAGGGTGATTATGGCAACGAAGGCTCACTGATCACGGCCCAATATGGACCTCATTGGCGCATGTTAAGGCGCTTGTGCACGACTGAGTTCTTCGTGACAAGTCGCCTCGATGCCATGTGTCGTGTACGTGCCAAATGTATCGATGGAATGGTGCAGTTCATAGAGGATGCTGCATCGGAAATAAGTACCAAAACTGATGGCATTGATTTGGGTAGGTTCATTTTCTTGATGGCTTTTAATCTGATTGGGAACCTCATGTTTTCTAAGGACCTATTGGACCCAAAATCGGAGAGAGGGGCTATGTTTTTTTACCATGCAGGAAAGGTTATGGAGTTGGCTGGGAAGCCAAATATGGCAGATTTCTTTCCAATTTTGCGTTGGCTTGACCCACAAGGCATCAGGAGGAACACCCAATTCCATGTGGAAAAGGCCTTTGAAATTGCAGGTGAGTTTATAAGAGAAAGAATGGAGATAATGGAGAATGGAGAATATGATGGCATAGAGAAGACAAAAGATTTCTTAGACGTACTATTGGAATACCGTGGTGATGGTGTTGACGAGCCCTCTAGGTTCTCTTCTTCAAGAACCGTCAATGTCATTGTTTTTGTAAGTCATCTAATCCCTTTCAATTTTAGTATTATCCGTACCAATTATCTTAACTGATCATCTTGTTTAACGTATCCTCAATACAATTGAGACTCACATAAGTGAACTTCTCACGAGTATCACATCTATTAGAAAATTATTGTATATAATTAGTTGAGATGGTAAAAATAATTTTATTCTACCAACTGAAAAACTCTTTGTAACATAAGTGTAACATCTATGTAAGTATGCGACACTTCAATTTCATTTTTGTTTATTTATAAGTCTCACTTCTATTAAAAAGATGGTTGACGGTTGTCCAACCATATCGAATTGTTTGAATTAATCTTAATTCAATTTTAATGTTCTTGTACACAAACAAATTTATGCCGATGTATACGAATATTATTTCAGGAGATGTTCACTGCAGGAACTGACACAACCACGAGCACACTAGAGTGGGCAATGGCAGAGCTTCTTAACAACCCAAAAACCCTAAAAAAGGTTCAAGCCGAGCTAAGAAGCACCATATCCTCCAGCGACAAGCTCCAAGAGAAAGACATTGAAAACCTCCCATACCTCAAAGCAGTCATCAAAGAAACCCTAAGGCTCCACCCACCCCTTCCCTTCCTGGTCCCACACATGGCCATGGACTCTTGTAAAATGCTAGGGCACCACATTCCCAAAGGCACCCAAATTCTGGTCAACGTCTGGGCCATTGGACGTGACCCAAAGACATGGGAGGACCCTCTGCTTTTCAAGCCTGAGAGGTTCTTGGAGCCCAACATGGCCGTTGATTATAAAGGGCAGCATTTTAAGTTCATCCCATTTGGTTCTGGCCGTCGGATGTGCCCTGCTGTGCCACTAGTCTCTAGGGTACTCCCTCTGGCTCTAGGGTCACTCTTGCACTCGTTTGATTGGGTTTTACCAGAAGGGCTTGAGCCAGAGAATATGGATATGGCTGAGAGGATGGGGATCACACTTAGAAAATCTGTCCCTTTGAAGGTTATACCTATACCTTACCAAGGGCATGTGGGATGCTCAATCTAATGCATTTTTATTTAGGTAAGCCAAGCAATGGGGTCAATTTGTGATAAGTTTGTTTGTTAAATATGTTAATTAATAGCTGATTGTTGTAATTGTTGTAATAAAAGTATAGAATGATGTATGTGGGGATTATATATATTTAATGTGAATTGTGAAAGCTATAATTACTATATGTATTAATGATAAACCAATTTGTATTATGAACATCTTTATCTAAGTTATTGTTACTCTACAATGAGTCCAATATGGTTACAACAACAACAAATTGCATTCAGATATCTTTTGCATGTGTATGTATAGTTTTGTTCGATTCGAGTTATGTTACCATGTCATGTTAAAGAAAGTGGCAAAATTTGATCTTTATATTATTTGGACTAATATGGGGTTGTTGTATAAGATCTTCTTGGCCCGTATTAGGGTGTATGTTGGGCTGCCTAATTGTTTTTTGCCCATTTCATAGGGCCACTATCAAATTGATGATGTGCTCCAGATGTGATAGTGCTGGCTAAGATTTGCTTCTTGCACCTGAGATCTGTCTGCGATGTTTTCATTTTAATTGGTTGGTATGCCATTTCGTATGAGCTGAAAGTGCTTACTGTAAATTAAAAAAATCAATCTTACACATAGAGAAAAGAAACCTTCGATAGACAAAAGAAACCCAATAAAAAAACATAGGACTGACGTGGCAGAATAATTGAGTGCTTCCAATGCTGAAATCTGATGGGAACTCCTGTTGCTGGCTGCTTGTGCATTTCCTGATTGGCTGGTTTTCAATCTGGTTTGGGGGACGGTGGCTGTAAAAGATGGAGGAAGGATACAGATGCTCTGCTTTGATTTTCTCTGTTAGAACTTGTTTGACTTTCATTCTCTATACGTCATTTCATTTAAATTTAATATAACGGATTTAAAATTGACACAACCCTAAAATAAAAACTCAATTTCATAAAATTAAAAAAAAAATTCCTTAATTAAACAAACGCCAAAAGTATGCAGCTCTTCTTTCGTCAAACTTAATACAATGGAAACCCACCAACATAATCTACAAGTGATAAAAAGAATAAAATAGAAAGAAAATATAACTCACCTATATTAATCAAACTTAAGTTTATTGTTTTGTTTTTTTATTGAAGAAATGTTGCGAGATGGAGGAAAATAATGAATGGGTTGTTTATTAATACAAGGCTGTATTTTATTCTGCAACTTTATCGTTTTGCTATATTCTAGTTGTTTTTGTTATGCAAAACCGAATTAACTAATGAATGGATTAAAGCCACTTTTGCTTTCTATCACGACCAAGACTACCAGCTGCTTTGTTATATATATTTAATATATATATAATTTTATTTGAGGAATAACGTATGATTTTTTTTTTTCAACAATCCAAATCGTTTATTTTTCAAGTCTTTATTCATAGATCATCCTTGCAAAAAAATCAGAAAAATTGAAAATCATTAAGGCATATAATTGATAGCAATAAAATATATGAACACGATGTTTCAAGAAAAGACTAAAATAACAATAATCTAATTGAGTAGTCAAATGGTTTTGGATTCAAGTGATTTTTTGCAGATATGATCTTTAAGGGAATATCTAAAAAATTAGACTGTTCGGATCATTAAAAAACAATGTGTGTTGGACCTTACAAGAGTGTTCCTCAAATAAACTTATTTGAGAAATCCCTGAATAGAAGTTGAATTTATTTATATGATGACAATCATCATGTTGTTTATATAAAAGGAATTAAGAGCATCCACAATGATGCTCTCTATTTCTTAGCTAAAATTTGGCTAAGAATATAAGAAAGCTATTTTAGGAGCTCTCTAAAAAATTTCAACTCCAACCATACACCTTAATTTGGAGAGTGATAAATGTTATAACTCTTTTTTGATTGGTCCATCTCTATTAAAAAATAAAATAAAAAATAGTTAGCATTAAATAAAGGTTTGAAATACTCATTAAATAAAACATTATTAAATTATAGGGAGTCACTAGGAGTCATTTCTCTCTCCTCATATTTAAGAGCTCCTAGAGGACTCCCTATTTTAGGAGGTGAATATGGAGCGTGGTTGGAGTTACATTTTTACGATTCCTCCCTAAAACTTGTCTAAGGAGGTGGTTTAGGAAGCCCATTGTAGATCTTTAACAAGGAAGTTGCGCACACTTAATTATACAGCCAAGACAATGAGAGACAAGCAACCCAAGTTTCGAAGAGCTTTATCATGTATTGATGTTATTGTGATGAGAACATTACGTGAGGTAAGGTAGGTGTTGAAAGCATTGTCCCGCATAGAAATACTTTGCCTCCTGAAATTTCATTTTGTTTCATTTGATTTATTAAACTTTTATCTCTCATTGTATCTCCATATACGGCATGCGGACACAAGAACTTCTCCGCAATGAGGCTAAATATATATATGGTTTATCAGTACGTAGGTATTGACTTAGACTTTTCATCTGTTGACTTTGGAAAGTACTGTAATTTCCTCCCACAACCCCCTTCCCACACACACATTAAGATAGTCAACTTCAGCTCTCCAACTTCTTCTAGCCAATCTCCTGGTGCTTCCATGGCCGTAGAGAACATGTCACCATTACTGGTTCCAATCAAACTCACGAGTGATATATATAGCTATCGACAGTGGAGAACTTTCTCCCTTTCATATTTTCACCATCATAATATTTCTGGAATCATTAATGGAACAGAGCCTCGTCCTGGGCGAGTTCAGTCTGCCCTTACTAATTGGTATGGCAGAGAGAAACAGGCTCTGAAATGGCTAAAGGCCTCTCTATCTGAAAGTCTCCAACAAATTGTCATGCACACCGGAGTTGACTCTTCACGACAGGTCTGGCTCAATCTCAAGGAACACTTCACCAATCTCGCTCATGCTCGCATCTATCAGCTTAAATCAGATCTACACAACGTGAAGAAAGATCCCGACATGCGGATGACTGCGTATCTAGAAACTATCAAACAGTTGGCGGCCGATCTTGCAGTTGCCGGTGCTCCTGTGGATGATCTCGACCTACTTCATGTACACATCCTGGCGGGATTACCAGAGGAGTACAATCCCATTCGTGAAAGGATGAAAGTCTCTGCAGTAAGTAGTTGGGATGAGTTGGATGACTTATTGTTGAAAGAGGAAATTCATCTGGATGAGCAGCGCAGAAATACTACCTTAAATCATGATCAGGGTGGCCAAGAAGAAGACCATGCTATCGGGATCGATCTGGGAACGACGTATTCCCGCGTGGCCGTGTGGCAGAAAGATCATGTAGAGGTCATACTGAACGATCACGGGAACAGGAAGACTTCATCGTATGTTGCCTTCACTGAAACTAATGAGACTATTTTGGTAGGTGATGCAGCATTTAACCAAGTCCAGAGAAACACCACCAACTCAATCTTTGGTACGTAGGATTAAAATTATCATGTTTTGTTATAACTGTTTACCGTCTCCTTTTTAATTCTGTTCACTCATATTTCTTTACTTATCACTTAGAACTAATCATAAGAAGTTGCATTTTCCTTAAGCTTAAGATTTTCTAGGAAGTTAAAATTTTATCTTTTAACTTTCAGTAAGATCCTTCCAAGGTGAAAAAAGTATGTATTGGTAAAGAAGCTATTATATAAACAGTAACACTACTTTGTTTATCAAAATTAGTGATGCCAAATTACGAGGACCACATCATCTTTTCTTAATTATTTAGTCCAAAAAATTTGAAACTTAAACCATTTACAATTTTTTATATAAAAGAAATCTGATATACTCCCTTCATTCCGAGATCTTCCATGGCCTCAGTTCTTCCAGAAATATTTCATGGTTTCCGCCTAATCAAAGGGGAAAAAAACAGATCCAAAAATTTTCACACTTCACATATGTTTATCGTTTGTTTGAATCTATATAATCAGTTTAGATTTTATCAATGTTGTAAACAAAAAAAGTTGAGATAATTATATAGGCCCTCCTTGAAACAACTAGGAAGCTATTGAAAGGGCTTGAAATCTCAAAAGATTTGTATTTCTTGTAGCGAAAATCTGTTGCATTCGAAGGAGTGGTGAGTATAGAAATCTACATCCAATGTTTGTGTAAAAGGACAAGTTTCAGGCTTAAAAACCCTAGAAATATTACTAGCTAACCAGTAGAGGAGAAGAAAATAAAGATTAAAGAACTATAACCAATGACATTTGAAAACTCTTACCTCTATGACTGGGGAAAATTATATTCAAAGAAAGAAAATAAATCCAAATTTTTTTCACACTTCACATATAACGTATATCGTGGGTTTGGATCTCAACGGTCATGTCATATTTGGATGAGTGGAGGCCATGGCAGATCTGGGGATTGGCAATGGTTTTTTTGGTTTTTTCTTTTTTCTTTGTTCTATAAATGGTTTAAGATTTTACTTTTAATAATTATGTCAAAATATGATTAATATAAAAAAAAAAATTATGTGATAGATGAGATGACTTGTGGCGTTATGTGTCACGTAAGTTAGTATCACTAAAGTTGGTAAACAAGGTGGTGCCCATACCATTATTGTTATACAAATGCCTACTTAACTCAACCATGAAATATTTAATTCCTATATGTGATAGAATAGAAGTCTAAATAAACTTGGTATCAATTTGTAGATACAAAGCGGCTAATCGGTAGGAGATTCAGTGACACGTCTATTCAAAGTGATGTGAAGCACTGGCCATTCAAGGTGGTTGAAGGTACAGCTGACAGGCCCATGATTGTGGTTACCCACAATGGCCAAGAGAAACAATTTACTGCTGAAGAAATCTCTGCCATGGTTCTGGAAAAGATGCGGAAGATTGCCGAGACCTACCTGGGCTCAACTGTGAAAAATGCAGTTATCACTGTCCCTGCTTACTTCAATGACTCCCAACGTCAGGCTACAAAAGAAGCTGGCCTCTCTGCTGGCCTAAATGTGATGCGTATTATGAACGAACCGAGTGCTGCTGCCATTGCTTATGGCCTCAGCGAGAAGTCCAGTTGGAATAGCACGAGAAATGTGATGATATTTGATCTGGGTGGAGGCACTTTAGATGTGTCATTGCTTACCATGACTAGTTCTGGTGACTTTCAAGTCCTGGCGACCGCTGGAGACACTCACCTTGGCGGCGAAGACTTCGAGAACAGAATGGTGAAGTATTGTGTCGAGCGATTCAAGAGGGAGAAGACATTGGACGTCAGTGAAGACTTCAGAGCTCTTAGGAGGTTAAAAAACCAATGTAAGATGGCAAAAGAAAGTCTCTCATTTGAGTCTGACTTTGACATTGAAATTGATTGTTTGCGCTCGGGTATTGATTTCACTATAACTTTTACCCGTGAGAAATTTGAACAACTGAATATGGATTTGTTCATCAAGTGTATGGAGCCTGTGGCCAAGTGCTTGACGGATGCGAACATGGACATAAGCCATGTCCATGATGTTGTTCTTTCTGGTGGCTCTTCTAGAATTCCCATGGTGCAAGAGCTATTATAGAAGGTTTTCAAGGGGAAGGAGTTGTGCAGGGGCATCAATCCGTATGAGGCAGTGGCATGTGGTGCCGCCATTCAAGCTGCAGTCTTAAGTGGGAATGGAAATGGGAAGTTCATTGAAGACTTCACCCTCTCAGATGTCACTCCTCTGCCACTTGTTCTGGAGTTTAACGATTATGATACAGTCAAGAGACTCTGCGATTTAATTCCAAGAAACATTAGAATTCCTACGATCGAGAAAGTGCGTTTTAATACTGTTCAGGACGATCAAGCTTTAAGCAACTTCTGCATATATGAAGGTGAGAGTAGCATACCTGAAAGTATGAACTTTTTGGCTGAATATAGCCTCCATGACATTCCTGCAGCTCTTAACGATCTTCCTGGATTTTGTGTTTGCTTTTCTATTGATGCCGATGGTATCTTGAGTGTCTCTTCTGAGCATAAGTACACTTGGCAGAAGAAAGGGATCACATTTAACCGTGACAAACCGAAGTTTGGGGGTAATTATGATGAGTAACGTTGAAATAAGATACTCTGCTTGGCTTTGCACGCTTGGTAACTAATAGAGGATATATATTCATCAATAAAACAATGGGATCTATTGCGTTAAGAAAGAGAAGAGAGAAAAAGTCTAATATCAATGTGTGCTTGATTTGATGTATGTTATTTTTTAATGGGAAAAATTATATATTTGGAGTTATGTAACTTATGTTTTAGTGCATGGTATATATAACCTGCAGGCAAGAGATCAGAAAATTATATCCATATATGCATTAGTTGGAGAGGGGGTCTTGCTTTGCCAATTGGCACCAACCTTAATTTACCAAAATAAAAATAGCCATCAACCTAACTTTAATGACTGACTGCACTGCAGTCTGCAGTGATGATTCTTTGGGAAAAATTGGAAAGATACCGTGCTACAACAGTACAAAAGATGACCTCGTATTGTTTTTTATTATTTAAAAATACAAATAATAATCTAGATTATGCGTATACATAGATTCTAACTTGGGTGTATGGAGAGCGGACTCATTGTTCTGACCAACTGGCCTAACTCACTTCTGCATAATTGCGTTGTTGTTTAATTATAAAGATTGGGGTTTCAAATCAACCTTAAGGAAAGCATAAGGACGTTGGAGATACATTGAGATAAGTTATCTGCAATGAAATTTACATGTCAAAATGGCAAACTGGAATTTATCGAGAGAGAAAGAAAGAAAAGGAATTGCAGAAATTGTAGAAATTGTAGAACTGTTCTTGGAGCCCAACATGGCCGTTGATTATAAAGGGCAGCATTTTGAGTTCATCCCATTTCGTTCTGGCCGTCGGATGTGCCCTGCTGTGCCACTAGTCTCTAGGGTACTCCCTCTGGCTCTAGGGTCACTCTTGCACTCGTTTGATTGGGTTTTACCAGAAGGGCTTGAGCCAGAGAATATGGATATGGCTGAGAGGATGGGAATCACTCTTAGAAAATCTGTCCCTTTGAAGGTTATACCTATACCTTACAAAGGGAATGTGGGATGCTCAATCTAATGCATTTTTATTTAGGAAAGCCAAGCAATGGGGTCAATTTGTAATACGTTTGTTTGTTAAATTTGTTAATTAATAGCTGATTGTTGTAAGTGATGTAATAAAAGTGCACAATATGTTTGTGGGGATTGTATATATAATTCATGTGAATTGTGAAGGCTATAAGTACTATGTATCAATGATAAACCAATTTGTATTATGAACATATTTTTCTAAGTTATTGTTACTCTACGATGAGCCCAATGGTTACAAAAAGAATTTGCATTCAATATCATTGTGCGTGTATGTACATAATTTTGTTAGCTCGTCGTATTTGATATGAGTTATGTTACCATGTCATGTTAAAGAAAGTGGCATAATTTGATCTTTATATCTTATGAAGTGATTGATATTATTGTAAAATTAAAGAAAGTGGAATAATTTATGACTATAGAGCTAATAAGAGCATTTCCACTCATGGCAAAAGGGGGCTTAGACTCCAAAAACAACCCCCATAAAAGAAAAGTTGTCATGGCAAGAAGAGGTCCATGAAACTGGGCAAGCCCGAAGACAAGACTAACATGGGTTGCTACCTGGGCAAACTAACATTGCCAATTTAAATACTAAAAAAATTAATAAATAAAAAACTAAAAAATTAAGAATTTTTTTTATAAATACCTAGCCATGTTTTTCACCTCCCACACCAAAATTCATACAAATTCCTCTTATCGTATCTTATGTAAATAGTGGTTGCCATAGCTATGGGTGAGAATGCATCAAAAAATTGTTAGGGAATGCATAAAAAAATTGTTAGGGAAGTCATTATTCATGTGAATAGTGTTTGCTCTTACTTGCTATTGCCCTTTGCCATGGCACAATGGGATGAAAGTGTTCTAAAGTATAGATTTATTTATTTGGACTAATGTGAAGTTGTTGTATAAGATCTTCTTGGCCCGTGAGGGTTTTATGTTGGGCTACCTAGCTAATTGGTTTTTTTGTATGATCATTTCATAGGGCCACTATCAAATTGATGATGTGTTCCAAATGTGATAGCGCTGGCTAAGATTTGCTTTTTGTACCTGAGACTTGCTCCAAAGTCAAGGGTAGATTTAATTTTTCCATGACAGGAGAAAACAATTCGAAGTTGTTTAAAAGAACAGAAAGAAAAGAAAACAGAGTTGAATGAAATTGCATCTATCTGCCAACATCTTGAACACCCATAGGCTCATAACCTCAGAGAGAGAGAGAGAGAGAACATAAGGGTGATGTGGCAGAATAATTGAACATTGCTTCCAATCCTGGATGTATAATTCATCAATAAAACAAGGGAATCTATTGCGTTAAGAAAGAGAAGAGAGAAAGTCTAATATCAATGTGTGCTTGATTTGATATGTATGTTATTTTTTAATGGAAAAATTATATATTTGGAGTTATGTAACTTATGTGTTAGCGCATGGTATATATAACCTGCAGGCAAGAGATCAGAAAATTATATATATATATATATGTATATATGTATATATGTGTGTGTGCATTAGTTGGAGAGGGGGTTTTGCTTTGCCAATTGGCACCAATCTTAATTTACCAAAATAAAAATAGCCATAAACCTTACTTTAATGACTGACTGCAGTGATGATTCTTTGGGAAAATTTGGAAAGATACCGTGCTACAACAGTACAAAAGATGACCTCACATTGTTTTTTATTTTTTATTTTTTAAAATACAAGTATAGTCTAAATTATACATAGACATAGATTCTAACTTGGATGCATGGAGAACGGGCTCACTGTTCTGACCAACTGGCCTAACTTACTTCTGCATAATTGCATTGTTGTTTAATTATAAAGATTGGGGTTTCAAATCAACCTTAAGGAAAGCATAAGGACGTTGGAGATACACTGAGATAATTTATTTGCAATGAAATTTACATGTCAAAATGGCAAACTCATTTATCTGGAGAGAAAGAAAGAAAAGGAATTTCGAGAAATTGTAGACGTTCTAATTATAGCTAGAAACACTAGAAATTGTAGACGTTCTAAAATAATCAAACGGAAGAATACTTTTTTCTTAGGTTGTTGGGTTGTTGTTATCGTCAGATATGTTACCAAAGATGCATACAAAGTTGGTTTTAGTCTTATGCTTACATAAATCCATGGCCTCCATAGTCGAGGCCTTTAGGGTAGCATTATCTACCTATTAACAATCATATTTTGTGGCACATATAGTGTCTTTTTGTCTCTTCTACCTAAAATTGAAGAATTCTGAAACTGACGGCTACAAGAAGTTTACATGTGTGCTAATCCCATTCGATAAGAGAATCCCATTCGATAAGAGATGCGATTTCGAAACTCGCCTTTAAGGTTAAAAAGATATGTTTATATGGCACATTCATATTAGCTGCTAGCTAGCTTGAGAGCAAAGCACACTTCATTGCTTTGAGTCCCTGACCATGATGGAGTGGCCTTGGAATTTTCTTGTCTATTTCATCACCTTCCTTTTACCAGCTCTGCTCTTCTTGATCAGAAGGAGATCATCAAACTCGAGCCTCCATCGGCTTCCTCCCGGTCCGCCAGGACTGCCTGTGTTCGGCAACATGTTCGACCTTGGAACAATGCCACACAAGACCCTCACTGAGCTAACACACAAGTTTGGTCCTGTAATTTGGCTAAGGCTCGGTGCAAGAAACACTATGGTAATTCAATCTGCCAAAGCAGCCGCAGACCTTTTCAAGCACCACGACATGTCATTTGCAGGACGCACCACAACCGAAGCAAGCCGTGTGCTTGACTACCACAAGGGGTCACTGGCTCTGGCCCCTTATGGTGCGCACTGGCGTATGTTGCGGCGCCTCGTGACGGTTGAGATGCTGGTGAACAAGCGCATTAATGAGACTGCCTTCATCCGCAAGAAGTGTCTGGACGACTTGCAATTGTGGATAGAAGAGGAAGCCTCAAAGCTCGAAGAAGGGCATGGAGTTCACATGGCTCGCTTTGTGTTTCTTATGAGTTTCAACCTTCTTGGCAACCTCATGCTGTCCAGGGACTTGGTGGACCCCAACTCAAGAGAAGGGCTGGAGTTCTTTTCTGCAATGGCTGGATTGATGGAGTGGAATGGGCATGCCAACATGGCTGATTTCTTTCCATGGCTGAGGTGGCTTGATCCACAAGGCTTGAAGAGAAAGATGAAGAGGGATCTTGGAAAAGCTCTGGAAATTGCTTCTAAGTTTGTTGGGGAGCGCATGGAAGAGAAGCAGGTGGGTGGAGTGAGAGCTAGGGACTTCTTGGATGTGTTGCTTGAGTTTGAAGGCAATGGGATTGATGAACCAGCCAAAATTTCTCATCGTGATGTCAATATTTTCATACTGGTAAGTGGTGTTGTTTTCCTTGTTCAATACATAGTCTTTTTTAACATGTTAAGTTTAATTTGGTCATGCGTGTTTCATATCACTTAATACAATTTTGTAACGTTTTTAACCATGTTGAGAACTGTTCGATATGCTGATAAAAAAAACAAATTAATAAAGAGATATAAGCCTTGTAATTCTCATTGCAGTAGTACATTTCTTTTTTGTTCAGAAGTGACCATAGAACTTGTCAACTTATAAATGATAATCTGTATTGCTTATGCTGTGATGCAGGAAATATTTCTGGCAGGTTCAGAAACAACAAGCAGCACAATAGAATGGGCACTGACTGAGCTTCTATGCAACCCTGAGACATTAACCAAAGCCAAAGCCGAGCTCACTCAAGTTATAGGGCCAAACAGAAAAGTTGAAGAGACTGACATTGAAAAGCTTCCATACTTACAGGGCATAATTAAAGAAACCCTAAGATTGCATCCACCAATCCCATTCCTAATACCAAGAAAAGCTATGGAGGAGACCAAGTTCACGAACTACTTTATACCCAAAAACACACAGGTATTTGTGAATGCTTATGCAATTGGAAGAGACCCAGATGTGTGGGTTGATGAGCCTAATGCATTTAAGCCTGAGAGGTTCATAGGGTCAAAAACTGATTATAAGGGTCAGCATTATGAGTTCATTCCATTTGGGGCTGGAAGAAGAGTTTGTGCGGGTTTGCCACTGGCTCATAGAATGTTGCATCTTACTTTGGGCTTGTTGCTGCACCAATTCGACTGGTCACTTGATGGAAGTGTCACCAGAGGCACCATGGATTGGAAGGAAAAGTTGGGGATAACAATGAGAAAGTCTCAGCCTTTACTAGTTGTGCCTAGAAAGTGCGCGGCACAGTCACTATAGCTTCTGTTTTTTTTTCTGTCAAAGTCTGATCTCATTAAAGAAATCCAGAGAAAACAGGATAAAAACAGAGCTATCGCTTCATATGTTTTAAAAACACCACCTTTCGTTACAAATAGCGTGTGTTACTGTCTTATTTATTAAAAGTGAATGAGTTCTAAATGTACTGTAATCTCAAACATGTACAAATGAAAAACTTGTGCATCAGTTAAGAATGATTGTCTTATTGTTGAACAAGTTATATGAATAGTAGTATTGGTCTGAAAATGATCAGAAATAAAATATTAGTAGTTGGATAGCTCTGTAGTAGTGGAGCATGCTTGTCTCGGGTGCATGTTACAATTGCATGCCTATCTTGAGAATTGTATAATTGTTTATTCTTGCTTTGTGTTGCACCCATTATAAAGCTCTAAAGAGCTAATGATGAATAAGACAATTTCATTCAAAGTGGATGTAGGCATCAACAGCCGAACCACTATAATTCTCTGTTCTTGTCTGTTGCTATTTTGTAGTCTTTGTTTCTTCATGGTATCAGAGCAGGTGTGGTAGAAGCCCACCTGTTTCTCCTTTTCTTTAGTCGGTTGTCTTCTCCGCTATTTTCTCTGCCATGGGAGAAAAAGTTGAATCTACCACTACTGTTACTAATGCTGCAGCTACTATTATTTCTGAGTCTGAGGCAAATCCAAACATGGGGCTTTGCTCTGTTCTCTTGAATGGTTCCAATTATATCCCTTGGTCCAGAGCTGTTACTTTAGCTCTTGGAGGAAAATCAAAGCTGGGATATAATAATGGAAAAATTCCAGCTCCAGATGATGGTGATCCAAAATTTGAAGAACGGCTGTCAAAGGATCAACTTGTTATGTCTTGGATTTTGAATTCCATGGGGCCACGGGTTGCTGAAATTTTCAGCTACTCAGATTCCTCTCAAAACTTGTGGGAGTCTCTTAAAGAGATGTAGGGGCAGCAAGACAATGCAGCCCGAATTTTTGAGTTAAAGAGAGAAATTACAGGAGCTTATCAAGAGGGAAAGTCCTTTATTGCGCATCTTGGGAAGTTGTAAGGTATGTGGAATGAGCTTGCCCTGTATCGACCTCATACAAGGTTCTTGTGCAGAGGGCAGAGGAGGATAAAAAATTTCAGTTGCTTGCAAGTCTTGACTCGGACTATGAAGACCTTAGGAAAAAACATTCTCATGAGTGCTGAGATGCCTTCCTTCAACAATATCTGCACCATTATTCAAAGAGAAAAAATCCGAAGAAAGTGGTGCACAATGAAACAAAGTCACAGACCGTGACTTCAGAGTCGAGGGCATTTGCAGTTGACTGAAGGAAGGGACAAGGGGATACTGTGAAGTGTGACTATTGTGGATAACCCAAACGCACTAGAAACAGGTGTTGGATTCTCCATCCGCACTTAAAGCCAAAGAAGGGAAGAGATAACGACAAGACTTCAACTCAATCTGAGAAGGCAGCAGGTCCACATGAAATGGAGACACAACGACTGCAGCAACTCCAACGCCTGCGGCCATAACCAGTCAACTATTGCAGGTGCTGCAAAAAAATGTCGCAGGACTATCCATTTAAACATTGCCCCTACAAAGGCAAGCAGCGTCCTACAAATAAAGTTTGTTAAAAGGGAACCTTCCCTTCATGCTTTCTTATTTGCAGTCTTGTAGACAACAATATTGACCCTAGAGAGCAAGAACAACGGTTCGTTTCTTCAACTCAATGGAGTGGTGTTCTTGGAATTTTCTAGTTTATTTTCTCATCTTCTTGTTACCAGCTCTGCTCTTCTTGCTAATAAGCCGGAGATCAAAATCGGGCAACCATCTGCTTCCTCCTGGACCACCAGGATGGCCTATATTCGGCAACATGTTCGACCTCGGCACGATGCCACACAGGAGTCACTGAGCTAACGCCCAAGTTTGGTCCCGTAATTTGGCTACGGCTTGGTGCAAGAGCAACTATGTCAGTTCAATCTGCCAAAGCAGCCTCTGAGTTTTTCAAAAACCATGACCTCTCATTTGCAAACCGCACCATAAATGAAGCTTGCCGGGTTTATGACTACCACAAGGGGTCATTGGCTCTAGCCCCTTACGGCTCACACTGGCGGGTGTTGAGGCGGCTTTTGACGGTTGACATGGTCGTAAACAAGCGCATCAACGAGACCGCCTTCTTTCGAAGAAAGTGCTTTGACAACTTGCAGTTGTGGATAGAAGAGGAAGCCTCTAAGCTCAAAGAAGGACATGGAGTTCATGTGGCTCGTTTTGTGTTTCTTATGACTTTCAACCTTCTTGGGAACCTCATGCTGTCTAGGGACTTGGTGGATCCTAAGTCAAACGAAGGGTTGGAGTTCTTTAAGGCAATGAATGGACTGATGGAGTGGAATGGGGCTGCAAACATGGCTGATTGCTTTCCATGGCTAAGGTGGTTGGATCCACAGGGCTTGAAGAGGAAGATGAAAAAGGACCTCGGAAAAGCTATACAGATTGCCTCTAAGTTTGTGAAGGAGCGCATGGAAGCGAGAGGGGTGGGTAGAGAGAAAACTAGGGACTTCTTGGATTTGTTGCTTGAATTTGAAGGCAATGGAATTGATGAACCAGACAAAATTTCTGAACATGATCTCAATATTTTTATACTGGTAAGTGGTTGTTTAGCTCTAACTCTTCAAGTTACTAGATGTAAGTTTTTAAAGATCATGACATAACGTGTTCTCAAATGCTCTTATAGATTGTCTGTCAAACTGTGAATCTGAATTATTGATCACGCTCGGTACATGAACGTGTGATCTAGATTCACAATATGACAACTTAAGTATTTGTCCGGCAAGATAAGACTGGCAAGAGAATTTCACTTCTTAAAAGCTTTGATAATCATTGAACAAACTGTGTACAGGAAATATTCATGGCTGGTTCAGAAACAACAAGCAGCACCACAGAATGGGCAATGACAGAGCTGCTATGCAACCCAGAGACATTGATGAAGGCCAAAGCCGAGCTCACTCAAGTGATAGGTCCAAACAGAAAGATTGAAGAGAGTGATATTGACAATCTTCCCTATTTGCAGGGTATAATTAAAGAAACACTAAGATTGCATCCACCAGTTCCATTTCTACTACCAAGAAAGGCTATGGATGACACCAAATTCATGGGGTATTTTATACCAAAAGACACACAGGTTTTTGTGAATGCTTATGCAATTGGAAGAGACCCAGATGTGTGGGTTGATGAGCCTAATTCATTCAAGCCTGAGAGGTTCATAGGTTCAAAAATTGATTACAAGGGCCAACATTATGAGTTGATTCCATTTGGAGCTGGGAGAAGAATGTGTGCAGGTGTGCCTCTGGCTCATAGAATGCTGCATCTTACATTGGGGATGTTGCTTCACCAATTTGATTGGTCACTTGATGGAAATGTCACCAGAGACACTATGGATTGGAAGGACAAGTTGGGGGTACAATGAGAAAGTCTGTGCCATTACTAGCAGTGCCTAAAAAATGCTTGGTATAGTCACTAAAGACTCATTTGTCTTTTTAAAAAAATGTGTTTTAATACGTCTGCTTTCAATATCTTCTTTTCACGCAAATAATTTTGTCGCTAGACAATCTAGTATGTTATATTTTAATTTGTTAATTTACACTATTAATGATGTCTTTTTGAACGAATAGATCTAATTAGTTGTCCTGTGTAACAATATAATACAATATCTTAAGCTCTTTTGTAAATGAATTGATTCGAACTTGTAACTTTATTGCGGGAAAATGTTACTTATCCCAATTTTTTCTGTCAACTTTCTTTCTCAACCACATCATTCAATTAAACAAACAACAATTCTTTAGTATTCCACAAGTTGAAATAAAAAATTCGAGAGAAATAGGTTGTATGACATTATTGAAGAAATATTGTGTGGAAATGGGGATGATTGATTGATGATATAAGGGCAAATACTATTCACATGAATAGTGACTGCCTTAGCAATTTTTTGATGCATTCTCACCCATTGTCATGGTAACCCAAGGGCAATCACTATTACATGAGATATGAGAAGAAGAATTTGTATGAATTTTGATGCGGGAAGTGAAGAACATGGCTAGGTATTATAGAAAATTTTAAATTTTTTTAGAATATTTAAATTGGATGATGACGTCAACTTGTCCAGTTTCGTGGACCCCCTTCTTATCATGGTAACTTTCCTTTATGGCAAAAAGAGATGAGTATTGCTCTTATGGGCCAACCAGCTACCCAAATGGACTTTTCTTTTAGACTCTCATGTATATCCATACAATTCAGTCAATTTGCTCAAATAATGCAGTTCAGTAAATTTAGATAAAATAGTAAAGCAGTATTTCTGTAACCACAGTCTTTCTTTGGCAAGATCATAATTTATCTGAAAATTGAGAAAACCGATATATTTCCCAGAGACAGTGAACATATTTTCTGATACATAGATTGAACAAGAAAAAGACTATATCCATCGAATATACTTATATAATTGCTTTATTTTATATCCTAATTGGCCTTTTAAGACACGTGAGGAAAAAGCGTGGACAAAAAGAGGAAAACAACAAAGAAGAAGCAATCCATGTGATGAAATATTATAAGATCTTGAAGCTACAGATATGTCAAAAGAGTAGTGCAAATATACCATAGATTATGCTACAAAGAGCTTCGTGTTACATTACAAGATATGCTTTACAAGGACGTTGCCGTTGGCCCCCAATTCATTCACCATATGAACAAATGAAAGAATCTTTGAGTTCCAAGAGAAGACAAAGAAGAACAAAAGAGAAAAAGAGAAAATCTACTTGCCCAAAAGAAGCAGAAAATGTTCATTCGATGCTTAAAACATCTCATTCTTCTCCAGGTTACTTCATTGATCGAACATCGCCATCTTATAGACCTGTGGAAGTCCACAATCTACTAATGCAGTCTACAAATTCTGTTAAGCAATTTCATCCCTTTTGAGCATATAATCATCATACGGTCTGTTGCCACCAGCATCTCGCAAAGCCTTCCTATTATGCTCATCAATCATGCACATATAGTTCAGACCTATAAGAAGCTCCACAATTGCAGCTTCGGTTTTAGCCTGATTTGCAAAGTGGAGGGTCTGTACCAGAAGCACATTTGTCTTGGAAACTTCCTGCTGCTTCACAAAATTTCGCTCAGAATGCCACCGCACCATGTTATGGGCGAGGGGAGCAAGCCATTCCAGTATCTGCTCCAGTGCCAGACTCCACTCTCCTGCAAGGGCAGGATCATAGACAGAAGTGCCCATAGTTTTGGCATATGACTTTAGTCTAGCTCTCAGAGTAGTTCTTATAGTTGCGGTTAACATATTGTATAGATCATATCTTGCGTCAAGGCTGATCAAGTGAGGTGATGAAGCTATATTTTCAATCAAAACAATCACATTTGCATAATGGAGAGCCAGAGCAGCATCACCAAGGGTAGACGGCGAGGCAGTCAACAGTGTACATTTTGAACTAAACAGGGATAATTTAGAATAGATACTGTGGCTGAAAGATTGAGATCCCATATGTGTGTACTTCTCACAATGTTTCATATGGGTACTTCTCAACCTCATAGAACCACCAATTTCTGGCTTGCAGCTCTGGAAAACAGGAGATTCACTTCCACCCGTCATGCATCCTTTAAAAGGTCCAACATGAGCAAAACTTTTGGCTTTTAACTGAGAATAATTTCCATGTTGGATGGATGACTGATGATGAGCTTGCCGCTGTTTGTTTGTTTTATTCTTACTACTAGCAATAAGCCTTGGCTTTGTAAGCGACCTCCCAAGAGGTCCTGAATAGAACCCACAATGATTACCATCAGATGGATGAACAGAAGAGTGCATAAGAGCAGAAAACGAATGACTGCGAGATAGACGAGCAGAATTGGTAATTTCAGAATTATTGTTTCCCTCTCCAGAATCCATTTGATCATATCCAAAGACCAGCTTGATCCTCTCTAAAATAGTAAACAGGGATCTAGCCAGAAGTCGGACAGTGTAATCATAAGTTCTACTCCATGGAGACATCTCTTGTAGATTTTTCACAACTTGACGCTGCCACATTACCTTCTGTTGAAACTCGAGCAATTTGACCTGATTTAACCGAGGATTAGCCTGCATTCTCCTCAGAGTTTGCTCAAGCTCTGCCAGCACTTCTAGCTCCTGAGACAATTGCATTGTGGCCTCAACAAATCTCTCCATTTTCTTCACTTTCCTCTCCATTTTCTTCCACCTGTACTCCCACCCAAGCCATTGGAAACCATTCTCAAGAGGGTCATCAAAAAATTCTTCAAAACGATGATAAACAGGGTCAGTGCACCTCTTACCAAGCCTGACCACTGACATGGCAAGATACCCCAAATTCTCAATTATCTCATTCAGTGCAAGTTCCATCAAATAACCATCGTCGTCAGCCACGAGCCTTCTCATCCCAGGTGAGTTAACAATCTCTTCCCTCAACCTAAGCATCTCCTTTTCACCCACAATATTCCATAAATTCACCATCTTTAACATCAACCCCGCAACTTCAAACGCCAGAATCCCAACCACTGGCTTCTCAACCTCCACCACACGATTCCATGAGAACCTCAAACTACCGAACCACGACTCGGACACCATCTCACCTCCCATTAAAGCTCATACACCAAAGTGCAAACCAAATCTCAACAAAAAATCTCAGTAGATCCCTTTATCCCTGCGCCAAAATAAGAGGTACAACTTGTATTATGTTCTTAAACACAAAACCAAATCACAACTTTTCAAACAAACCCTAAATCTACCTTAGCTCAAAAGCAAAACCAAAAACGAACATGAAACAATTCTAACTCTAACCCTCCACTTGGTTGCTCAGGAAGCATAGAAAATACAAAAACATAACTGATTACAAATTGTCTACACTCTCATCTCAGCTAAGTTAACTACCCATACATCAAAAGGCGAAATTGATACTTTCCCAGGTCTCAAACACTAGAATTCCCACATTTTCTCACCAACCAAACATACATTGTCGATTGCCCTCACAGATTCAAACAACAAACTAACATAAGCATATATTCGTACCTACTGTATCCATACAGTATGTTGAAAACTCACCGTTTAGCTTGAAAAAGGTGGCAGCTTGACATCAATCTGGAGTACAAAAGCAAGCAAATATGACTGAGCTACAGAGAAAAGATGAAAAGGTTGGGCCTTTTAGGGGTTGGAGTTGGAGGGTGTGCGTAGGCTTTGACCGTAGGCACCCAGCTGCGTACAAATAGCCGTAGCCGTAGAGCAAGAAGACAAATATAAGGCCGAAAAGAGTTCCCAAAGAGTCGTAAATCGGTCAAACCGAGGTGAAAAACAGGATATTACAGGCCCTTGGGGAATACCAATGGTGTTCCCAAAAATGTTTCTAATTTTGGTATTATTTTATAATTTGTCCACTAATGTAATGTTGATTGAGATGGAGTTTGGGTTTTGTTATTTCCCTCTCTTGGATATTTTACTAGCCTCCCTAAATAATATAGTTCAGATTTGTTTTCTGAATGATTTAGTTTGATGAATTAAACTGTATTCTTAAAATACATCGAACACGATATCAGAGTGTCGAACATATATTAAATATCCTATAATAAGATGAAGAAAGCTCGAAATTTTGAATACCTACTTATATAACTATTTTATTTAATGACAAATGTGATGTTGTCAAGGTAAAAGTACGTTCTTGGTGGAATATTTTGGAAGATTTGGTTGGTGGGTTAATGGGGACATGTGGTTGTAAGTGGTTGCTGCTCATGGTTCTTGTGGTTAACATCATTGGGAGTGTCACTGTGGGTTTTGGGTTTGGGCTAATGAAACATTGATTGATTGGTTTGAGGCCACTAAGGAAGAAAGGCTTTCCTTTGTTGAATTTTTTGTGTCATCACTTTGCTGGTTTTGTTGTCAGTGAATTTAGTCTGGGGTACTTGCAGGCAGATATGAGACAAACTTGATGCACAACTGTCACTCGTCTGAACTGGTGATTGCACAATGAACATAATTTAATCATAAGATGTGCATGAGAGAGAGAGAGAGAGAGAGAGAGAGAGAGAGAGAGAGAGGTTCTCATTTGAGGATGCTTTGGTACCATTTGTGCGAAGAAAGGCTCCAACTTACATTGCAATTTGGTTGTGTTTGCACTTGGTTCTTTGTTGTTTGTTGCCTTGCTGTTGCTGATCAGATTGTGAAATACAAAAGCTATCTCAAGCGTGTCAATTTTACCAATTATTAATTTTATTGGGACATTCTTGCTCTTTGTTTGTTGCGTGGAAGTGCAAATAGCATTGCGATTCTAGAGATATTATTATTCCTTTCACACTCTTGCACAATAATATAGAGGGGTTGAGATAGCATATATAGAATGTCCCTTCAAGACTCAATAGGGTTAGCTCAACTTTCTTTAGGGTTAAATACCATTTTGATCGAAGTGTTTGATTCGAATTTTTATTTTGGTTCATATATTTTTAATTGAATTTGATCAATTGCCAGAGGTTTGTGGCTCAAGTGGTTCAATCATTTATCCTTACATCCGAAGTCCTAAGTTTAATTTCCCCTCCCTTTTTTTCAAATCGCATTTATCAAAAAAATTGAACTTGATCAATTCGGTCTTTATGTTTTATCACAATAAAAATCTTGGTTTCTTTTACTTAACTTTACGTTAATTTACTTAAATATGTAAGTTTTCATGTGTATCACATAACCACATTAATCACTCAAATTAGACGAACATGTCCAAAATGATTAACATATTAAAACACAAAGACAAAATTAACCAAATTGAAAGACATAATAATAGAAAACTTATTTAACCCTTTGGTCAATAACACTCTAGAGTTACTATCTTTTTTTTTACTTTTTCTGTTTTTGGGGTTCAAACGGCAAGAGAAGAGACTATCTTTTTGGTTAGGTTTGCAACGGCCCAAATGAGGCATAGCGAGTATCTTTCTACATGGCCTTATTTCCATTTGTCTGGGTTTTATTATAGGATGGGCTTTTAGGCCACATTCTCATCAATTATTTTTCCAGGATCCCCATATCGAGTGTTACATACAATCACTTGTTCTGTGTTTTTTCAGGATAATTCTTCGGAGATTTATTGCCTTTTCCTTTTTGGTATGTTCTTACATATTCTTTGATTATATATTGATAAGTAGGAAGTAATCTCTCCAAAGTATTTCATAAGGAAAAAATAAGAATAATCCAACAATATATTGATCTTGAATTCTCTGGTTACGTTTTTTGACGTGTTACGTCATTAGATTGTTAATTTTAAACTATACACCGAAACAAAAGTTCTCTAAGTTATTATATGTTCACACTAAACAGGTTAACAATTTAATAAAAGGGTTTCTCTGGATTAATATAATAAAAGGGTGTGAATATGAACAGGAAAAGGAGAGTTTGGTTCTATCACTTTAATAATAACTTTGCAGCTTTATTTTCATGCTTAATTTATTTAATTTATTTTGTGGGATTATAGAAATGAAAATATTATGACTGGTCCCCCTCTTATCCATTTCTCAAGGCACCTCTTAAACTCATTTGATTTGGTTTGTCTCTGGAGAGTAAAATATAAAAAGACTGCCTTCATTTTGAAGAGATATGTTCTTTTTCTCTTTAATATATAATTAATTCTATTTGTTGGAACACTTCAAGGGTTTAAATTTATATACATTTGATTTGAACAATTAAATCTTCTTCTCTCTCTTTTTTTTTTTCAAGATTCAAAGGCACTTATTGGAAATCCCAATTTGAATACTTAATTAATAAGAGCCCACTTTGAAGTTTTGAATTGTGACCGAAAGGAGAGAGATAAAAAAACAAATAAATGGAAATGGTGGCCTTGAAAATCCTTAGCCTCACATGGTCATCACTAGGGAATCTGCCTTTTTGGATGCTTTTCTTTTTTCAAAATTTAATAATTTTGATATAACTTTTTATTAGGTCCAGAGTAAATGTTCTTAACTATTTTAACTACAAGTTTCTTGCGCAATGATTATGATTTTATTAACGAAAACTCACCTCTCATCGGGTCTTTGAAAAAATTGTGAGTATCTGTATTCGTTTTAGGTAAATAATCAATCACTCACTCATTTATAACCTAATATAATGTTGCTAACTTTTGTGAAGAGTGATTTGTGTAAGCCCACTTTGGGATTCATTGCTCACTCAATAAGCCAGGGGTACCCAGATATTCTTATGCGTGGTAGCTTTTTCCAACTGCTTAGCTAATATAGGTGTGTTAGGTGAACGTGATTTCAAAGCTTTGAATGACCAATTGGTTGAAACGTTTGGAACAATTTGGGGATAAAGAACTTCCATGAACAGGGATCCAAAATGTAGATAACAAATTTCTACTAATGTCTACATCCACTGCAAGGAAGTAGAAATACCCCACAATTTTCTATTTTTATTTGACCTATGAAGAGGACTACTCCATAAATAAATAAATAAAATAAAACCCTTTTTCCGTTTACACCAAGTAAGAAATATATTGCTTTACATGCACATCAAATTATAGGAAAATATATTATATAGCCGAAGTTTGAGAATTCTAAAAGTTTAGTTGACTTGGAATGTTTACCACCATATATTTTATTTTATTTTTAAAATTATATAAACTATTGTGTAGACACAAAAGTTATCATTGTGACAATGGAGAAGAATGACTAACGGCTTATTTGGGATTATTTCTCTATGAAGTATTTATGCTCATAAACGCTTCCAATAAAAGTATTTTTATTATAAAAATATTGAATTTCCATAAAATAAAATAAAAATTCCAAGTGCTTCTTAAATAATCACATAGCATGTGCTTCTCTAGAAAACGTTTTTATGACCCAGTAGCGCCTCTAAATTTTTTTGGTCAAACGCTATCAAAAGCACTTTTAGTTGTCTGAAAGCACTTTCTGCATTTCTAAAAGTACTCCCAAACAGGTCTTAAAGCTCTAAGTTTTTTCACAATTTGACATAAAATAAAAAGTCGGTTATCACTAGGAACATAAGGATACACAAGGAGGTAATTTCTCACAATTATTCACGTTCAACTCCAAGATCCAGCAAGCCAACTTTAACCGAAATTGAGTTACATTCTCCCTCTCTTCCTAATAGAGGCACATATCATTCTTGTAACAGTGGACATTTGGGTACCATGATGATCTAACGGAAATATTATCATGAACTTACATGTAGAAAACCAACGTGAATGATAATTTCATCAAATCATAGTATCAACTAATTATTCTAATAACAAACCATGAAGTTATGTATCAATAAAAAAGAGGAAGAAAATGTGTGTAAACTATGTCTTTTTCTATTTCAATTGAGCAACTAGTGATTATGGGTGGGCACAATTCGATTTGGTTTGGTATAAGCTTCAAATTACAATTTAACAAATGTTAACATCAAAGATTGATTTGCTTCGATTTAGCCCTCAAACTAAGTAACATAGCCGAATCAAACCAATTCATTTAGTGATTGGGTTGGTTATTTCATTTTTTTTCTTATACAGTTAACCAAATATTCTATATTGTCTTACATATATCCAATGAACTTTATAATGCAAGTTACAAATAATATCAATATGTTAATAAACAATAAGAAAATTTCAAGTGTAAAAGAAAAAAAAAGAAAAAAAGGAGACATGTGGTTTGGTTCAATTTAGGCGGTTTTTAAAATAGACCAAATCTAACCAAATTAAATTAATTGTGGATTGGTTCGGTTAAGTAAAAAATTACACTTTTAAACGTAAAAAACCGGAACAACCCGTCTGGCTTAATTTAATTTACCCGGCCGGTTAGATAGTTTTTTTAATTTTTTGGATTGAAGGCCGGTTTGATAGGTTGAAATGGTAGTTTTGCCTACTCGTACTAGATGGAGAGAGGATATAAATTGTTTTTACGGTGGATGTTAAACATCAATGTCCATGTGTACGGACAGAAAAGTGAGAGAAAGTAGAGGAGTCAGTGGCGATGGCACAGACGGTCAGAAAAGTCTTTGTTCGCTTGTACTATTTTATAGGCCATGGTTGGCTTGGTCCTCCGGACCGTCAACGGTCTTACGGAAAGAAACACTGTTTGCTTTTCAGAAGATAATATTTTTTTACTCTTGTTTTTTTATCTCCTACTGTCTTTTTACATTATCTTTTGAAGCCTGTTTTTTTTTATCAGGGCGCGCAGGGGTTTTTTTCATTGAAGTTATTGCCTTCTTTTTCTTTGTTTTATAGAGTAAGGGAGGGAATGATCCAAAAAGAAAATAGAGCAAAGACCAAGAGGAAGGAATGATCCAAAAATAATAATAAATCCTTCAATTGTTTTAGGACTCGCCTGCAGGATAAATACTCTTAATCACTTGAGCTATAAAATTATTTCTTATAATTTAGACTATCACTTGTATTTAAAGAGAGAGAGAAGATTACGACTATTAAATAATTTTTTTAGACATAAATGTTAGCATTTCCCCATAATCAATATGACACATGAAGCTTGCCATTTCATTGGAGGGGTCCACCACCACCATGGTAAATGCCATTTTACTACATGGGAGGAGGAGTTGCGTTTATCAAAAGTTTAGGCGCCCATTGGCATAACTTTTCGGAAATAATAAATCCAGAGAGAAAACTAATTAGAGTTAGGAAACGTAAGCTTGGGATTTGAACTTTTCTTGTAAAAATAATAAAATAAATCATTTTTTTATTATTTTATGGCAGGTTATAGCTTTAACAGCCCAGCGCTAAGTTTGACTGCATTTTTTATCTCCCAACAACTTGTTTTTCAGAATTCCAAAACAAGTTATCATTTTCCCGGTCTTTCATACACAAAAAATAAAAGGCAGAAACCGTATTTTCGATGACCAAATTGCCCTTCGATTGTGGTTGTGATATACCATCAATATCCTCTTTGCGGTCATGTGTGCTACCCGTATTACCCTTCCTTTTTCTTTTATAAGTATTTTTTTTTTCAAAGTGTGAAAGTTCTTTTGTTAGTGGCTATATTTGAATACATTCAGAATGTAACTTGAAATGAAAGCAAGGCTTTTATCGTTTATCTTGGATCTTGCTTAAAAACAAATGATTTGCAAGATGTTTCTTGTACTTATTTATTTATTTTTTCATTTAGTTTCGAAGCCAAACCAAAATGTTAAATTTAAAAAATTACAAATATGTGCATTTTTCGAAGGAAGTATTTAGTTTAAAATGGCAAGATATTTATACCTTATCAAATATCATGAAATTTTTTGGTCAATATGTTTTCATATTCACCCAAAATAATGAAATTACAAATTAAGAAGGAAAAAAAAAGAAAAAAAAGAGGAGAAATTTATATATTGCCCTAAAATGTGAGGGGTAAAAGGGTAATCTCAACTCTCAAAGAGGGGAACAGAGTCTTATGGTAATTTTGTCTCATGAGAGGACAGTGGAGTCCAGACAAGAAAATCTGAAAATAGCAGTTTCACAGTCCTTTTCTCCTCCATTAATGGAGGGAAGTTTGTATAAACTCTCACATCACCAAAGTTAAAAAAGCCCTCTTACCACCTTCTACTTCTGGCGCCATTTGCAGTCTAAACACTTTTGTTCAAAACTTCTCCAACCCCCAACCACACAGAACCAAAACCTACAATTCCTTCTCAAAGCTCAGTCTCTGTTTTCTCCATGGAGGAAAAGGAGAGCACTTTTTCTGGGTCACCAGGCAACTCGGGGACCGAGTCACCGCCAGTGACTCAGATGGTGAATATGCCCATGGTCATGGATGTAAACATGAGCTCAGAGATCATCAACAACAATAGCAACAACCCTGTAACAACAACAACAACAGAAATTGCAGAAATTGCAGGAGCAGCAGCTACTGTTGGAAGTGGTGATTTGTCCGGGAAGAAGAAGAGAGGGAGGCCTAGGAAATATGATGCAGATGGGAACTTGAGATTGGGGTATAAAAGTAATATCAACAAGGGTGGTGGTGTGGCCCCACCACCACCACCACCACCTGGGTTTTATCTTTCTTCCCCTGCTTCTGAGTTTTCTTCTTCTTCGTCTTCCAAAAGAGGAAGGGGGAGGCCTCCTGGATCCGGCAACTGGCAGGTTCTTGCTTCTTTAGGTAAGTTATAAGAGGGAAGGAAGGACTGATAACAAAGTTTGAGATTTTAAGTGCTGGGTACTTCAATGGGGTGTGTGTGTCTGTGTGTTTTGGTGTTTCTTGTTTTCTCTGTGTTTGATTTTTTGCCAAGAAAATGCAGCAAAAAGGAAAGATCTTTTGATTTGGTTAAGATAATGTGGTTGGTACTTGGTTTGGTTGCTTGTCTTTTGTGTTTTCCCCAGTTTTTTATGTGTAAAGCTCAACTTACCCACCTAAAAGAAGAAGAAAATAAACTATCTTTTCCCTTAAAATAGGTAAATTGAAAGGGTAGCCATAATGATCACTACTCTCATTCTTTTTTCTTTTTCCTTCTTGTTTTTCTTCCATTTTTCCCATCAACCAAACAGGTTCTTTGTGGTTGAATACCTCATTTGGGTACTAGGAAAATCAGTCTCACTTATTGCTAGTAAAAGATCTGAATTTTCCGCTTGAGAATAAAACAAACAATAAAGCTTTGTAGGGCTATTGGGATTTTTCTCTCCTTTTCAATGGGGACAATTTATTGAGGTTCATAGCAGAAGAAAACAAAAAGTGGGGACAGATTTGGTAAAGTTGCATGTATAGATTTTGGTCTATAATTCCAAATTTGATGGTGTGAGCAACATTAACATAGTAATTTGTTGAGTTTTCCCACTTAAAAAGAGATAAACAAGCTTTACAATTATCTTAAATTGGGCACAATTTCTAATCTTTGCAATCTGATTTTGGCAGGTGAGTTGTTTGCAAACACAGCTGGTGGGGACTTCACACCGCATGTGGTAACTGTTAGCACTGGGGAGGTAATGTATGAGGATCTTTCAACAGATCCTGAATGTGCTTTTGGGTTGCATTGCATGAGCTGACAAAGGGTCCAAAAAATTTTTGACATGCAGGATGTTGCAGGCAAAATTCTTTCGTTTTCTCAGAAGGGTCCTCGAGGAATTTGTGTTCTCTCTGCCAATGGAGCTGTCTCTAACGTCACCATTCGCCAACCAGGTTCTTCTGGCGGCATTCTGACATATGAGGTATGTTTTCGGATTTTCTTTTGCTCTTCCTGTCAACATCATTTGGCCTTTTTCCCTTTTCTTTTTGGTTGCAATTGCTTACAAGTAAATCTGCCTTAGAAAATGTTTTTTTTTTAAAATAAAAAAATGGATTGGATTAGATTAGTTTCCTCACGGTGCTTAAGAAAGTCAATCTAAAATACTACAATGAGTCAAATAATTTCTGCATTGTTGATCTGGTTGCTCAGTCTGTAACTAACAACAATGTTACTGCTTTCTGCTATTTGGTGCTGCCTTTCTACAGCTGATATGCTAATGCTAATTTTGTATGTCACTATTGGTTAGATTTATTTAGCACTCTTCTTAAATATAAAACTTTGTTGCAGGGCCGCTTTGAGTTATTGTCTTTATCTGGATCATTTACAGTCACTGAGATTGGTGGTGTAAGAAATAGGACTGGTGGCCTGAGCGTCTCATTGGCTGGCCCCGATGGTCGCGTTATAGGTGGTGGTATTGCTGGTTTGCTAACAGCTGCAAGCCCTATCCAAGTAAGGCCTTTTTTCCACATTTCCATTTGAATTCCCTGTGAAAAACCCATGTCTGTTGATCCCCTCTTTTGTTGAACAACCGAACAGGCACAATCAACATTTGCTTGTGTTATAGTTTACCACAGGGAATAAGCAGTTTAACTAAACCAGTTCGTTTGTCTCAGAACAATTGAAATGAAAATCAAATCCGTTTTATTAACTCATTGACAGAATTGTGTTCTGATTAATATGTCAGATTGTGGTTGGGAGCTTCACGCCAAATGGATATAAGGCACATAAAAGGAAGCATTATCGTGAGAACAATGTAGCTTCACCAATCTCAGGTTCTCTAGATACAGTCACAGTAGCAACACCCATTTCGCAAGCGCAACCCGAAAGTGAGAGCAGATTGACCATGGTATCCCCTTTACCAGCACAAAGTCATGGGGAAGCAGATAAAATCATGATCCAAAGGCAGACCTCCAATGCCATATCCACCAGTGCTGTTTGGAATGGAACAGAGCTCAAGTCAGAACATAGGCCATCACCGGATATTAATGTATCCGTTCCTGGTGTATCAGTAACTGGGGAATAGAATAAGGTATGATCCAATCATCCCTTCCATAAAAAATGAGTGTGTTGTATAAGACAAAAGGCTAAACGTTATTACCTGAATCTCATATCTTGTGCCTGCAGCTTGATGAATGCTTAACAGCAGATGTACTTAGAGTAAGACAGGATGCAGCATCAGACTAATCATTTTTTATTATTGCTGTTGTAACATTATGATTCAGTGACAGAATTGGACAATTTCAGCATTAGATTGTAACAAAGTAGTGACATATGCAGCATCAATTTTAGCTTGATATGCTTCTTAAACAATTATCGATTGAATATTTCTCAGTAAATTTTAGTTATTTGACATGGATTCTGTGCTTAAAACAAACTTGCATGCATGCATTAAAATCAAAGCAGAGCTACATTAATAGAACGTTCGAAAGCACAAGACATACTGCGGCTAAACAAGGCCAAAATTTAGTTCAAAATTCAAAATCAACAACTGAAATAATTAAACAACATAACCCTGATAGCAATTTCATTTAAGTCACTCTAGCGGGAGACTTTGGAAAAACCCAAAGGAGAGAGAAATTTTGTAAAAGAAGCCAAAATGGACAAATTTGCCCTTATTTATTTTTGGATTTCCTAAGAAATCATTTACACTTGCATGTCTTTGATTTGAAAGTTGAGAGGTTTTTCTGTCTTTTTTTAAAAAGCTTTGGTTTTTTCCAAAAGTGAAAATTTTTTTATGGCTAAAACCTAAATTTACTTTTTCTTTTTGGCAGCTGCTCAATCCTTCTGAAAACGACTTATAATCTTTGAATAGTGACCCCAATCAGAATGGGCAGTAGTTATTGCAGGCTGGCCAAATGGATGCTTTTTAACATAAGAAGGAACATCATCTGCATCTGCCAGTCCATCCAAATAAAGCCTCAACTCACCCTTGGGACCTAATGACACAATTAGAAAAGTAAACCCCTTGAGTGAATGAGAAATTAGATTACATTAAATCTAGAGACCAAGGAATGACCATGATTAAATTCAGCTCACCTAAAGCCATGTCATTAACTTGGTCAACCTTGTATTCAGCAGGATAGATAGCTGTGTGAGGCTGCAGAGGGAACAAATCCAAAAATTAAACACAGAAAAGTCTGAGATTTTTACAATAAAATGCAGTAAGCATAATATATTACAAGGTTTAGCAGGGCCTTGTAAGGCTGGTTATCCATCAACAGTGTGTTTGATGAAGAATATTTCCCAGTAGATGAAGATCTGGTTTTGGAGCACTTACCTTCCCACACTTTCTTCAACTCCTTCAGAAAGAGAGGCTTGTCTCTCTTCTCCAAGGTCTTGAACCCAGAATCAGTGCATTTAACTTGATCCTAAAGAAAGTAAAAACATAACAAAAAATGTTTGAAACTTCCAGAAAATAACCTATATCAATGTCTAGAAATCTGACAGAAGCATTCGAAGGTTACAGTATTTACTTACCCAAGCAAATACCAGTTTACTCCTCAGTCCTTTCATCACACAATCCAAGGCATTGTCCAAATACCATCTGTTAATCAAATAAAAAACCAGAAACATTAGGGCATCAAGTAAGGAAACAAATCTAGCTAAGCAAATTTGGGTGTAGACTGTAGAGTTGCATACTCCTTTGCAGAAGACCATATTCCAACATCAAATCTTCCTAAACAGAATTTCATAAAATCTTCACAGTGTGGCCTTTTGTAAACTGTGCAAGAGAAGAGAAGAGCAACCGAAAAAAAAAAAAGATTAGATTTTCAGTGAGGAACAAAATTCTAATTTGCTAACATGTTAGAAGAAAAACAAATTATGTGATACCACGAAAGCTTCCATATGATGCATCAACATAGCGAAAGCTTGGTATATTGGCTCTTTCGTAGCGGTGTACCCTATGACAAAGCAACCCTCCAAGGCTAAGAACAAGAAGCTTCTTTCTTGGACCAAGGTTCAGTTTCTCCAAAGGGAGGCCACATTCGTTGGCTTCACTACTATTGTTACCAGAACATTCAACTTTGCCCTTCAACTTTTCTGACATCTTTGGCATGCATGCACCATGGTAAGACAAAAATACATATATATATATATATATATATCAGGATCGGACGACACACAAAAAACTTAAATTTTGACACATTTCCTTAGTAAATGCTTGAAAGAAAGCATAAATTTCTTTAGTAAATGCTTAACCTTTAGATCTATTATCATCTAACGGTTGAAATGCTTTTAGAGAAAGCACCATGGAAAGACAAAACTATGTACATAGGGTCAGGATCGGGGAAAAAAAGAAGATAAATTTTGACTCACTTCTTATCCTTTAGATTTATTATCATCTGAAATGCTTTTAGTACTAAAGAAAGCAACTTCTTTTATTATTTTATTAATAGCACCCACAGCAGTAGTTGATTTATAGATTAGATGAGATTTATGAGAGCTAAAAATATCAGTATTGCTCATAACTATTGAATGGGTGGCTTTCCAAGTTTCTTGATTATGGGGTTATGAATCATATTTATTGAGCTCGACAACGACATTATCCTAACCCTTAGGAGCATGTCCAGCGCTAGGCAATAACCCGGGCAAAAGGCCCCCCAAAGCTTAGTTTTGCACTCCAGCGCAGCACCTGCAGCTCGGGCAAGCCCTGGGTCCCACCAGTCCGGGCAGGCCCAAGGGCAAGTTCTGTCTGGGCTTCAGCCCGAGTCTTGTGACATCAGCGCTAACGTCATGTTGACGTCAGCTCAGGGAAATTCAATTTTTTTTATTGTTGTGCCACGTGTTGCGACAGGGACGCTCCGATCGTTTTTTTTTCCAGAAATCCGAAAAAAAATTCGAAAAAATTCTGAATTTTTTTTAAAAAAATACCAAAAAATTTTGTATTTTTTCCCTATAAAATACCTAACCATTTTATTTACTTTCCACACCAAATCTTCATACAATTCTTCTTTATCCAATATTTTTTAGTCTCCACTCACATTATTCACTTTCCACACCAAATCTTCATACAATTCTTCTACATCCAATATTTTTTTATCCAAAAATTTAATTACAAAAGATTATCAAAATTAATGGTTTAAAGTATAAAAAAATAGGAAATGAAGTACAATGAATATTATTTGCCTTTGTCTTGCCCTAGACCTTACCCTCATGGGTGGAGTTGCAAATGGCAAGGCTGACACTATTCACGTGAATAATAGCAGCCCTTGCTTGCCCTTGCCTTAGACTTAGCCCTTGTGGGTGAAGATGCTCTAATCCATGGCTTTAATCACAAACTTCCTTTCCTACATCCTCTTCTCTTCTTTCATCCCTTATTTTTCTCCTTCCCTCCTTTTTTCCTCAAGATTGTTAGTTTATTTTGTGATGTGGAACCAGTTGCCGTAAAACGATGTTGTCGCTTTGATATAGTCACCATATTTTGGCCCACCTACACAAGGAGTTGGCTCCCTTCGACATAGTTTGGAGCTCTTAAGAGGGGAAGATGTTTGGTTGCATTGGATTCGGGTTTAGCCAGTGTGAGACTATGGGTTTAGTCGGTATGACGCTATGATTTTCTTTGGATTGCTTGAAAGATGTGGAGCAGTGGTCTTGTTTCTTTGTTTTGTTTTAGACTAATAATTTTCAGAAACTCTTTAGGAGTTTGCTGTGATTTGTTTTCTATTTAAGATTTTTATTTCTTTTTAGCTTTTGGCTTTCGATACGGATTGCGCGGTAGATTTGTATTGTAGGTCTGAGTACATGTGCTTTTGGTTGCTAGATTGGCGATTTAGTCATTGTTTGGGTTGCACGTGATTCTCTCAAGATAAATTCAACAAGTTGTTGTGCTTGGTCACTGGAGAAGATTTACCCATATTCGGCACATAGTTACTTTCTACTTTTGTTTGTTCATTAATAATATACTATCCCTTATTTTCAAAAATCACGAACTTATCTGATTGTCAATTCACTAGCAGTAGCAAAGCAAACTAAACACTTTAAATTGTACTTTATCTACCTATGTGATGATTTGAAGAGTGAAATTTGTTACTTAATGTATGCATCATATGAGCCCGTTTGGTTCGCGGATTGAACTTCTCATGAGATGGGAATGGAGAATGTTCATTCCCATGTTTGGAAACATTGGGAAATAAGGATCATGAAATGTCATTTTATCTCATTCCCATGTTTGGTCTGTACAATATTACGACTGAAAAATTGTTTAGTTTTTCAACAATATCTTTATCTTTTTTTAATTAAAAATAAAGAAATACAAATAGTTTTTTTAAACATGGTATTTTAAAAATAGAACAAGGGTAACTTAGTCATAAAAAATTGCATTAAATATTTGGGTTAATTACACTTTAGTACCCATGTTGTTACAACTTTAAGATATGTTAGTTCTTACATTCTTAATTTTTACAATAACATACCTCGGATTTTTAAATTTGTTACAATGTGGTTCTGCCATTAAGGTTTCTATTATATATCTCTGTTAGTTGCCTATGTGGCACTGTGAGTCCCACATTTTTCAATTTTTGTTAATTTTAAATTGATTAAAATATGAAGAAAAAAAATGTATAAAAAAAAAGAAGGAAAAAGAATAGATTTTCAGTGAGGAACAAAATTCTAATTTGCTAACAAGTTAGAAGAAAAACAAATTGTGTGATACCATGAAAGCTTCCATATGATGCATCAACATAGCGAAAGCTTGGTATATTGGCTCTTTCTCTTTCATAGCGGTATAATGATATGCAAATGCGAAAGAGACACTGCTGCTGCTAAAAAGGCCAAGATTTTAGTTAAAAGCAGAACATATCCAACAAATCCCTGGACAACAAAAGCACTTAAACCACTTCAGCTTCATACAACGGAGTTTTTTTTCCTTCTTTTTCTCTGCAACAACTCAATCCTTCTGAAAATGACTGATAATATTTGAATAGAAATCCCAATCAGCATGAGCACTAGTTATTGCAGGCTGGCCAATTGGATGCTCTTCAACATAAGAAGTAACATCATCTGCATCTGCCAGTCCTTCCAAGTAAAGCCTCAACTCACCCTTCGGGCCTAATGACACAATTAAAAGGTAATCCCTGTGAATAAATGAGAAAGCAATTTTTCTCAAGACAATTAAATTCTACTCACCTAAAGCCATGTCATCAACTTGGTCAACTTTGTATTCAGCAGGACAAATGGATGTGTGAGGCTGCAGAGAAAACAAATCCAAGAATTAAACATAAAACAATCTGATGAGATGAGATGTTCATCAGAAAACAGCACTAAGAATAACATAAATTACAGGGTTTAGCAGAGCCTTGTAAGGAGTTGTTATTAATAGTGTGTTGGTTGAAGAATATTGCACAATCCAAGATGGAAGGGTGGCTTTGGAACCCTTGTTTTCCCATATTTTCTTCAACTCCTTCAGTAAGATAGGCTTGTCTCTCTTCTCCAGGGCCTTGAACCCAGAATCAGTACATTCAGCTTGATCCTTACCCAAAAAAATTTAAAAAAAGTCAGAACATCACACATAAAAATCTTGAAACCCGCAAAGGACCTACTAGTGTAGTGTGTGTGTGAGTTTATTATATTATCATACCTCTCAATAGAAAAGATCCTCCAAAAAAAAACACCTCAAAACTTTGAACAAATTACCAATATATTATTCTGGAAATGAATAAAAGCATTAAAAGAACAAGAGCATGACATGTACTTACCCAAGCAAATACCAATTTTCTCCTCAATCCCTTCATTACACAATCCAAGGCGCTGTCCATGTACCATCTGTCACAAAAACACCAGAAACAAATAAACCACTCCAATTTGGGAAATTAAAGCATGATGCAAAACGATTCATTTTAAATCGAAATGGGAAAAGTGGGGTAAGAGTTACACACTCCCTTGCAGAAGACCATATTCCTACTTCAAATCTTTCCAAGCAAAATTTCATAAAATCTTCACAGTATGGCCTCTTGTACACTGTGAAAAAGATAGAGAAAAATCAAGAGGTCTTCATGAGCAAAAGTTGAACTTCCTACAAACTTAAAAAAGAAGAAGAAAAATATGTGCAAGAATTTTAATACCGTAAAAGTTTCCATATGCAGCATCTGGACAGCGGAATTTCGGTATGCCGGATTTTTCACAGCGGTATACCCTATGACAGAGCAATCCTCCTACACCAAGAATAAGAAGCTTCTTCCTCGGACCAAGGTTCAGTTTCTCCAAAGGGAGGCCACAGTCTTTGGCTTCACTACTATTGTTACCAGAACATTCAACTTTGCTCTTCAACTTTTCTGACATCTTTGGCATGCATGCACCATAGAAAGACAAAAATATGTATATATCTGGATCGGAGGACACACAAACAACATAAATTTCGACACACTTCCTTAAAGATTAAGGAAATACTTGAAAGAAAGCATAAATTTCTTTATCATCTAACGGTTGAAATGCTTTTAGAAAAAGCAATTTTCTTTTTTCTTTTTTCTTTTTTTTATACAAGCGATATTCAAACATAGTACGGGGACATGTCTTTTGCTTTCTCCCCCACCGCAGTAGTTGATTTATAGATTAGATGAGATTTATGAGAGCCTTTATCAGTTGTTGACCACTTTTTAAGTCTTTTTCATAACTATTGAACGGGTGGCATTCCAAGCTTCATGATTAGGGAGTATTTTTGCTCACAACATTAACCAAAGGTGTATGTTCACCATCACCCTTAAAGGGTGACACTTGTCCCATAATTAACCTTAGTTAACTTTTATATGAGAATAAATTGAAAAAATCGAAAAAGGGCCCCCATCACAACACACTCCCCCTTTTTCCTTCTTTCCCTATTTTATTTTCATTTTATCTCTCTCTCTCTCTCTCTCCATTAAAGTCACTCTGCTCACAAATCTTAAGAAATCTAGCTAAGTTGATGGTGCCTGCCTCATCCATCTCAAAATCTCTTCTTCTACAGCGCACTAGTACTAGTAACCAACTAGCCACACCAATCAAAAATCAAAGAGGCAAGCTTTGAGCTTTGAAATTGGGAGTAAGCCTAAGAGCAAGCAATTCCTTATTTTCTTTTGTTAGATTTTGATTGATTAATAATTTGGTGGTATGTTGGATTTGGAAGATGTTTACACCCTATCTGATTGGCCAATAAGAAGATCACATGTGGAAAATAAGGGCCCATGGAGAGAACCGACGAGAGAGTCGACTAACTGTGCCCCATAGGTACCATAAGTAGGAAGAGTATTCGGCACCCCCGATTGCCAAATGCAATGCAAGAGACCCATTTATCTATTATTCCACGTTGGAAAATGTGGAGCCACCACAGACAATATCCACAGTCTCACATCAAAATTTCACTTAAGATGCACACGTCCTAAGATCTATAAAAGTAGGCACAAGTCCCAAAAAGGAGGTAACTGCGACATTCTGCAAATCTGCCATTACTCTGTCTAGATTACTACTCACTCCATACTTATTCTAAATTAAGCGTCAGAGAGCCTTTGATCGGTACCACACCGATGCCAAAGGGCTTACTGAGCATTTTCTTTGTCTTGCAGATAGATCACTCTACCGAAGCTTAGAAGAGGTCAAAGGCGACAACATCACTAAGTTGGGCCCAGAAGTGCTGAACCATTTTTTAGCATCAACATAAAATTTTGGTTTTGGTTTTGGGTTTAGGGGCAGCCAAATCATATGGAGGAAGATGACATGGATTCAATGTTTGAAGGGATGGTGTTCTTTAGCCCTAACAATACCAATAATAACAATAATTCCAAATTGGATTTAGAGACACACGATGACACTACCGTCTCAAGAAAAGTGGTGATTGTTTTTATGGGGAAAAAAAAATGGTGGTTGTTTACTGTACACTGAAGGAGAGAGTGTGGGGAAGAGGAGAGAGAGGGGTCAGGGAAAGCGAAGAGGAAATAAATAAAAAAAAAGAAGTAAGAAATAAAAGGAAGAGGGAAAGGAGGAAAATGGCGGAGTGTGCTATGATGTGGGCCCTTTTATGATTTTTAAATTTATTCTCATATACAAGTTAACCAAGATTAACTATGAGATAAGTGTCATTCTTTAAGGATAGTAGTAAGCATATGTACCTTTGATTAATGTAGCGAGTAAAAATGCTCCATAATGATTATGGAGTTATGAATCGATATATTTATTGAGCTTGACAACTACTTTATATCTCCTAAAGGTAAAAGTATTTACTTTAACCCCTCACACTTCCATGGCTTTAATCACAAACTTATCTGATTATAAAAAAGTAAATATTGGAAATAACTATTACTTCAATTGCAGGTTTGTACTACAAAAACACAACACCCAATATTTTTATACAAATAAATGGTTTGAAGAGCCCAAATTCACTAGCCTAATCTGAAAAATGGAAGATATAATAAGTGAGTCTGAAAATACTAATAAAGAGAGTTTTGCAGATATGGCTTACCAATTCAAGCATTACAAAGTACTCGAAGGTTGTGTTTGATTCATATTAAGGGAGGCTTGGGGATGGAAAATTAATTACTTTCACATGATTGGTAAGTTCAAGCATGAAAAATGGTTGCTTGACGCAAAGGAAAATAAGGGGGGAAATATAACCCTCCTCCCCCCTTGAGTTTCACTTTCCCTTTTCCATGAGAAAGTTTGGTAAAACGGTCCAATATTAAATGCACATTTTTCATGATCATTTTGTCTGCTTAAGTTTGGTAAAAAGGGGCATCAAATACATTTTTTGTTGAGGGAGGCCTAACACAGGTGAAAAGCCAAAAATTAAAAAGCAGCTTTTAGATTAAGTAACTAATAGAAATTAACTTTTACATGCACCATATTTCTCTCCAACATTACCTAATGCCTTGTCATCATTATAAGACTCCAAAAATATCCCTGTGTAAGGCTGTTCACATGAATCAAAGAAAAACAATTAAAAAGATTGTTGAAAAAAAAACACCACAATAAAAAAAGAGAAGAGGCAGAGTTGTGATGAAATTACAGGATTGAGAAGGGCCTTGTAAGGTTGATCATCAATAAACAGTGTCTGATTCAGAATACTTCCCATCAAAATGCTTCCACAAATTTCCCAGTTCTTTGAAAAACAGAGGCTTCCTTTTATTCTCCAGCGACTTGAACCCAGAATCAGTGCATTCATATCGATCCTATTAAAAAAAAAAAAAAAAAAAAAAAATAAATGTGCTGGCTATGTGGCTCTCACTGATGTAAATATTTTGCTTGAACTGTTTCAACTTACCCAGACAAACAACAGGTTCTGTCTCAGCCTACCCATGAAACAACCCAAGACACCATCAACATTTTTTCCTGGCAATCATTCAGAAGAAGAAGAAAAACATTATCAAAAAGTAAAAAATAAATAAATAAATAATCAACTTTTTGAAGATGTTAATTATATTCAAACAAACAGAGACTCTTGGGCAGAGCTCCAAATTCCAACTTCAAATCAAATCTTTCGAGGCAGAACTGCATGAACTCTTCAACAAAAGGTCTTTTAAAGACTGCACCAACAATGAAGAAGAGAGTGAAAGCCCACAGTCGCTTTCATCACTGTCACGAAGCACTATTTTCATCATCATCATCATCATAATCACTGCCATGGCAAACAAGCTTGTTTCTGAGGTTCTTTTCAGCCATAATTCAAACTATTCAAACTATTCAATGCTCTAAAACTTGTGCTGAGTAAACACATCGCCAATTTATAGTAGAGCAAGACAGCTAGACTCTCATCAACTTCTGTGTTCCAACTTCCAAGGTTCATTTTATTGGAAACTGAAAAGAACACCCTTCAAATTCTTTACTAGGTTCTTTACTAGTTTTCTGCCTTGGACACAGTTAACGTCGGTTTGTAATACAATACAAGGGGTCAAAGATATTCAAAGAAATGTTAATGGTGTCGTTTGGGACTCGCAACTCTTGCATACAGTTCTCATTACAATAACTCTTCATTTATCATCAAAGCAAATAACTGGACCAGCACAAGAGAGGGATGATGAGAAATGTTCTCTTGTTCTCATGTAACATAGAGAATGTTTCCGTTGTCATTGTGAATCTGGATCGTTGATCTCTTGATTTTTGCTAGAATATGTGTGGTTCAAATTCAATAGGACATAGTTAAGTTCGGCACAAAGGGTTTGTAGCTCAAATCAAATAATTAAGAACAATTATAAGTTTTCCAAAAAAGAAAAAAAACATCACTTGGAATGATGATTATGAGATGAACAAGCGAAATCTTGGCAACACTCTTCTTTTACGTATGCATTCAATTCAACTAGGTCTTCTGGCTATTTGGGTATCCACTTCATTGATTTGGGTCAAAGATTTATTAGAAATAGGCCCAAGTTGCAGTCTTTTGAATAATTTGGGCTTGTACAAATGGCATGAAGAACCATCCATCACACACAGAAGTCCAAAATTTTACCTTTAATAATAATATCCATGCAGAACCTTCTCACATTTACCAGAACAAAACGTGGAAATCTGCCATACCGCCACACGGCAGAAGCTCCTAGAGACACCTTTTCCAAACGCCCAATACGTTTCCAGCACCTTCTAGTACTCTCTCTCTCTCTCTCTCTGTGTGCCTATCTCATATCTTATATAACAAACACAGAGACTTGGGTCTCCTCCATTACAAAACGACGAACACGTAGAGTGCAGAAAACAAAAATGAAGCCCATCGACGCCAAGAAAGACACGGTGACGATCCGAGCGGTGAGCCACGACGAGGAGGGTCGAAAGAGAGCGGAGAAGACGGAGCTCCACACCCACAACGTCGACACAATCAAGTACATCGAGAAGAAGCTCGTCAACAAAGGCGTGCAGCGCCTCGAGCGCCACCCGAGAGACGGGACTGGGATCGGGCAGCCGCCCCCGAAGTCCGGCCACGGCGGCAAGTACACGTGGGAGGGGCCTGACGACGTGGCGGAGAATGAGATGGACCCGGTCCCACCGGCTATTGATGAGGGGGACCCGAACTACGTGGACGAGGTGGCGGAGGAGAGGATTGTGAAGGGGGAGGATGCTGACGTGGCGGGGTTGGTGGTGGGGAAGGTTGAGGTGGCTAAGGCTGCTGAGAACAGGGAGGGGGTTGCTAGGGTTGAGGTGGTTCCTCCTCACAACCACCTCGAAACTTAGTTGATTTCTAACTCCCGCAAGAAGTGATGTGGTTTTTGTTGACAAAAAAAAGAAAAATCACTTATGCTGTGTTTAAATTTGGTGTCTAAATTTATGTAACTCTGATTTTGTGCATCTTTTTTTGTACCTATGACATGACATGTTTCGATATAAGTTTGTAAACCACTTCCGCAAAAAACTTGCACTTGTTGCCTAATGCGTGTTACATTACTTAGTGCCCCACTTTAGGGAGTTAAGCCGCCGGAATTCGCCTTAATCGAAGCAAATTACTCGGAAAGCCGCCATAAGTTTCACCTAATTGCTTATTTTAGTTTTATTTTATCTTTGTACTTGGGCGTTTTATTAGTAATCATCATGTATTATTATGTATGTTTTATCCTCCCACATGTTTGCTTTTGTTGGTTATCACCATGCATAATGATGTTTTATCCCAAACTTTCGCTTAGGAGAAATGATGGAACTAAACTGCTCACTGCATGTGGTAATTTAGTTCCGTTATAAAAACTAATTTGAGGTTTTGAGAGACTTTGAAAAAACACAAAGGAGAGAGAAATTTTGTAAAAGAAGTCAAAATTGACAAAATTGTCCTTATTTATTTTTGAATTTCCTAAGAAATTCTTTACATCTACATGTCTTTGATTTCAAAGTTGAGAGGTTTTTCTGTCTTTTTTGAAAAAATTTTGGTTTTTTTTCAAAAGTGAATTTTTTTTTTTGCTAAAACCTAAATTTGCTTTATAATAAAATGGTCATGCTAAACGGGTTTTTGAGCATTAGATTTAAAACTAGCAATCACTATGGGTTTTAAAACCATGCTAAAATTTTTAGATTTAAAACTAGCAATGGTATCCCGCGATGCTATGGATTTTAAAAATGTGTGAAATGCGTACAAATTCAAGTTGCCGATTGATCATTGGGTGTGTTTGTTCAAACTTCAGAATTCAGTTGGGTTGTGTCCTCATTTGAAAGGGCGTGATGGGCTCTAAACACTTGTTTTGGACATTTCAAATCCAAGTTGCCGATTGACCATTTGGTGTGTTTGTTCAAACTTCAGAATTCAGTTGGGTTGGGTCCTTTTTTGAAAGGGCGTGATGGGCTCTAAACACTTGTTTTGGGACCCAAAATGGAACAACCTTGATAAATAGGCTAATAACCACTATTATGGAGGGTTTTAAAAGTCACTCTCTCGAGAAATCTATTAACTTTTATATAAAGTGAGTATATGAAGAATCACGGAGTTAGATGTACATCCCAAAATCACTTCCAAATATTGTAGAAATGTTGATGAACCATCCTTTTTATGAAGAATTCTGGTCCCATTTCTGTTTTATTCGACAGGCCAGTTTCTGCTTTCCAAGTCCTTTCAGTTCCTGCCTTGTTTCTAACCATTCTGATAAAGAATACATGAAGCTACGTTTGATCAGTAACATTATTATAATCCAAGTCCACCAACAATCACATGAAACGAACTAAACTGTCACACCATGACTGCTATCTAACTTATGTTTTGAACGTTTAGCGGTCCCCCCCTACTACATGAGATCAATTATGTGTGAACCTAAACTGAACTAATTGGTTCTAACTTAATTACCTATCCAAATGGTGACCCTCACATCACAAACATGCACGTTTCATAATTCTAATATTATTAAGAACAGGTTGGTGAAGCATTACAACTTGTTGAACATTAAATTTTAATTCAAGACTATTGTCACATTATAGTCTTTTCATACAAATGTTTTATTCCCTAATTCTGTTTGGTAACGGAATATGATCATTGATCATATTATATAAGTATTCCTTAATTACGAAACTTGTTATTAGCGGCTTGTTAATTAATAGCCAAAACACTCTCCAACCTACCTAATCTGTTTTTTTTACATATATATAAGATTCGTATGAATACGTCATTTCTTGTTTAGGTGTAATTCTCTTTATATCAAATCAATATTTTATTGTGTTTGGTCACTGAAAATATTGTACCTATATTCGGCATTATGGCTATTTTGTATTTTGTTATGTTTGATCAATAATTACTAATGTTTTTCTTATTAATTATAAATAATACAAAATTTGTATGAATTCATAGAAAATTAAACGACCAAATGCGTTTTAAAAAGATTTTAAAATTGTGGAAGTAGTACAAGATTTTCTTGACTGCGAGTCATGGATTAACACATGTTTAGAGATGCTGTGGATCTGTCACCAAAATGGTACAATCATTTGAACTTATTATTGAAGATTAAGAAAACCATCAAGATGAAATTTATTTTCCAACACAGACAGAACACGAAATGGATGACAGCGCAGGGCTTGAGTTGAAGAGATGATTTGATGGCTGGTTGCTGAAAACGAATCATGCCTTTGGTTAAAAGGATGATTCTCTATGCATCTTATCGTGCTGGAGAAAAAGGAAGTTCTAACGTTTCCAATGGTAACCATTGTCGGTTCCATGTGTTCTATGTTTGTAAGATTACCGACGCATGACCATAGCAAACTTGCTTGTATTTTATAAATGTACTTACAGTTATGTTTTACAAGTATACGTTTCAAACGTCAATTAACTGCGTGTTTGAATTTGGATGCATTAGCGTAAATGAGTAATTTTCTATTGTTAGTCGATGGTATGAAATTATGATATGGTCCGTTTGTCAACATAACACGTTATAATGTTCAAGTAATATCTCATTGCTAGACAATTTATCATGTTATGTTATTGGATTATCAATTTGAATCATTAGTTGAGTGAATTCGTATTAAGATGCACGATGTAAGCTAACAAACAAAATCACCTATATCTGTATACTTGGATACGCCCATCCGTCTCATAATATTATGGCGGAAATGATTAGCAGCATCAGCAATTGGATTCTCAGCTGGCTTAGAAATGATAATTAAAATGATTAGCCATAAAGCATGTAAAAAAGTAATTAAAAGGATCCGAAGAGCAGATCTCAAAATCAACTCAAAAAAAGATATGCACTAATTTAATCTTTCAGCCACTCGTGTTCTGGCCTTAGCTACTTTGAAGACACTTTTCTTATTCTAATGCTTAAAACTTTGGGGCCAAAACAAACCACCAAAAGAGCTACAATTAATCCTTTTAAAAATTAATAATGGAGACGAAGAAGAATGAAACTTTTTTATTTATTTATAAGAATAAATTAGAAAATAAAAAGTGGGTAGTTTTGGATTTTTCACTCCAAATAAACTCTGTAAGGATTTTTGTATATTATATCATCTTAAAATGAGTTTATTAATGAAATTCTCGACAAAGAATGAGCTTGGATAAGCAGTTTTTGCTGCAAAATGAAAGGAAAAAGAGATACGAAATTATTTGATTGTGAAGTACACATTTTGGTTGCTTTCAAAGTTCAACATTTGTCTTAGTTTCATACTAAAACAAGTAATCTCATAATCATTGTAACTAAGACAATGAAGAAAGAATAAAAACATTGTTAAGATTGCCACATCTCTAGTGGAACAAGTTGTCCTTATTGTGATTAATGGTGGCAAATTTCAACTATAAGCCAAAATAAAAAAAATATATATATATATATATTATAGCCAAAAATGCCCACACAATGAAGGTTTTTTTTAAATTAAATTTTTTTTTTTCCTTTCTTTGTTTTTAAATATTAGGAGTCACATTCAAAATGGGTATGAGATGAGTGAAATAGGTTAGGGTGTCTAGATCAACATAGACGTAGATACTTTCCACATTTAGGTTTTTAACTATGAAGGAATGAGATTGAGAGCTTCATGAGTACAACAAACAAGGTGCACAACACCAATATATCAAGTTTTTTAGGCAATGGAAATGGTGGATGGGATATCATTTCTATGTTCCCTATGGGCGTCCAAGCCCACCAACCCCTGTCAAATATAAATAAATATTTTCGTACCTAAAAATAAATAAATATATAAATTAAAGAATAATAAAATGTGACTGAGTTTTTTTTTAAAGACATTTTCTATTGAGAAGAGCGATAATATATTAAACTCACACATACTATACGGATGTTATGACTCAAACCCAGAATACTCTAAATCATTACACTAGTGAGTTCTTTGCAAATGTGGTTGAGTTATGTGAAAGGGAGAGAGACAACAAACACAATCCAAACAAATGGGGAATACACGTCTTTAAAAAGAAACAAGTTAAGTGCACTACCAACAATGGAATATCTTTTATTTGTGTATAACAACCATTTATTAAAGAATTTATAAAATATACATACAAAAAATAGCAAAAGCCTTACTAGGGATCATTGTAGCTGTGATATATGAGAGAAGATCATTCTAAAATTGAAAATTAAGTTGATTAGTTATATTAAAATGTTAATGCCATTGATTGTAGATTGAATATGCTTTGAAAATAACATAATAGTTTTAGGTGAAGAAAAGGAGAGATAGGTGACTATTAATTCAGACTTTCTTTTTAAGTCTTGTCAAATAAGGTTAGTTGTGAAATAAATAAAAGAAGAAAAAGCCTAGTCAACGATATTTCTCCCAAAAAAAAAACTAGTGGGACAATTACAATTAGATAACTCAAAGCTTGTATTCAGTTGAACAAGAGCAACGAGTAGGTGACTATTAATTCAGACTTTCTTTTTTAAATGTTGTGAAATAAGGTTAGTTGTGAATAAATAAAATAAGAAAAAGCCTAGTCAACGATATTCCCCCCCCAAACAAAAAAAAAAAAAAAAAAAAATAGTGATCCATACTGCAAAATAAAGTATAGATTGTTTTTAAATGCTACATGCTCAAAAGAAATATAGAAAATTTCAGGTTGACCATACTTTGCTGGTGGCAAAAGAGATTGCATGTTCTGGAAAATGTTTTTATTGTACACTTGATACATGATACCAGAGAAATAGGAATGAATGCCCACATAAACTAATCATTTTCAGCGAGAGTTGTTCTATTTTATACATATTATTTTGAACCATATATAAATTAAGGCTTTATGCTCAAGTCAAGTTTCGTACATATATCTATGAATTTGAGACTTTCTGTCGAACTTGTTTCCCTCATGGCAATCATGGCCAATCTAAATATAAAAAATAAAAATAGACTATTTCATGTGTATCATACATGTCGGTGCCAGTGTTATTTTGGTCTACAAAATATCAATTTAGACACATTTGGTGTAAGGACTCCAAGGACAGTCGTAATTGTACTTTTGCATGTTATTCGAATGCTCTCCGGTGTCTAAATTACTACGACTGCCCTTGGAGTCCTTACACCAAATGCATCAGCTAACATTACAAAGTACAAATTCGTTGGAAAACTAGGAAACCACACTCTGATTGCGCCTAGTTTGCCCAATGTTACAGCTCTATTCACTTCTCACTAAAAAGCATGTAACACGAGAACCATCTGAGCTGTCCCATAGACATAGACATGGACAGTGGACTACACCAACACCAATACTTTTCCCGTCATTACATGATTCCTGGACCGACTACAACAACACCTCATCGTCCTTTCTTCCTTTCTCTTCTTTTTGCTTTCTATTTGCCTTTTTGTAAATACCTCATTAGCGTACCATTTTACAACCTACTCATTTCTTTTACAATTCTGCTTGCCTCCTTATTTGGAAGGAGATATTCATTCTTTATGCGAATCACAGTTTGATACATATGCAAAAATTCGAAAAGAGAGAATTCAATACAGAACTTCGAGTGCATGAGCAAATGCTTTTAAAATCACTTGAGCTATAAAACACTTATTTAAAGAAAGAAAAGAGGATGTCATATATATTTTCTGTTTCTTTGATAGAAAATGTAAACAATAAAGGGGTTACACCCTTTTGAATTGTAGCCGTTGATAAGAAAAATGTACATCGTACAAAGTAGGTGATAGCTCTGGAGTGTGCTATAATTCATACCTTTTCTCAAAATACGGAATTTAAACACAAGAAACAAGATCCACCGACTCATTAAATTATTCTCTATTTTACGTAAGAACATTTTGTGGCTCCACTCTCCCCCTAATATAGGGCAGAAGAGAGGACAAAGAGAGAAGCTCTCAAATCTTCTAATTGTACATCAATTTAAGCTCACTTAAATTAAAATTGGTTGATTTAAAACAAAATTGTTATCCAATCTTAACATAGGAAACATGGTTGGAATATCCACCTTCAAATTGATGACTTAAAATAGTATTTTTAGTCGTTTTAACCAAAATTTAGTAATAAAAATGGTTTTTTTTTAAATTTTAAAAAATTATAATTTCTCCACAAGTCTAATGATTATAAATGTTAGGTGACAAAATTTGTAAAAGTTGATAGCGCCACATAGCCGTGATATGACGTCAGCTGTCGGTTATCTCACCGCCGGTACATTGCATATTTTCTTCTTCTCTTTTTTTATCCGTCAACCTTTTCTTGGTTTACTTTTTATCCCTTGAACCTTTATGGTTGCGAATTTTTACAAGCCGCAACATCACAACAGTTGGGACTAGAGGCTTATTTGTGAGGAGAGAGAGCCAAAAGCATTATAAATTAGGGAGAGAGAGAGAGAGAAACAGAGAAGCCAAGAACACCTCAAAAAATTCAAAGAGAGCTTCCATTACAGCTAGCTCTCTGATTCTCTCTTTGCTAGATCTCTCATTTTATCTTTCTGTTTCTGTTTCTGTTTTTTTTTTCTGTTGCCGCATTTTGTACATTTATGCGCTGTTCTGCTTCTGTTTTCCTTGTTTTCAGAAGCAGAAAGGTTGTATTTTTAGGAAAAGGAGAAAGAGAGACGGAGCTTCTCGTGAGGCTTTTATACAAATCTTCAGGTGCTGTGTTTTCTGTGCATTGAGTTTGTGTTTATTTTCTCAAATGTGGTGGAGGTTGAGCCACTGAATTAAGCTCTTCCTCCATTGTTTTTTGCGTATCAGACCTGCAAAATCACCCACAGAAAAGAAAATACTCGTGCTTTTTTCAGAAAAAAACTTTCCGAATCCATTTTAGTCTCTTGGATTTCTCTCGGAAACCAGAAAAAAGCAATCTTTACACTTTTTCATAGCTTGCTTCATCCCATTTGCCTCTCCTCTGTTTCTGGTTCTGTTTTTCTTGAGAAGAAATCACAGAAATAGTCCACAATGGAACGGCTTTCAACGACGACCTTTATACCAGATACATTTTTAGGTGCCAGAGATGACTTTTCCATGCAAATGGGAGTGCTTTGGAGTAAGATCAGAGCCCCATTGATCGTTCCTCTGCTAAGAATCACAATTGTGCTGTGCTTGATCATGTCGGTTATGCTCTTCATTGAGAGGCTGTACATGGCCATTGTCATTGTTCTGATAAAGCTTTTTGGACGAAAACCAGATAAGAGATACAATTGGGAGCCCATGAAAGATGATGTTGAGTTGGGAAACTCAGCTTATCCCATGGTTCTAGTCCAAATCCCAATGTACAATGAAAGAGAGGTTCTTATAATCTTTCCCTTAACTTCTCTGATTCTTAATCAGCTGTTAATTATGTGAAATTATAGCATTAAATTTGTGTTTCATAATTAAAATGCAGGTTTATCAGCTTTCAATAGGAGCTGCATGTGGGCTATCTTGGCCTTCTGATAGGATCATCATTCAAGTCCTTGATGATTCAACAGACTCAACTGTCAAGGTTCCTAGCAAAAACCCAACACTCAAAAACAACCAAAAAGCTTCAATCTTTCACCAAAATTTTAACTACCCTTTTCAAAATTTTCTATGCTTGGGCTAATTTTTGTGCATGGTAATCAAAATGCAGGACATGGTGGAGCTAGAGTGCCAAAGATGGGCAAGCAAAGGCATAAACATCAAGTACGAGATAAGAGACAACAGAAATGGGTACAAAGCTGGGGCTCTCAAAGAAGGCATGAAGCGCAGCTACGTTAAACACTGCGATTATGTGGCCATCTTTGACGCTGATTTCCAACCTGAGTCAGATTTTCTCTGCCGCACCATTCCCTTCCTTGTCCACAACCCTGAGCTTGCTCTCGTTCAGACTCGCTGGAAATTCGGTAAGTCCACTGGTTTAATTAGTTTAGTGATTTAATCTGGTATACTTTATTTTGGTTGGATTCTAAAAACAGTTCTGCCATAAAAAAACTGTCGGTGCGTCTGTGCTTGTTTGAGAAGATTTCTAGGAAATTGCTGGGCCCCACCTTCTGCCTTTTCTTATTTGCCGTGGCTGCCACTGGTTTTGCCATGTGTGTGACCTTTCTGTCTGCTTTCTTTGCTTGGGGCCCATATTCAAAAACCAACCCACAAGAAAAATCAATTGTGAAATTCAATGGCATTTGGTGCTGTTTTCAAAAGGACCAGAGAACCCCAATGTTATTTTCCATCCCTTTCTCTGTTTTAAGATGTCTGATACATTTGTGCTTGAATTGATTTATTGTTTGTTGTTGGGTTCTGCCATCAGTGGCCACAAATGGAAAAGAGTAGAGCTCTTAGCTGGATAGTCCTTCCCATACATAACCTCCAAAGCTTTAATGTGACACATTTTGGGGCGGATTAGATATGACAGATTGAAAATAATTAACTTGTAACATGGTTCATTTATGGTAGTTAAAGCATCAATTTTGCCGCCGAAGAATTGGATGGACTGTTGAAATAATCATTGAAATATAATATAAAACTAGTAAGTTTGTGCATTAGCAAAGTAATATTAGTCTTTGCCTTGCACCCGAGTTCAAACCCCTTCTCCGTACATTAGAATAGTTTAGAATACCTCCCTCGTTAAAAAAAAATTTGGATAGCATAGAAGTTACAACAACAGAACACAATTTCTGGGGGCCCAAGTGTGCAGCTCTTCTTTTTGCTAAGAATGTTGCCATGTGCCTAGTGTTTCCCAGATAGGAAGTGCTAGATTTGGAGCACAAGTAAGAGGTTCTGCTTGGACCTGGAAATTGCAAGACATTGTAAGGGGTAAATCCGTCTTACATGGGATTCTTTTTCTTTCTCAACCCGGCAGCAGCATGTGACATTAATGGTGTACCTCTGTTCACTACACCCTAGCCACCGCCTACCCTGCTAAAAGTGACAGAGAATTGAACTAATTCTCTGCTATATCATTATTGTAATTTATACCAATAAAGAAAGTCAAGCAGACTTCAGCTTCTACTTTTCCTGACTTGGCATTTGCTTTTCTGGGATGTTTTTGCAGTGAACTCAAATGAGTGCTTGATGACAAGAATGCAAGAAATGTCACTGGATTATCATTTCACAGTTGAGCAAGAAGTGGGCTCCTCCACTCATGCCTTCTTTGGATTCAATGGTAATTTACCAATTAACAGCAATTATTGTGCCATAAAAATATTTATATTGGACAAAAGCTTATGCCAATATCAAGTGTCGGAAAAATATGTACTTTTAGCTAAAATGGGTTTGAGATTGTATGCTAACTTTTAGCTTATGCCAATATCAAGCTTATGTCTTTATGTTATAAAATGACAGAAATTGGTATTATTATAAGCTAAAATGGGTTTGAGATTGTATGCTAACTTTTGTTGGTGTGATGATATAGGGACCGCTGGTGTATGGAGAATTGCTGCAATCAATGAGGCTGGAGGATGGAAGGACAGAACCACAGTGGAAGATATGGATCTGGCTGTTCGAGCTAGTCTCAAAGGCTGGAAATTTGTTTATCTTGGTAGCATAAAGGTACCACTGTTGACCCATGCTTGTACCTTTTCCTGCATTTATGTATTTGTGAATATTTAGCTGACTGATTCAATTGTGTCTCAACAACAGTCACGATAGGAAAACGAAATTATAGAGAAAATGTGTCCTAGTATGCATGATCTAGTTGTATTTTGAGTCTATATGGGCACTAACTATGTGCAGAGGTCACAAATTTGATTATTCACATAAGTTACCAGTCTTATCCAGTCGACCCTTGAAGGCATGAAGTTATGATGAACTGATTGTTTCTAAAACATTTGCAAGTTATATTTCATCATCAGCTTTTGATTATGCCTGCACTTTTGAGTGCAACATCGGTCTAATCTATTTGGATAGCCGTTTTAATTACCAATGTTTAGTGTAGAGCCTTTCCAATTCCAGACATAATCCTTATTTTGTTTTCGCTACAGGTGAAGAATGAATTGCCAAGTACTTTCAAGGCCTACCGCTACCAACAGCACAGATGGTCTTGTGGTCCAGCTAACCTTTTCAGGAAAATGGTCATGGAAATTATAAGAAACAAGGTTAGCTTTTTTCGTACATTGCATCAAATTTAACCAATTGTAGGAGTTGAAGTGGAAATGAGTAAATAACTTACCCTTATCTGCATCTGTTTACTGCAGAAAGTATCACTATGGAAGAAGATCCATGTGATTTACAGCTTCTTCTTCGTCAGGAAGATCATAGCACATATCAACGCATTTGTCTTTTACTGCATTGTCTTACCGGCAACAGTTTTGGTTCCTGAAGTTGTGGTGCCAAAGTGGGGAGGAATTTATATTCCTTCCATCATTACTCTTCTCAATGCAGTTGGCACTCCAAGGTCTAATTTCCTTTCAAGTTCTGCTTTTTCCCATTTTTATTTGTATTTGTCTTTTGTTCAATTCTGTGTACTAGCTTCTTAATCTTGCTTTTGCTATTGTGCAATAAATTCATGTAATTTGGCGCCCCTGCTCTCTCCATTCTTCATTTTCATGTTGTTCTACAATTTTGCAGGTCACTCCACTTATTGGTGTTCTGGATCCTATTTGAGAACGTCATGTCACTACACCGTACGAAGGCTACAATTATCGGTCTGCTAGAGGCTAGTCGAGTGAATGAATGGATTGTCACTGAGAAACTTGGAGATGCTCTTAAGACTTTGACAGTAGCCGCAAAATTACCCAGGAAACCTCGAATCAGGATTGGAGAAAGGTATGCATTCTCCCATGGAATCCCTATGCGAACTCAATTGTGTATTACTCCCTAAAATAAGACCTTGATGTTCGATAATACCTGACGTCGGTTTCCATTTGTGTTTTCACATGTTAACAGACTTCATTTGCTAGAGCTTGCTGTTGGATGTTACCTCTTCTTCTGTGGCACTTATGACTTTGCCTTTGGGAAAAACTACTTCTACCTTTTCCTTTACATCCAAGCAATGGCCTTCTATATCATTGGGTTTGGGTATGTTGGGACATTTGTTCCCAACTCTTAGTGGGGCTGCTGCAGAAATACTACAAAATTCTGTTAACTGCCGTCACTATATGCCGGAATCGCTCTCTTCTTCAGCAAAATAGTAGCAAGCTTGTAAAAAGACAGACCAACAAGAAAAGAAAAAGGGTGGTCTTCTTTTTTTTCTTTTTTTTTGGGTACAGCATAAGATTTCGGGATGAGTCGTAGAATTTGTTCTCTTGTGAATATTAAAAAAAGGTAAGGAAATTAAATTTACAGATTGTTCTTGTTATGGGAGTGCAACACAAAGGAAAAGGCAAAAGGTCAAGGTAACTCAAGGGTGCTGACCCCAATCAGAGAAAACATCTTTGTATGGATTGCTTGTAATTCTGAGATTTTTCAGATCTTTTTGTTGTTCATTTTGTTTTCCATTCTTGTTTGGATTTGCTAAAAATGCTTATCAAAGGAATAAACTCCATGGAAATGGGATGTGCTCTCTCTCTCTCTCTCTCTCTCTCTCTCCCCAATTGTGTACAAGTTTTCACATTTCAAAAAAGATTCACCATCCACTGCGATTGATAACTACAAATAATTCAACACCATTCCTTCAGATAGCACCCACAGTAATCTTATCTTTTAGAGAAAATACAAAAAGACTAGTACTGACAATAGAGCCAAGACCTTTCTATAGCCCCACAGTTGGGTGAGAGATGAAATTGGAAGTGTATTGGTCTCCCATGCCTGCATAATGCTTGCAGACCAAGCTAAAGAATATTTGGAACAATTCCTTTTCGTATTAATGAAGATCCACCAAAGACACTTAATACAGTGACTGAGAGACAAAGTCTTTTTCTCATTTATGCACGCATGAGAGGCTTGATATATAGAAAAATTATGGACTATAGCCCTACAACTTTATTGGTCCAGCACCAACAGCTATGAGCTACAACACCATAACCAGCCAGCCATTTGAGTAGGTGGTGGGTACCATAACACCATTCCAGCATTAACGCATTTTTTGTGCGAATACAAATAAGTGCTCTTAATCATTTAAATTACACGCTCCTTACTACTTGCAACATTTTCTGTGTGGATATAACAAATATTTTTAATTACATGAGATATAAGAACATTGCCACATGCGAGCATTTTGTGTGGGGATACACAAAATGTATATGATTCATGATCCTAGTCAAATTTTGGTGGCCTAGAAAAACATGGATTGGATTATGTCTAATTCTACTAGGATCAAATGTAGTAGGGTTCTGAATCCTGCCACAATGTTGGACGAAGTTGGATTGGATTTTATCTTATCCTACTACGCCATGTAATAGCATATTTCAATTCATCTGATCCCTTAATCATGTGTAGTACCAAACACATAATTGGATTAGTGTTATCATTCAAATTCAATGCAATCCAATTCTACCCTATAATATAATCTAATCCCAATCACTAAACATGGACTAAAGATTCTTAACTACTTGAGCTATAAGATCCTGCTTCGGAGCACCAACCGCAATATGCTTGAAAGTTGAATTAGACTCAGCCCGAAAAAAGTTAGTGGGCCAATGAAAAGCCCAAGAAAGAGGCTGACCTCAAAACCCATGGGCTATATAGTGAAACAAGACTCTGACCTCAAAACCCAATATGAAGTTCTCTTTATCTTTTTTATTTTAAATTTCCAAGGACAAAAGGCAAAGAAGGTTTAAGAAGGGTTTATGATAAAAAAAACCAGGTATTTGTAAGACACTGAAAAATTGAAAATGGCAAGGCGCGCCTGTCTTCTTCCTAAATCCCCATTCACTGCCCCCAACAAATCCCAAAATCTCATCTCAGTCCCTCTCTCCTTCTCTCTCTGCACAGACTCTGCTGCCGGCCAAACCCATCAACCACAAATCGAAGACCAAACAGAGAACCACAATCCCACAAGCCTCACCAACCTCCAAGACCAACAACGCCATGAGCAAGTCAGAAAGCTCCGAGTTCTCCTCCAACAGGGTCGTTCTGAAACTGCAAGGAGGCTCATCAAGTCCCTCATCCTCCCCAACTCGCCCTTCTCTTCGCCCACTGATCTTTACACCCTCTTTTCTCTCTCTGCACCCTCCATGAAACCCACATTCTCTGACATGCTTTTAGCCGCTTGTTCGGAGTCTAAGATGCCGAAGGAAGCAGTAGAATTGTACGGCTTGATGAGGAAAACCGGTACGCGTCCTTGCTTAGCTTCTCTCAATGCAATGCTTGAATCTTTGGTGACTTCAAAACAGTTTGGTAAGACCCTCAAATTGTTTTCGGAGATTTTTGAGTCGGGTCAGGGCATTCGACCCGATAGATTCACTTATGGGAAGGCGGTACAGGCTGCGGTGAAGATGGGGGACCTGGAAAGGGCTGGTCAGCTAGTGAATTCTATGAAGACGAAGAGGATGAGTCTCGGTGTGTTTGTTTATAATGTTTTGCTCGGTGGGTTGTGCAAGGAGAATAAAATGAGGGATGCACAGAAGGTGTTTGATGAAATGATTGAGGGAAAGACGGCACCAAATTTGGTTACCTACAACACGCTGATTGATGGGTTTTGTAAGGTGGGGGAGTTGGAGAAGGCGTTTGAACTGAGAGAGAGGATGAAGGATGAGAATGTGGCGGCAAATATTGTCACCTATAATACTATGCTTAGTGGACTTTGTCGGGCTAAGAGAATGGACGATGCGAAAAAGATTTTGGAAGAGATGGAAGCTCATGGCTTTGCGCCTGATGGTTTTACTTATAGTATTCTTTTTGATGGGCAGTTCAGGTGTGGTGATAGTGAGGGGTCACTGGCTTTATTTGAAGAAGCAACCAGGAAAGGTGTGAAGCTTAATCGTTATACTTGGAGTGTTTTGTTGAATGGCTTGTGCAAGCAAGGAAACGTTGAGAAGCTAGAAGAGGTTATGAAGAAATTAATGGAAACTGGTTTTGTTCCAGATGTAGTAATTTATAATACCATCGTGAACGGTTATTGTCGAAGGTGTGACATGAACAGAGCCATTTTGGCCGTTGAACAAATGGAAATTCATGGGTTAAGGCCGAATTGCATCACCTTCAATACTTTGATTGACAAATTCTGTGAGACAAGGGATATGGATACCGCTGAGGAATGGGTGAAGAAGATGGCAGAGAAGGGAGTTTGCCCAAATTTGGAGACGTACAACACCCTTATTAATGGCTACGGGCAGATGCGCGTATTCGACAAGTGTTTCCAGATTCTTGAAGAGATGGAAAATAAGGGGATTAAGCCAAATGTTGTGAGCTATGGTTCTCTTATAAATGGTTTATGTAAAGATGGGAGGCTTCTTGAAGCTGAAATAGCACTGAGGGACATGATAAGCAGAGGGATTTCCCCAAATGCACAAATATATAATATGCTCATTGGTGGTAGCTGTACAGTTGGAAATCTGAAAGATGCTTTCAGATTTTTTGATGAGATGGCAAGCACTGGGATAACTCCAACACTTATAACCTACAATTCACTCATTCATGGACTCTGCAAGAAAGGAAGGGTAATGGAAGCTGAAGACTATTTCGCTCAAATTACAAGTAGCGGTTATAGCCCTGATGTGATCACATACAACTCCCTAATTTCAGGTTATTCTGATATAAGAAACACCCAGAAATGTCTGGAATTATATGAAACTATGAAGAATTTGGGCATCAAACCAACTATATATACATATCATCCTCTAATTAGTGGATGTAGCAGGGAAGATATGGCATTGGCAGATAAATTGTTTAGCGAAATGCTGCAGATGGGTTTGGTTCCCGATCGGGCTGTTTATAATGCACTCATTCATGGTTATGCAGAGCAAGGAGACGCTCAAAAGGCACTTTCTTTGCACTCTGAGATGGTGAACCAGAAGATTAATGTTGACAAGATGACATATAATAGCTTGATTCTGGGGCACTTCAAACAAGGAAAAATTTCAGAGGTAAAGGGCCTAGTGGATGATATGAAGGCTCAAGGATTGGCTCCTAAAGCTGATACTTATAACTTACTTGTTAAGGGACACTGTGAACTCAAGGACTTCAGTGGTGCATATTTTTGGTATAGGGAAATGTTTGAGAATGGTTTTCTTCTAAACGTCTCCACATGCAATGAGCTTACAGATGGACTTGAAAAGAAGGGGAGGTTGCGAGAGGCTGGGATCGTCTGCTCAGAAATGAGTGTCAAGGGAATGAATGACTGCAGCTCTATTGAGGATGTTGTTTCTGCTGCCAAGGTGTAGGGAACAAGAGTTAGCCAAGATAGATAGACATTTAGAATATTGCTATTGTAAAACCAGTAGCTGAACATCTCTGCTGGGATATCCTTGAAGAAGAAATGTTGGCAGGCGGGAGGGTTTGAGGACTGGTAGAGAGTTATCTGTATAACTATATTGTGAATTTCACTACTGCATATCTATTTTATCCTCATGAATGTAAGCCGAGAATTACGTATTTTTCGGATTACCATTCTGAAAACAACATTCTAACTTCGATTGCAAAGAAAGGTAGAATTTGTTTAAACACTAGCTGAAACTCGTGTGGTTTCATTTCAATAGGTTTTCGTTTATGGTTTCATATTGGGTTGTTACTTGCCACCCTGCTTGATGCCTTAGCTAAGTTAATTTGCATCTTATGTTGTGACAGATGCAGACTTCGCCTTGCTACGTATGCTTGAATCACACTTGAAGCAGAGTTGATCAAAGACTTACCTTCAGCTAATATACACCATTCACTGTTTGCATCAAGACATTGTAACACAGAGGATCAAAACCATCAAGGATGATCTATTAGTATATATTCTGTTTATTATTAAAACGCATCTATGCAAGCATTTACAAGACTTTCTATGCCATTCTTTGGTTAATAATATTCCTTTGGTGGTGGTTTGCTTTTTATCACATAAATTTGCCTTTTCAATTCTTGTCAATAGTGAAACTAAAATAATTCATGAAAAACAAAACCCATCTCTGAGAAACAAAACCCAACATTTTTCCATAGCCAGAAATTCAGAAAAAAAAACCTACTTGGGCTGCACTGCATCATCCCATCCATTTTATTAAGACAAAACCAGAACTCCTCCATACCTATACTCATAAACCCAGAAACAAGACCCAAGAGAGAGCAAAGCAAAAAAGAAACCTTACAGACCTAACAACTCAAAATCACAGCACTTTGAGAATGTCCTCAGCTCCACTGGAAGTGAAGGCACCGCCTTCCTCCAAATTCAAGACCTTCACAACTCCATCTTCAGCCAAAAGCGAGTACCTTCTGGACCTCACGCCCAGCCCCACAGGCTTATCGCTCAAATCGAGCTCAGCCCCAATGGCCCTGGTGAAATCCCCATTTCCATCAGACAACAGCAGCACCTCATCCCCGATATTGAGGCTCTCCTTCCAGGCCTTGATCACAAAGGCGTCGTTGACCGCAATGCAGGCAATGGTGTCGACTCCCTTGGCCTTGAGCTCGGCGGACTTCTCCACGAACCCGGGGACGTGCTTCAGAGAGCAGGTGGGGGTGAAGGCGCCGGGGACGGCGAAGAGGACGGCCTTCTTGGACTTGGTGAGCTCGGAGAGACTGACGGTCTGGACGTCGCCGGCGGCGTCGAGGTATGAGAGGGTGGCTTCTGGGAGCTTGTCGCCGACGGCGATGGTGGCGGAGATGGCGGGTTTGGCGGTGGTGGAGAAGCGGAGGAGGGGTTTTGGGTGGGCGTAGTGTTTGAGAGGGAGAGGGGTGTAGGAGAGCTTTGAAGAAAAGGATTTGGGTGAGAAGAGAGAAGATTTGGGTGCTGCGTTGGAGAGAGAGAGGGATTTGGGGGCTGCGAGGAGCCTGGAGATGGTGAGAGAGGCTGCCATTTTTGCTAGTTTTCCGAGTTTTGAGAGGAAGAGATTGACCGAGGGTTGGTTTTAGTAGCTATTTAGCATTAGTTAATATGTTGGGTTGTTGGGTCGGGTCGGGTTTGAGGGTTTCGGGCGGAGGGAACAATGAGAGGTTGAGAATAGATTGTTGTGGGGAAAGGGAGGTTAGATAGGAGTTTGGAGCCTTGTGATGTGGGCAGCTGAGTTTGACATACCCTCCAACGCTGGACTTATCAAAATTATCAATGTGTGTGGTTTCGTTTTGTTCATTTCAATTTTTATGGTACAGTAGACTGTCGTTTTCCTCCCTAAATTATCAAACTATTCGAACTTAATTTTCGGGTTAGGTTTTTACTGTTGTTGTCAATTTAGCACTTAAAATTATATTAATAGGGTCAATGTGGTAATTTTTGGACGAAAATGTGGATGAAATTTGAAAAAATAATAATAATGGTAAGTGATGTAGTAGCCATTTTAATATAGTTTCAGTGCTACATTGACCAAAAATATTCTATAGGGTTAATCATGTAGTGACCAAAAATAATCATTTTAAATTCATGGTAATTGAGTTGTTTTTAATCATGTTATCTAAATCATACTTTTAAACACAAGTTACAATTGCAGACAAGGGAGAGGGATTCGAATTCGAGTGCCAAGCGGAGATCACATCCGCTTTAATCAACTTAGCTAAGCTCATGTCTGCAATTGTAACTTTATATATATATATATACTTAAAAAAACACAAGTCAAAATGAATAATTGGCATCATAACTTGTCATTAGAAAGATAACAAATTTTAATTGCCACTAACCTTTTTTTTATCAAACGATAGTGGAGGAGAAATATCCATTTAAACTTGCATAATTTAAATAGTTGTATCTCGTTTAATCCCCATAAGACTGAACTCAAAGTCAACGGGGTCTAGTCTAGTTGAAAAGGGCCTTGATTTGCAAGCCCGTTGTCTCACGTTCGAACTTCCATGACACATTGATAATGTATGTGAGAACTCATCTCCCTCTTATAGTTTAGATTATTACTCGTACTATTTTAAAAAACGAAATCAAATGTTTAAAATCTTGATGTGGTGGTGACTATTTTGACCAAAGAAAAAATCATGAAGTAGTTTATAATTTGTGGTGAACTATACCATCGAATTTGAAACCAATGTGACAATGCCAATTACCGAAAACCTTCATTTTCGAGGATCAAGTTTAGAAAGGAGATGAGAGATCTCCCTTTTCAAGCTGCCAAAGCCAGCATATCTGCATGTGTCACGTGAGATCACGTGTTGTCATTGACATCTTGTGATATGCTTGCAAAGACCATGTCTTTTTTGTCATATCATAACTCATCAGAACTAGGTCAAACGGGTTGCACCCTAAACCATCAACATGCATTTTGACACACATTAAGACACACATTTTTAACCCTAAACTAGACTACCTTTTAATTAGGCTAGAATTTCCGAGCAATTTGAAATAGTTGTCATTCCAGGTCCTTAAACGTTTTTCCCATTATAAATGCAAAGACAACGGGAAATGACCAACTCTTTTTTCATGGAAAGAATTTCATTTGCTTTATAAGTATTGGCAGATCCAAACCCTAAACCCTAAACACTAGCAAAAACCATTTTTTCTTACCTCTCTCAACGATATCAAAACTCAAAAAGTTGATTGTTGATTGCAAAGATGAAGTCGAAGATGAAGTCAGTGATGGTAATGGTGGTGGTGCAGATTTTATATATTGGGATGAATGTATTATATAAACTAGTGGCTCAAAAGGGCATGAATCTCACCATTCTTGTTGCCTACCGGCTGATTTTTACTGCTGCTGCTTTGATTCCACCCTCCCTTATATTTGAAAGGTTAATATTTTGTTAGAGCACCAAGGAAGATAAAAAATTTACTACTTTAGGGGGGTTTCTTTTAGACTTTACAAATAGATGCTTTAGATTATGGATCTTGTACATCATTTCTGAACCGAAGAGGTTATAGTTATAGTTTTTAGTTTTCATTTTTTTAACTAGAATATAGAGGTAAAAGAGTGAGAATGGAAGTGAGAATGAAGGAGAAGATGAAAGGGGAGGATGAGAGGAGTCACAAAAGTGAAAAGGAAAAAAAACCTGAAATCTATTTGAAATATTTGTTTTCACTTTTGTTACTTTTCCTTCTAATCCTCCCTTCTCATCCTCCCTTTCAATCTCATCCTCACTCCCGTTCTTATTCTCATTTTCCTCTATACTCTAGCACAAATAATGAAAACTAAAAAATAAAATTGAAATGGTTATCAAACGGGCCCCTTAAGTTTTTTTTTCTTGCACATGCTGCAAGAGTAGTTTAGTAGAATTGTATAAACATAATTTCAATGAAGGATGACTTGATTGTCTTCTTCAAATAGTAGTCATTTCATAAGTTATTCTCACCAGATTGCAATTAGAATTAGAATTATTCTCAATTTACAGGGACAGCACAACAAAACTAACACGGATGGTATTGTTTCAAGCTTTTCTCTGCGGGCTATTTGGGTAACTATAATTTTTCTTCTTCTTGTCTTTATGCAAATTATTTAAACTTTTGATCATGATTTTTTTGTTTAATCAATCATTATTAGTGTGATACAAATTTCTACATGGCCTGTGGAATTCATATCTCCAATAATTAAGTTAAAAAGTATTTCTTAATTTCAGGGGTTCACTATCTCCAAATTTATATATTGAGAGCCTAGTCTTAACATCTGTAACATATGCAGTGGCCATGTTAAATCTTGTGACGCCAATTACCTTTATCCTGACCGTAATTTTCAGGTAATGTCTTTGCAAGGCTCCTAATTTTGACTGTGCTTAATCCATTGATTTTATTATATATTTCAGGATGGAGAAGTTTTCTATACGAACTAATGCAGAGAAAACTAAAATTCTGGGAATAGTTATGGGGGTAGGAGGGGCTATGCTCTTCATCCTCTACAAGGGCATAGAGAATAAAAATAGTGAATTTGGATGATCAATTTCAAGTGAAATAATATAAATGACAATTTTCTTTTGAAATAAATAATTTGTTTTCGAAATCGAAAACTAATAATAGTTGAGAAATGTTTGCAAAAGGTTTATATGAAATCAACACCATTCTGTGGGATAAAAAAGTAAGGATGATGAATCCGATTCTCAACCAAACCAAGAAGTTGTTACATTTGCTGTTGAGGGAGATGAGATGAAGATATGTATTGTGCCGAAGGTCTAAGGGCAATCAATTATTGTACAAATGGAAATGAACATTACACATATTTCCGTTTCAATTTAAAATTGTTGTAATTCCTCCCTACTTTTGTCCAAAACGATCAATTATTGTGGAATAGTCCTATCTTTTTATTGACGAGAAGAAGACTACTTGAATTTGAGATTCCTTCCAACTTTAAAAGAGAACATTGTTCGTCATAGGTACGCATGACTATTCGTAGTCTTGAATATATTTGTTTAATAGAATATGCATATTATTTTTCCATTGTCCAAGTTCCGAGCTCATTTCAAAGTCTAACTAATATGAAGCATGCAATCGCATGCGCATGAGGCACCCATTTTTGAATGACAAAAATAAACAAAGAGTCAATTGTGAGATGATGAAGGAGACAATTTTCTAATTTGCAATACTAATAATTAATAAAAATAAATAAGGCCAAGAATTCAGAATTGACTTTGTTGGATGGCATTAACCCATTTATCCAACCTGCAATTGTTTTAAATAATAAATATATTTGTTTTTTTCAACTGAGTTTTTAGATAATAATATTCTGCAACTACATTATAATTATTCATTTATATTATTTTAAATTGTGTGGACTCAAAGACACCATGTTGTCGTCACGGGCGATGGAGAACTAATAAGAAATGCAGATCTTGCAGTTTTGCCCTTTGAGTCAACCCTCAACATGCCACAATAAGGATATTCCCTCAGCTCCGAGCATCTCATGGTGAATCACATAAAAGCCAATAAATTAGCAATAACCTGATTCGAGTGGTTAAAAGTAATGATCTACGTGCCGAAGTTATGAGTAATTATAGGCTTCTTTCCTATTTTGTGAATGTAATTAATGAAAAAATCTGCTTGCACAATCAAATTCCTTGCACAACAATCAAATTTCTTTTGACCAAGTAAGAAAAATATAATTCCTTGCACAATAATTAAATTCCTTATTTACAGAAAAAAAAAAAGAATTAAATTCCTTGAGCATTTACCCACCAATGTATCCAAAAAAAGAAATTTTAAATAAAAAAAAAAAACCTTGAGCATTTGCTTGGCCCACCAATACCAAACTCTAAGACCTTGACCGCCCACTTTTTTTTTTTTTTTTTGTGGTTTTTATTTGGTTTTGGACTGTGTTTTAGGTTTTGGCTTGTTTGTTGTTTGTCCCCCGTTCATCACCGAACACAGTTAATAAAATTCTTACCGACAGAAAGAAAAAAAAACCTCCTACTCAACTAAAAAGTCTAAAATGCCCCTAGCTTTTTCCTTTGGCAACCCGTGCATGATGTACAACTAGAAAGTCACCTAACCCTTCCTCCAAAATAAATAAAAAATTAAAAGTAAAAAGAAAAAAGCCCTAATCAAAATTACAAAATAAATATTGGCTTAATGATTTCAGCAAAACCTAAAATCCAACGGCTGTAATTAACCGGGGCTCCTCTACAAATACGTGGTGCACCGTCCGTCTGTTCACACTACTTTGCCCACTCTCACTCCGTTTCTCTCTTCTCTCTACGCGAGTACTCATCAACTTCTCTGAGTCTCTCTTTCTGCATCTATGGCTACGATCCAGACCGTCAAGGCAAGGCAGATCTTCGACAGCCGTGGCAATCCCACCGTCGAGGTTCGCATCTCTACAATCTCTCTCTCTTTCTCTCTCTTCGATAATTTCGAAGTCTCCGATCTGCTTGTTTAAGCACCGAGGCACACTCATCTTGTCTGGTTTTTATTTTTTTTGGTCCGTTTCTTGGTTTGATTTCTCTTCGAACTGAAACGATGCGTTTAATCCATGGTAAGAGATGGAGATTCAGTAGTTTTGTGTTTGAGGCTGCACAGAGTGTTATTCTGATTATATATAATATATATTTTAATTTGTTGTTGATTTCGAAAGTTAATTTTGTGATGTTCAATTTTTCAGTCCTTGATTTTGTTGCATGTAGTTCTGTATTAGATCAATACTTGTACGATTGAAAAAACTGGATGTGTGTTATTGTAGGTGGACATTGTTCTGTCAGATGGGACTTTGGCGAGAGCTGCTGTTCCAAGTGGTGCATCCACTGGTATATTTCTCTGATCTGATTTGCTTTTGGTTCTTCGAAATCGAAAGGCTATGATTTTGATTCAATTGTAAAATCGGAATTCAGGGCCTAGCAGTCGATTGGTTAGTATGCTTATTGTCAAACATTTATTAGTTATTGTTTTTTAATCAACTTATAGGAGTTTACGAGGCCCTTGAGTTGCGTGATGGAGGATCAGACTACCTTGGAAAGGGTGTCTCAAAGGTGAGCTGTCGCGTCTCCCTTACTTGTTTTTGAATACCAGTGCCACCCAGAATGAGCGTTGCGATGATCGATTTGCGATTCTTTATCTTTTGTTTATGTTAGTCATTAACTCAGTATTCTTCTGTATGTGTAGGCTGTCAACAATGTGAACTCAATCATTGGACCTGCTTTGATTGGCAAGGTTGGTTGAATTTACTGTTTCTGTTGTCATCATATTGTTTGGAACCTTAGAATTGCTGCTGATGTTTTACTTGGCTAAGTAATGATTTCTCTGGGTATAAACTAATGTTTCTGGTTACATCGTGCAGGACCCAAGTGAACAGACTGCTATTGACAACTTCATGGTTCAACAACTCGATGGAACTGTTAATGAATGGGGTTGGTGCAAACAAAAGGTACAATATATATCTGTTTGTTATATTCGGCCTATTTCTGCAAATCCTTGGTCGTAAAATTAAATTAACTGGTATATATTGTGGTTTTTCAGCTTGGTGCAAATGCCATATTGGCAGTGTCTCTTGCAGTTGCCAAAGCTGGGGCTAGCGTCAAGAAAGTTCCTCTTTACAAGGTAATATTTTCTAGATCAGATAATTTCTATTGCTTTTCTTTCTTTTTTGATTGTTCAGTGTTCTGATTTTAGTGTTACTGTATTTTCAATTACAGCATATTGCCAATCTTGCTGGCAACAAGAACTTAGTGTTGCCTGTTCCTGCATTCAATGTCATCAATGGAGGATCACACGCAGGAAACAAACTTGCAATGCAGGTATGCTTCCTAAAAATCTCTTTGATTTTTCTTTTTTTGTTGTTGTTAATTTGCTTCTTGATTTTGAGTATTTTGTTAACTTGTGTCTGCAGGAGTTCATGATTCTTCCTGTTGGAGCTTCCTCTTTCAAAGAGGCCATGAAGATGGGTGTGGAAGTGTATCACCATCTAAAGGTGGGTACCGTGGGTTTCCTTTATTTTACGGGAGTGGGGGATGTACTCGCTTAGAGTTTTTGGGAATGTACTATCTTTATGATTCAGTCATGCTCTTTAATTGCTCATTGACCGCTCTGTCTTTTGTTCTCTTTAGGCTGTGATTAAGAAGAAATATGGTCAGGATGCAACCAATGTTGGTGATGAAGGTGGTTTTGCTCCTAACATTCAGGTTAACAATAGTTTATGAAACCTAAGCATTTAACTGAAGTTACTAATTATTCCTTGTTGTTCCTTTCACATCTGTCTACTGAAATCATCATCCTTTTTGTGTGAATTCAGGAGAACAAGGAAGGTCTTGAATTGCTCAAGACAGCCATTGAGAAGGCTGGATACACAGGCAAAGTAAGTTTATTTTTCAAACCAAAGTTTTTTTTTACATTGCAAGAGTATTGAGGGGAAATTATTGTTGTTTTCTCTTCAGGTTGTCATTGGAATGGATGTTGCTGCCTCTGAGTTTTATGGATCAGATAAAACCTATGACCTAAACTTCAAGGAAGAGGTGAGTTGTCTGTTAATCTATCCTCTAATTGGATGCAACTGTATTTACCCGACCTCGAAATTTTTTAATTCTTAATTACCATTAACTAAATATTCCGTGCTTGTTTTGTCTGCACAGAAAAACGATGGTTCCCAAAAGATCTCAGGAAATGCTCTCAAGGACCTTTACAAGTCATTTGTGAGTGAGTACCCTATTGTGTCAATTGAAGATCCATTCGACCAAGATGACTGGGAACACTACGCCAAGATGACAGCTGAATGTGGAGAACAAGTACAAATTGTGGGAGATGATCTGTTGGTCACCAACCCCAAGGTCTGCATAGATTATTGATTTATTCTATTGATATCTTAAAGCAGTATTTTTCTCTCTTTTATCCAAAGAGAAAAGGGAATCAATTTGCAGTCTCTAACTGAAAGAACAGAACACAAAAGATAGGTTAGGACATGTCCTCACTTTTCTTGATATCTCCACTTTTCTATTCCTATTTGCAGAGGGTTGAGAAGGCAATCAAGGAGAAATCTTGCAATGCTCTTCTTCTCAAGGTACAGCAAGAGTCTCAGTCTTTAATAGATCTTATTAGAGCGTGTTTTCTTTACCATTATGAAAATGAATAACACCTTTTAAACTTGTTTGGATACAGGTGAATCAAATTGGATCCGTAACTGAGAGCATTGAGGCCGTAAGAATGTCCAAGAAAGCTGGGTGGGGTGTTATGGCCAGCCACCGCAGGTTAGGAAGTTGAACCTTGAATTGCAATGGCATAAACTGAAATTCAATTCTCTTCACCATAATCTATTGATTTCTAGTAGCTGATGTGGTTTAAATTTCTTGACTGCAGTGGAGAAACTGAGGATACCTTTATTGCTGATCTCTCTGTGGGTTTGGCCACGGTAATTATCTAACCTGAGTTCTGTGTCTGATAACATTAATTACAAGCTCCCCAACTTTTCCTCGAGTCCCGGTTCGATTTCTCATGAAATTGTACTTTTTCTCAGGGACAAATCAAGACCGGAGCTCCCTGCAGGTCGGAGCGTCTTGCCAAGTATAACCAGGTCTGAACTAACATCAGTTTCTTTTGCCTTCGTATGATTTTGTAGAATTTTGTTGACCATTGTTTTTCAAATTTCTTCAAACTTAGACGTGGTTTTTGAACATGTTATGTTTTTGTATGTGCAGCTCTTGCGAATTGAGGAGGAGCTCGGTGCAGAGGCAGTCTATGCTGGAGCCAAGTTCCGCGTACCCGTTGAGCCCTATTAGAATATCAAGCGCTTCCAAAGCTTGTGCGGGACGGGATGAAATGAAAAAATAGAGCTTCACAAGTGAGGAATAAGTTTTTACATGTAGAATGGGTTTTAGTTATGTGGAACTCGAAACCTTTTTTTCCAATAATTTTCAGAGAAGTTTTGTTCTGAGCACTCGAAGACGGTGCACTACAGAATGTTTTGAGTAAGCGTGTTCGTCTGTGTAATGTTTTGAGTTGCTTTTAAATGTTTGCTGCTACTAGTTTTGGCTAATGGTTTTATCAATGTGCCATCTGGAATTCTCTCCTTAAGTTTGCCTTTTGAGAGGGCACTTCTTCATCGTCATCATCTCCATGGTGTTCAATTATAATTGACGACTTTGCTCAAAGCGCAAAAGTCGTTGCCATAAAAACAAGGGAGTTTCACTAAGAGCATCTCCACCCACAAGGGCTAAGTCTAAGGCAAGGGCAAGCAAGGGCTGCCACTATTCACGTGAATAGTGTCAGCCTTTGCATTTGTGGTTCCACCCAAAATCTAGGGCAAGTCTAAGGCAATTACTATTCATTGTACTTTATTTCCTATTTGTTTATACTTTAAACTATTAATTTTGATAAGCTTTTTAGATTATATTTTCGGTTTTCACGTGTCACTATTTATTATAAAATTTTCATTTAAAATTTAAGATAATATTTTTCAAATAAAATTTTCAAATAAAATTTTTGGATAAAATTTTTCGAATAACATTTTTGGTTTTGCCTTGACTAATCTATTAAAAAAAAAGAAATTGGAAATGCAAGAAATATATATATAAAAAAAGACATTAAATTGAATAAAATTTTTTTTTTTTTTTTTTTTTTTTTTTTTTTTTTTTTTGCCAAGCAATGATTTGATGTTGGAAAGTGAAAAATAATTGGAAGGAGATGAGTTTTTATGAAGATTTGGTGTAGAAAGTGAATAAAATGGTTAGGTATTTATAGGGAAAAAATACAGAATTTTTTGGTATTTAAAAAAAAAAATCAGAATTTTTCAGAATTTTTTCGAAATTTTTTTGCCAAAAAAAAAAAAAATATGTTTTACTGTGCGCTGACGTCAGCGTGACGCCAGCGCTGACGTCAGCCAACTCGGGCTTCAGCCCGGGCAAGACTTGCCCTTGGGCTTGCTCGGGCACGTGGGACCCACCACCAAACCGGGCTACGGGCCCTGCGCTGGAGCTGCCTCGGGCTCCCTCTGGCAGCCTTTCCCCCGGGCTGGGCTTTGCGCTGGAGATGCTCTAAAACACTCAAAATGGGGGCCGAAATTATAAAAAAACCCAACACCCAAAACACTTTATAAACACACCTAAAACCCATCATTACACACACTCAAAATCCATTGATAAACACACCCAAAAATATACAATTGTTGATTTTGGGTGTGTTTCTATGTTTAAATAGTGTTTGAGTTTTTTTATAAATACATGTCTAGAATTGAGTTTATTTATAAATTTGTATAAAAACAATAACAAGAAACGTCCAAAGGCTCTTACTAATAGGCCCCTTATTTATTTGAGACAAGGCCAGCATTATTTGCAACTTATTAAATCCTAACCAAAGTTAAAATTTCAAAGTTCTCTCTAATTTTGTACATTACACGCATTTCAATTACAAATCGCCGTTGAATTGCATACGTGAGTTAGGTTTGTTGGTCAAGGTAGTGGGTCCGTTTTTTGGCACTCAAGTTTGAATCTTTGTTGTAGAAAGTTCGAATCCTCTAGCTCTAAATTAGATTAATTTAGAGTAATTTAGATTATCACTTGTGTTTACAAAATTTTAAAAAACTACTATTGACATCTTAAGCTACAGATTTCAATTGAAAAGAATCACCATGGACCATTGATTACGTTGATGGCCACATGTTGAAGATCCATGTACATTGCATAGGTTAAAATCTAACAGTTAAGTCGGTGAATGTAGATTTGGAGCCGTACACAACATTAACAATTAAGTCGGTGAATGCATAATTGGTGCAGAGTACATAACATATAACACTTTAAGAACATAAACTTCTAAATTATCTGAGCAAGAAAATATATGTATATATATTTTATGGAAAAAAAAAATTGTATTTTTTCCATTTCATTAATTTGGTAAGAAGCTACATTATGGTAAGTAAATTAATTAATTATATTAAAAAAAACCTGAAAATTAAATGTAAAATTACAAAATATGCAGGCTGTGGGGTTCGAACCCACGCGTACTTATGTACAGTAGATCTTAAGTCTACCCCCTTAACCTCTCGGGCAAACCTGCTTGTTGTTTATTCCTCTGAACTTTATTTTATAAATTCGTTGCTCACATAAATACAAGTTAGAAACAACATAGCACTGCAGCTGCGCGTTTGTTCAAACTTAAAACCCTAATAAGATCAAAAACAGAGAGAAGGGCCACAACATCATAATTCACAGGTCTCAGCTATGGCGGAGCACTTAGCATCCATCTTCGGCACAGAGAAGGACCGTGTCAACTGTCCCTTCTACTTCAAGATCGGTGCTTGCAGGCATGGCGACCGATGCTCTCGCCTCCACACCAAGCCCAGCATCAGCCCCACCCTTCTGCTTTCCAACATGTACCAGCGGCCCGATATGCTCACCAACCCCGGCGTCGACCCCCAGGGCCAAGCCTTAGACCCTCGAAAGATCCAAGACAACTTCGAGGTCTTCAATCACATCCCCAATTTCAATTGAAACACATACACACACTCTCTCTTTCTTTAAGTTTGAATCAGAATTTGCTATTGGTTTTGTCATTGATTTTTTTTTTGTTGGTTGTGATTGTTGAGTGCAGGATTTTTATGAGGATCTGTTTGAGGAGCTGAGCAAGTATGGACAGATCGAGAGCTTGAATATCTGTGATAATTTGGCTGACCACATGGTAACATTTCTAGGGTTTCTCTTTTTTCTATTTTGGTTTTTGTTAATAAGTTTTGTGTCGGACTAATTGATTGTTTGGGTATGTGTTTGTGAGTAGGTTGGTAATGTGTACGTTCAGTTCAGGGAGGAAGAACATGCTCAAGCTGCGCTTCAGAATCTCACTGGGAGGTTCTATGCAGGTTACTTTTACCATTCCCCTTCCATCTAAATTTCTGATACATTAGATTAATAGTCATGATGGTATGGCGACTTTGTTTGCCGCTGTAATCCGTTCAGCAGAAGTCAATTTTCATCTGTTGCTTGATATATGTTATGTAGATGTACTGTGCAACATCACAGTTCAGAGTGTGTTGTTTTGCAAAATATTATTGAAACCTTCCAACGTAGAGTTGAGTTTCATTGAAGACTCGGTTGGTTTATAATGCGTGAATCTCCCATTTTTTTTATTTAAAAAAATGCCATCTATCAGGTCTGGCCTTAGGATTCATTCATATTTTGTTTTTATATTGTTAGAAGACCTTATTTAGTAGATTTTAAGTCATTTGAATGAGTTACTCAAATTCCATCAGTCATTATATCACCATTTCCTATGGTGATGCATGATTTTTCCATGGCTTGGCATTAATGTAAACAGTCTTATTTCTATAGGAAAACCTGTTGTGTGCATAGTTTTTCAGATAATTGTGCCTCTTGGTGATACACTATTATATAACCATCTAGATATATATAAGAGAATGGTCAATGAATACTTGTGAGCTATATAGATACATGGTATTTAATAATAAATCTGGTTTAAGGTCTTTGGGATTTGAGATTCAAAGTTTCAAACCAGAGCTAGTTTAGTCCAAGTGGGTTGGCACCACCGAATTGAAATTTCTCAGCCATAAGCATTTGTAGTTTGGCTCATCTTTTACTCATCATAGATTACGATCTGATGAACTACATTTTGGTCAGGTAACTCACAGTTAAGCGAGGATTAGCATATTGTCTGCACTATTTTTTTTTAATTAGACAAAAGCACACTGATTTAGTTCCTCAGTGACATGTAAAACTGTTAATCAGTTTAACCATTTACAAGTTAAGGTAATAAAGCTTTATTCTTTGAAATGAAGTATGTGGGTAGAATTCTGTCTTGTTTCAGGGATTTGTAATTGTATTTGTTGGAATTAGGTGAAAGCATTAGTTTTGATCGTTTTGTTAGTTGGTTGTGGCATGTGTTATTGTGGCCACAGCTGTTTCTGTCTTATCTTTTTTATTAATTCTTCATCATAATGATAGTACTCATTGAGTGTTGGATTACTGTTTTCATGAAATCAATAACATTTTGGCAATATGATGAATATTAAAATACTAGGGCGCCCCATCATCGTTGACTTTTCCCCGGTGACGGATTTTCGTGAAGCTACATGTAGGCAGTATGAAGAAAATGTATGCAATCGAGGTGGCTATTGCAACTTCATGCATTTGAAGAAAATTAGCAGGTGTGATTATTCTTCTCTTGTTTTACAAACAGCCTGATTTTCATGATGACTTGGTAGTTTATTAACCTATTTGTGCCAATTTTAGGGAGTTGAGGAGGCGATTATTTGGGAGAAACAGGAGAAGGCATAGTCGCAGTCGAAGCAGAAGCCGTAGTCCTCAAAGGCATCATCGTGGTGGTTATCAGGAGCGACCACATGGAGGTCGCGGTTTTGGCAGAAGAGGAGGAGGAGATGATGACAGAGATCATCGTTTCCATGATAAAGCAAGGAGGCCTAGAAGCCGTAGTCCCGGACGTAGAGGAAGAAGTAGAAGCCCTGTGGGCACTGGGGGGAAAAGGAATAGGAGTCCTCCAGCCAGGGAAAGCAGTGCTGAAAGAAGGGCTAAGATCGAGCAATGGAACAGGGAACGGGAACAGGTGGACTCCGGAAGTAAGTATGATAATAACAACAACAATAACAATAATGATGATGAATGGAATGGTTATGCTGAGAACAGCGATCAGTACTACGAAGATCCTCAGCAGCAGCAGCAGCAGTAGCGTGATAGGTACAAAAGCAAGCTTCCTGCTTCTGAGATCAAGCCTCAGTTATTTCAGGCAGCTAACCGTGTTACTTGTATACAAGTTGGCTGTTGTCCAAGAGCTATGTCCAGTATTAAATGTGATGGGTTTTGGAGGCGTTAGGGTAATTTCTGGATCCTGGTGCAGGAAAACGCTGGCTGCAAGGGTGAGTTATTATTATAGGAAAGATCCAAGTGTACGGGAAGTAAGGGACGAAAATGTTTTACTAGAATTATGAAATATTGTCTGAGATGTCTTATTAAAGTCTTTAAGACCATGTTGTTAGAATTGTTAGCGTGATTTTTATTGCTGCTTTTGCTAATTTCAGCTTTGTGATATATTTATTGTTTCCCGAGTTCCTGTATTGAATTTTCTTAGATAGTATAGTAGTGTGGCTCGCTTTAAACAGTTTTTACCGTTAGTAACTATTTTGGGTTCCTGTGAAAACAGGATGCCCATGGCATGCCAAGCGTATTTGGCTTGGATGGGAAGCATGACTTTAACTGGAACTCTGTAATTTTTGTTTGGGAAGGAATCAAATGATATTATATTTTTCTGAAAGTCTCAAATCCTGAGGGAGAATAATAGAAATTTATGAATATCACAATCCTAACCCCTCAACCCAATCCTTCCTAAACCCAATCACAAGTCCATCTCTTTATCCAATTTTGTGACTTATCATACTCCTAATCCTTTATTGTACCTCGCTTCGGATTATCGTAATCCTTTTTTCTTGGGTTATCTCCAAGAGCTTGATTTGATCTCTGTTTTTTTTCCTCTCTTATTTTCTTTACAAGTATGGTATTTATTTTCCCATTCCAATTAAACAATTTTACTCTAAAAAGCATTTTGTGAAATGAAAAAAAATGTGAGTGCTTCTGTCGTCGGATGGAAAAGCATGTTAATACCAAATTTACCAATACCAATCGGAAGGCATGTCAAGAAATGGAAGTGCTAAAATAGGCTCGATTATCTCCAAACTCATCATCAACCATAATTACATATTTCCTATCCTAGTTTGACAAGTAAATCATTTAAAAATGAAATCATACTCTTAGTAGGACTAGTAAAACCATAAAAAAGAAATCACACTCCCTAGAGTAAATGGAAACAATTAATCCTAATCTCCTACGACGAAGATAAATGAGAGGCATTTCTTGCGTACAAAGGCATCCTTGTAAGAGTAGTACATGGATTATGATCATTATAAAAGGAAACCAATGTCAAGAGCAAACATCAATCTCTCACCCATCAACAAAAGCTTTTCACATCTCTCTCACACACAAACGCAACCTTCGCTTCCCAATCGAGTTCAAGATGTCGCCTGCCTTCAAACCCAGTTACACCGATGACGACTATATTGTATACGTGACGGCAGAGGATCGATCAGGTTCCGGGCCGAATGGTGATGCTGATCCATCCCTTTCCATTGATCATCTGGTGGTCTCAGTTACTTGGAATGTCAAGAGAACCTACTATTCCGATACTGACCTCAACAAAAGATGGCCAATCAGAGACCTCGATGAAGAGCACGCATTCGATGGCATGCAATTACCATCACCACTAGAATCAGAACATTCACTGCGATTGCTTATAGGCACCATGACAGTTGATCATATGATAAACGAGAAAATACCGTTCCAGTTCCTTGGCCACAGGCTGCGCTGGAACGAGCATTCTTCTCTCTCTACAGGCACCGCAGACGAAGATCAATGGACACCATTAGAGAGCGTACGTGATATGATTCACAAAATATCCGGTGTTCTTAATGGCATGGTTCTCTCAGGCCGCAAGAAGATGGACATTCGTGTGACATTTCATAAGCAAATTACACTCTCTCCTCAACAATATGAAGCAGTGGCTAGGCGAGCTAGGAGACTTTGAGGCTTTGCCTTGGAGAAGTTGTATTTGACGGATTTACTTTTATAGCACTTTTCTCGATTTTCTTTGTTTCTAGCATTTAATTTCTGTAGTTTCTTCACTCGATGTGGTTATTTGAATATTTTTTTATTGAAAAGTTTATTTTATTATTATTTTTTGTTCTCGACTTCCAAGAGACTGCGATTTCGTTTTGACCAATTCTGGGCAGGAAACGAGAGCGAAGGACCAATTTCTCATATGTTAAGAAAAATGCATGGTTTGCCCACAAGAACGTACCAAAACCTTAGAATCCAAAACGAGTATATAAGAAAATGCCTCCCAGATCAACAGCAAAAGATTTTCATACAAGCCTGGTAATAACAAGATCAGTTAGCAACCAATAATTAAGCTAATCTCTCTCTTCATATTTACTAAACCTAACTTCCTCCGGTAATCAATCCCAAACATCACCATGGTAGGAACTACACCGCCTTTCACTTTGCAGCACTGTGCTTTGCCTTTGTATGGCTTTGCAATGCACCATCTGAGTTGAACGACCTGCAAGAACAATAGCATAAGAAATTACAATTTTGTTTTAACAAGACAGAAATTTGGACGAACCTTTTTTTTTCTAAGAAAAAAAATACCTGTTGCACGATTGGCAATTGAATGTGCCGCCTGATTTTGGAGCCTGCTGCTTTGACTGGTCAGAAGTAGCTGGTTTTTTTCCGGCCAGCTTTGCAGGGTAAGGAGTTGCTATGTGGACGCTGCCTTTCTTGCTATCTGCTCCAACAGTTAGCAGTCAGCCAAACATCTCCATTTTGATCATAGAATTAGGAGTTGAAACAGCTTAAAGACACCCAGACCCATATTCAAACTAAAGGTAACATATAACATCGTCAATTTGACTGATGCCACAGGCAGCCTATTCCACCACAAGTCCATAAGAAGAAAATTAAATGTGTAAATTTATGAAATTTTGTAATTTGTGTCTTCCACAGCAAGCATCAAAATTTAAAATTGTAAGAAGAGAAATAATAACATCGGAATACAAAGAACTTACCAGTCTTTTCAGGGGTAACAAACTTTGCCTTCTTGTTATTAGCAAGTCTTTTAGTAGACTCGGCAGGTCGCTTCTTGCTCACATCAGCCTTAACAATAGATAAGACGAGTGCATTTACTTAACAATAATAATTGGATTATGATAACAATGCAGAACAGTGTAGAAGGGTAGAGGGCATCTGAAATTGAAACTCTCCACATGAAGGTGTTTATAAGAAGAGTGCTATTACCTTTTTCGGAGTCTCTTCATCCTCTTCCTCACTGTCATCAGTTTCATCTTCACTATCAGCATCGTCGTCATCGTCATCATCACTTTCATCCTCATCTTCACTGCTACCTTCCTCAATCTTGAACTTGAACTTGGTCTGTATAACACACCAGCAAGCAGATATATTCAGTACTTACTGTTCTATCCAGATAATACCATGCAAAACCACATCATTATAGTTGAACAAAATTTCCAAATGAAAGGAGTTGATAATTCCAAAGTGTAGACAGAATCTTATAGCCTGAATGTCAATTCAATGTTTTAAAAGGTCAAACTTCTGGTACATGTAATTATGTGTGGGAAACTTCCGTGCTCAAGTACTCATGCTCCAGAGCCCAATACTTATTATTTCCCAGTCCCAAAATCTATATTTCAAGAAATTAATACCTAAATAAAGTTTTTTCTGTTTAGAATCTTTATAGACCATGACAAAATATACCTAACCAACAGAGATGAAGGTGACATTTCTAGTTAAGTACATTGATACCCCATCCCAGAGCACAAGTCTTTGACATACATAACTTGGGCAATGAACCATTATAATTGGCACTATTAACAATATAAGAAAAAACATGCTTGCTACAAATGTACCTTTTGTCAGTCAACCACTGTAGTCACAATAACTCTAGACAGGGTAAAATGGTTCAGTCACTCAACATGGTGTTCAAACAGATTAGAAAGATAATAAGAGTACCTGATCAGCACCAACTTCATCATCAGATTCATCATCATCACTACTAGTTTCCTTTTGCTCAGATTTAATAGCTTTCTTAGCGTCCTCAGTACTCACCTTTGGTTTGCCTGATATGACAGGTTTTCCTATGTAAACATGATATGAATCACAGAAGCAAAAGTCTACAAAACTCAGATCACATTACTCAATAATAAATAAGCATATCTTTACCATTATCAACCACAGTAAGTGCTACATCCTCTTCAGAATCTGGAAGCAAAATAATAAAAAAAGGGTTAAGAGCTTAAGAGTTAGAACTAAAATAAAACCACATGCTAGAACAGTGACTCACCAGAATTATCACCTGTGGTGAGACAAATCAGAATGCAGTCAAGGAGATAACAAATGATTCAATGATCAAAGAAAGTACAGTTAGATGTAAAACATCACATTCAAACATGAAAAGGCATTAACAAAAAGGATATTTCGACAGAGACTTATATCCAATGAAGTGGACGCTCCCATTTTTCCAGTTATGGGATAGCTCAAATTTCTCTCCAAAAAAAATATCCAAAGGCAACTGGGGGAATTTCTCAGCAGAAAGAATTCCAAGAACAAGCTTATGATTGCTAGTTTTCACAAAGAGTGAAATAGGATTGCTTCCCTTTGCTTTCTTGACATCATCCAGACAAACCTACATTATAAAAGTCATTTGTACACCATGCTGAAATGACAATAGAGGAAAAAAGCAACAAATTTAAACAGCTCGCTAATTACCTGTGAAAGATGCACGACCTTATTTTTAGGTTCAACAGAAACAGACTGCCCACTTTTTACCTCAACACCTGGAAATTGAGTCACATTAAAGTAGTAAATTAACAATTGAAATATTGACACTAACAAAAAGTAATGTGGCAAAAGTTTTCAGAATGAAAACAAGGCGTCAAAGGGTTTTTCCTTTCCCATGTGTGAATCCAATATCATTTAGTGACAAACATGCAGAAGACAACACAATAGTTCTTTTTTCTTTCAGTTGAAATATGTACAGCGAACTCAGACTCAAATGTTCTTTCCATTTAATTTCTCGGAAAACAAACAGAGTGAAAGCAAACCTATTAAGTTCTAAATGAGCATAAAACAAATCATTTGAAAAGAAAAAATAAAAACCCTAAACGCTTTCCTACTTGGAGTAAAATGACCAGGGAAAAAAAACGAAAATAAAAAAGACTCATCACGACCGGGATAGACAGTTGAATTATGGCTTAGTCTGTCCTGTTCCTGTAAGATATTAAGTCACATCATGAAAACCTAACCAGACTAGTCCTACCATTTTCCCTAGTTTTCTCGGGAACCAAACGGCAAAACATTGCTAGAAACGAAAAGGCATAACTCGTATATGAGAACACAAAATCCTAACAAATCAACGATCAGAGAGAAAGAGAGGCATACCCCAAAACTCCATTGTTGAATGGCAGAGATTGTGGCGCGGTCAGCGGTAGGTTTTCTAGAAGGCGCTGCAGAAATTCTGGGTTCGGGTTTCTGGTTTCAGTGACATGAAATGAGGGGATGGTTTCCATGGGGATTGTTTTTATAGTGTGAAGCAGAGTGAGGAAGTGATTCCTTTAACAACTGACACGTGTCAAACCCGAATTGCTTGGGCGGGTAAGGCTAATAAGGGTTTAATTTTTTAGGTCAGATTGGGCGGGTAGGGGTTGAAATACCAAATTAAACCCAAGGCACCCAAAAAGGTGTTTTGTACACCCCATTCCTTTGACAAAATAAAGCTCATATCTAAGGTAAAAATCCAATCCAATAAGTACGTATCAATCATGTGACAAGAGAGATAAATTAACATACGACCAAAATTATTATAGCAAAAATTTTCCGTGGTGAGGGAACACCACTTTTTGTCAATAATTAAAGATCAAATAGGACTAGTCAAGTGAACCCTTTTAATGAGTAATTAAAAAATTTATTTTCGAACAAAAGTTAAATAATTTTAACCTTCTAACCATTTTGGGGCAAAAATGGCTTCAAAAGGCAGAGTGAAGAAGTAACACGAATCAAAAGGCTCAGACCCGAGTTGGTTGGGCGGGTCAGTGTTGAAACACCAAATTCAACCTAAAGATTGAGTATTGACATCCAAACGGTGTCGTCGCACACCGAAATTCCTTTGATAAAATATTGCAACACATTCTATTCATCAATCAGCAGTTATACACCGACGATTGCAAATGATACAGATATATTTCTATGGTTCCAATGAAAAAATAGAATTACAAGATTACCAAATATCAGCCCAGAAGACAGAATGTAAACCCTTTGAACAAACTAAGGTCTATGACTATGTAGAAGAAATTTTTAGTTCAGTTCTAATAGTAATAATAGTAAACTCATCCTAACTTCTTCTGGGATTTATTTAACACATTTCACATAAATAAAAAATTAGAGTAGGATAGAATGAACTTCAACAATGAATCTCAAACTTAAAACGAAGATCGTCGGCTACTGGTTCTTGCTAATTTTCAGTTTTCTTCTTTGTTTCCTGCGTGCACTCCTCCATCTCATTCAACCACAGGTCTGCAAACTCACAATTCTTCCAAGCCTCAAACCATGGTCCTCCACGAGTATAGTGTACGGCCTTGGGGAGTGTTTGGGGATCATTTTCGACAACCTTGTTATGTCCCTCAAGAAAATTCCAGACGAAAGGGATGGACCCAATTTCACCATCCTCAAGCCATGAAAACCTATGAAGAAATGCACCTGTTTCTGTGTTCACAACCTCAGGTGTCAAGACCTTGTTCTTGGGATGCCCACAATTATACAACACCATGGAAGACCAGTTCTTCCTTGGGTACACAGTTTGCACTGCTCCATCCATTTTCGTTGTCTCCTTTGGAGTATAATCATGTTGAACACACATTATAGCATACTTTTCATCAATCAAGTCTCTCAACTCCTTAATGTCAGCAAGGTAAAGGAAATCACAATCCACAAACATTGCCCAACCTTCATAATTAGCCAAATGTGGAGTCAAGAACCGAGAAAAAGAGAACTCGGTGCTTTCAAACTGCCCTCTTTCACGCCAATAGAGGCCATCCTTCCGCAGATCTGATTGTTTGATTGGTGTGATCTCAACAGGGATTGAAGATCGTTTCAAAATGGAGTGGCGACAGACTTCATATGCGAGATCTTCACGTGGATCGTAACCCACAAAGATCTTGAAGGGCTTGTCCTTAATGTCTCCATTAGAACTCACTGGATGAATCTTCCCATCACTCAAACTCATCTTAGCTGATGAGGATTGTACCTCACTCTGTTCAGAATCGAAAAAACATGCAAAAGATTATTCAGACAATGAATTTAGAACAATTTATAGGTGAACAAGGAAAGATATTACTCCAATTGCCATAAACTACCACCAAGCATACAATTCACAGATCTGAATCGAAATTTAAAGACGAAACCAAAGAGATCTACGAGGAACCACCGAAACAATATACTAACTAAAGAGAAGCTAAATTAACACCTTCACAAAGAAAATGGTGCAATTGTTGGAGATTTAAGACATCAGAAACAACAAGAACACTTCTGTGCGTGCCTACCCCTTTGTGTGCATATATTACCCCTTATTTGGTCATCAAGAAAATGAAGAAAATCCATAGATCTTACACTTAAACTATTGGAATGGATCAACTATAAATTTTATCAATAAGAAAATATTCAGGATTGGAGCATTTAATTTCCTTCATTTTCTTCAGTTTCAATCCGACCCATGAAAGCAAAATTCAGGATTCTGGGCAATAAAAGAAAGTAAAATCAAATGCATGTATCAAATGTGAGTGAATCAGCGTAAATCAAAGAGCAAAGATATTCAGACAAGAATTCTAGAAAAAGCCCATTTCCGGTTTCAGAGCAAATGCATAAAACAGAAACAGAAACTAAACTCCTAGGCATAAAAAACCCAGAAATATAAACACAGTTGCAGAAGTAAAAGGAGAAAGAGCAGTACCTAAAAACTGGAAATGACGCAGATCTTGTTGTAGGAAGAAGAAAAAGATAAAAGTCAGGCACGTTCAATGCGGTGCTTTGTTTTCTTCTTTTGTTGAAGTCTATGACAAAATTATAAGAGAAGAGACTGAGAAAGATATTTTCAAATCAATGGCGTAGAGGGAGAGAGAGAAAGAATTGAGCGAAGAAGCGAGAATTGAGCGGCAGCGCAGTGTGTGGACTGTGATTTGTGCCCATCAAATATATAGGGAGGATGAGATCCAATTCAATTCCCAGCCTTCTAAAATTAGTAATTTTTCAAGTCTGAAGTTGACTATATTGTCCCCGTCTGTCCTGTGATTCGGTGGGTTGGATTACCGCGTATAACAGTTGATCAGAAAACCTGTTTTCTTTTTTCTTTTTTCTTTTTTAATTTCTAATTTTGATGATCTGCTCTGCACAAACAAAACCAATTTGCTAGAAGAAAGAAGCCCATAGTGTTCATGCCCACTATGCCATGTCGGCCCGCCCACAATATTGAGTGATCTGGTTACCAAAATTCCATATGAAGATCAATTCTTTCCCAACATTGAACGCAAATGAGATACTTTATTTTTTTTACTTGGAGAATCAAATGTACGACAACTTGGTATAAGCATTCCTAACCAAGTTTAGCAGAAAAACTTAAAAGCGTTTCTCGGTCGCTTTTCGGAGAAGGACTACAAGACACTTTTCCAAAAAAGTACTTGAACTTTTTAGAAGAGTTTCAACATGATTCTAATAAATTTGCTTACAATCCAAAACTAGCCATTGGTCTAAAATGGTGTCGTTTTCCTTAACCCCTTTCTACAAAACAAACCTTCATATAATATAAGGGAAGCTCGAAGAGCTTTCTTCGCATGTTTGAGCCGTTGATGAACATAAATCTATGTTCATTTGTAAAAATAAAAAGGTAAAAGGAAAATTTGAATTTAACTCTATAGTTATGCATGGTTGATCAAGACGGTCGGAAGTCAAATGTGACTCTAAGCAAGGCGCCATAACATTTGGTCATAGTTGTGATTTCACTGAAATCTACATGATCTCGTTAAAAAGTATACCCAGGAGTTTTAATACTGTTACTGTGGTCTACAAATAGTTCATTTTCCTATCCAGAAAAACCATAAGTAAAGTATATGATGACCAATAGAAATCGTCTCATAATCGGAAAAGATGGCTCTCACAGGCACATACTATTGGGAAAAGATAGATGCAGCCATAGATTCTGTTTCTTGCCATCCTCATACTGCAGTGTTTATTCGGGCTTTCGACATGTAATAACGGAATACTTGATAAGATCCTTCTTGAAACCTTGGATCATCAATGGCATTGCCAATGCACCCTTTATTGTTTTTGTTCCTGACCAATTCAAATCAAGAAACACAAGTAAATAGATGGATTAAGTGAAAGCTGAGACTATATCTGTAGCTCTAAGCACACATAAACATAATCTTAAAGCAGCTATAAAAATTGAATAATGAAGCAGGAAAATGTGCATCTTGAAAGTTCTAGTGGGCAAATTGAACAGACATTGAGCATATCTAAAGAAGGTGAGCAAACAAAGACCTGTCAGAAAATGAATTCAATGGGTTCAAACAGAACCTAAAGGGAGATAAAAGAAATGCTGAGTTTACCGGAGCGCAAGAGCGATGTGAAACCCTTCCATGTCAATGCCGAGCGTATAACAGCTGGCCAAAATGGGGCAACATACGGAGACCAATCTTCTGCCTTGATGTCCTGCCATGGAAGGTTCAGATGTCAGTGCAGGTTGGTGCATACATAGACACCAAGTTGTTCACTCAAAAAGATGGGGCTCATGCCCCAAATGACTTGACATGTTTTAAAGGAGCTTCCGAGCAGCCAATTTTGAGCAAGTAAATACCTGGAGGGATAGAGACTGAAGTAATTGGACATAATCAGCAGTAGAACACCAGGCAGGAAGATAGAAAGCATTGCATATCTTGTCCAGAAGCTTTTCCTCCTCTGGCTTCAAGGCTTTTTCAGAAGCACCAAGATCCCTGTGGCACCATGTCACTAATATTATTGTTGCTCCTGGGGCAGCAACTCGAACCAACTCATTCACAAACTGCAGAGAATTTCTTGGGTAAGGGCTAAGGAGCAAGGGGGACCATTATTAATAACAAAAGAACCAGGTACTTGGAACTTCAAGAGAAAATAAACCTTTGCTTTGTCAGGCATGTGTTCCCCACTCTCCATGGACCAGACCAGATCAAATTGCCCATCAGGAAATGGTTGATCCAGAGCATCTGCAACTTGAAAGGAAGCCTGCAAACCTTTCACACGTAAATACGTGATGTGGTCCATGATAAGAGAGTCCAGAAAAAAAAAAAGTTTGATTCTAAATAATTTAAACCACTGCAAGCTTAGCTTAAGGATAAAGGACACATCGGTACCTTGCTGGCCAACCCTTGAGCATCAGCAAGAGCATTGGCCCTCTGCGCTTGAACAGGGCTGAGGGTGATGCCTTTGCAATTGGCCCCATATTTACCTGCCAGGTATCTGGAGCTGCCCCCAATCCCGCACCCAACATCAACCACGTTCTTAGGCCCTCTGATTGGGGCTTGCTCTGCAACCACAAATTACAACCTTCATTACAGTCTTAATCCAAAATTATTAATAAATAATTAATCACGGCAATTAAAAAAATTAAAAGATATGAGACGGAGAGAAAGAGAGAGACCAGAAATGCCGGCGAATCGGAGGACTTCGTCGATCATGCGAATCTGGGCAGCGCGGTGGTCTGGAGCAGAGACCGAAACGTCGGCGTTTGGGTCGTAGAAGCCGTGATGCATGTGGTCGCCCCAGATGTCCTCCCATAAGCCAGACGACTCGTCGTACAGCTCAGCTATCCCCTTCTTCAGCTCCACGACCTCCATCGCCCCCGTCTCCGCAACCGCGTTCAATCTCCTCAACCCACTCGTCTTCTTGGTGCTCGCTCCAGCTACTACTGTATTCGCACGAACACGAAGATGGCACGTGCGAGACTGTGTCTTTGGTGTTGATGATGACGACGATGACATCAACGCACACGTCTGGTACGACAAGCATGCCATGGGGGCTTGATAGAACAAATTAATATAACTCACAGATCTGAATTGAATTGAAATTTCAGATATTAATAACAAAAAGTCAAACACACAGAAACAGAGAGAAGTGTTGCAGGCAGAGACCACCTTGATAATTTTTCTCAGTGAACCAGTCCTCTGTTTTTTGCTTTCAGTTTCAGAACGTACGTATGGAAGAAGAGTTAATTATAAAATGCAGTTGGGCTTATTTAGAAAGCAAAAGCTGCAAAAAGCCAATAATCTGTCTGTGCAGTGGCAGATCTGTGTAAAGGGCAGGTGGGTGCCCCCCCATCCAAAGATTTTATTATTATTTAAAAACGTTATATGGGCAGCCCAAGTTTAAAACCCAACATACACACAAGCCCATCCAATTTCAAAGTGGTCCCAGCTTTTGTCTCTTTTCCTCTGGTACACCAACTTTTCTCCCTTTTCGACAGACCCGCCGAGGACAACAACAGTATCCTTTTTCCCTCTTTATGTTGCTGCATCTTTCCATTATACTGGCTGGGCAGTGGGCATCTTACTGGCTTGTCCTCTCTTTTCTATAACAACAAGTAATTTTAAATTCTCTCATTTTCTATATATCTTTAATTATAATTATAATTCAAAACTTAATATTTTAGGATTTTATTTATGTATAGATGCATTTGAAGGTTAAGTTTAATATGTAAATTCCGCCAAATTGACTTTCCATTTCTGGATCCGCCACTAAATCTGTGGCTCAAAATTAGCACCTTGAGTGGTTTAATTTGCTTACTGGTGATTGGTAATGGAGTTTTGAAGCCTGTAGCTCTACCAGGAGAGGCTCGATGAAAGAGAGAGCAGATAGAGCAGGGGAAGAGGAACAGTTAGTGAGCGGCTGTTTTGGAAAGTACGTGGCTCTTGGAAAAAAAATCTTTTAACTAAAAAAATAAAATAAAATCTTTACCAAAAAAAAATATAAAATAATTTTTAGTTACATTTCTGTTCTATTTGTAGTGTGCGATTAGAATTGGCCCGTACTTGCTGCATGTGCAGTTTGACTAATGTCAGACGAGGCCAAATATTTTCTGTGGTGAACTAAAAAATAATTTTCTGACCGGAAAAAATAGTAATTTAGTTTTTCTTGATAACATAAAAAGTTGAGTTAATTACAGTTTTGATAAGTTGGGTTTGGCTCGAAATCACCGTGATTTTTAACTTTTTGATTTCGTCACCGTACTTGCGGTCGTTAATAAATCAAGTCACATCTTTTAATTTTGTCAATTCAATTTAAATGTGTGAATGAGCAAAATTGTATTTCCATCATTTAAACAATTAATTTAAAAAATTATAATTTTTTAAATTAAAAAAAAACCAACAACAACCCATCCGTTTCTCCCAGCCCCATCCACCATCCTTATCCCCAAATCCTTCCAATTACACTCCTAAGTTTTGAGTTATGCAATTATTGACTTTATTTCTCATACTTTTTAAATCATTAATAAGAGTAAATTAGTCATAAACACATAACTAATGTTGCCTTGATATCCCATGAGAAATGAAAATAAAACTTAAGTGGTATAAGTGATTCCACATGAGCTGCTGGATTCAGAACAAGAAGTACTATATCGCGAAGTGCACACCACAAATTCACTACAGCTATGACCCAATATCACCCACCCATGGTTGGATTGAAGAACGCAAAATACTATTATTTCCTTTCACAACACACGAGTAATGAGTCATGGGTCATGTAAGATGTCATACATCAGAAGGTAGATCTTATGTAGCTTAAAAACAAAAACAAAAACAAAAAACGAAAAACATACCCAAAATACGACACAAACTAAAAAACAAAAGCACGACACCACCATTACAAGGTCAGCTTCACACTACACATGGTGGACGCGATCACATTTTACCCGGGCTCTCCACCCTCACTTTGCCATCGTCATCAATGCGCACCTCCACGCGCGCTTTTCCTTCTTCATCCAAACGACCCACGTCGTTGAAATTTTGACCATGCATCTGGTCAGACGAATAGAGCTTACCCGCCACCTTACCTGGCCTGGTCTCCGCCACATCAACCTCCTCCCTCTCCACAACATCGGTTGGCTGAGTTAACTTGCTTTTAATGGCACTGGTCACGCCGCCAAATGAGCTCAATATTTCCCTTGGCTGCCTTCCCTTTCTCAGCCTCAATGTCACGTGCCTCACGGGATCTACCACCAGCTTCGTCCTTGTACTCTTTCCCTTCCACCTTCAATTCCTCCATCTTTCTCCTTGCTTCCTCCTCAGTCTCGCTCAACTTCTCCTGCATATATTTAACAAAACTCGACCATCAGAATTTGTTAATATGGAAATGAAAGAAAATGCAACACATTTGTGCAACACATTTTTCAAATATATGAATACGAGAATGAACGATTATTCTTTATTACCTTGGTTTTCTCTTTTGTTTTCTCGGTAGTGTCGGCAGCCTTATCTTTTGTTTGCTCTGCTGTCTCGGCAGCCTTCTGCTTGGTCTCCTCTTTCTTACCAGACAAGTAGTCCATGGCTTTTCGAGCAGCGCCGGCAGCCGTGTCCTTCAGCTCGCCCAACTTATTCACAGTCGTGTCCTTCCCTTCTTTTGCTGTCTCATCTGTGTAGTCCTTGGTCTCATTGGCCTTCTCGGCTGTTGTGTCCCTGGCCTCCTTGGCCTTCTCTGCAGCATAATTTGTATACTCGCTTGCTTTCCCAACAGTCGTGTCTTTAGCATCCTTTGCTTTCTCAGCGACATAGTTTGTATACTCACCAGCTTTCCCCATTGCCGAGTCTTTTGTCTCATTCGCCTTCTCGGCGGCCTCCTTAGCCTTTTCAGCAGCATAATCCTTGGTCTCTTTTGTCTTGTCAGCAGCATAACATGTATAATCGCTTGTTTTCCCCATTGTCGTGTCCTTTGCCTCCTTGGCCTCTTGAGCTGCTGCATCCTTAGTCTCCTTGGCCTTCTGTGCTGCATAACCAGTATACTCACTTGTTTTCCCCATTGTTGTGTCCTCCGCCTCCTTGGCTTTTTGAGCTGCCGTGTCCTTTGCGTCCTTGGCTTTTTGAGCTGCTGTGTCCTTCGACTGTTTCGGCTTCTCAGCCGCGGTACCCGTGTACTCATTTATCTTCTCCCCCGCGGCGCCCGTGGTCTCTTTGGCCTTCTCTTCAACATGACTTTCATCGTGGCTTTTCCCCACCACAGCATCCTTCGCTTGCTCTAGCTTCCCGGTCACCGTCTTCAGCACCGACCCGATCACCCCAGGCTTCTCTTCATGCACTTGCTCTGCTGGCCTCCCCAGCTCATCAGTAGGCGTATAAGTAGTCTCAATCTTTGTTTTTTCTTCATAGACTCGGCCTTTGTTCACGTCTCTCAACTCATCCGCTGCGAGCCTTGCTGCGGCCTCGGCTCTCTCCTCCTTGGCTTGCCTCGACGCCATTGAAACACTCCAAATTGCACTCACAAATTTCACACCGAATTTTATCGAACACTCTGTATGCTTGCTTTCGAGTCTTCGATTTTTTTTTCTCTTTTTTCCTTTTGGTACAGGAGAAGGTGAGAGGTGGCCTAATAGTATATATAATCGGTGGAGTTTTGAGAAGGTGACACGTGGAGCCGGAGCGCGGTGTAAATTGCTACGTGGTATCGTGGGACGAGACTTCAGTACGTCGGCATGCATGCGAAGCGATGAATGGCCGTGTGGGACCTGAGAACTTTCGGTCCTTGGTCTTTTGATATGGTTGCGTTCCACGGGTCCTGGCAGGTGGCGAATTGGGCTTGTTTTGGGTTCTTTGATCGGTTTCCTCGGGTGGATAAGTATTTTTGTTTTTGTTTTTAGGTTTTTTTAGCACATTTTCTAATGAGTGGGTCTTTGCTCGGGTGGATAAGTTTTGGCTGAGAAGAATGTAGAGTTCTATTTGAAATTCCATTTGGTCTATGAATCAGGACAAATAATACGGCGTCGGCTTGGAACGTACATAAAACCCAGTCTAATTAGATTGCCCAATAAAGCCCAATCCAACAAGCTCTATTAATTCTACGTCCTTTGTTTTTTCGATCAATTGCTCTATTAGTTCAACTTAATCACCTATTATTTGTCTAGTTTTAATAAATTTATACCCAACCCGGATATGTGACTCTAAGATTTAAGTGCATCATGCGTGATGAATTCCTTTTAACATGCAATTGTGATGCTATAAAATGTCACATAGAAACTGTTTATGCAAAATGTTTGTTTATCCATGTTATAAAATTGTCTACAAGTTTCAGAATGAAAATGGGTGTACATGCCTATATTTATATATTGAGATATTATCCCAATTTGGATTCGAAGTTGCTGGTTTCATTTTCTCAAATAATTTGTTATCCCAAATAAGTTTTTTTTTCGCGAACCAAATGCCTCCCCATTGAATTTTCTCTTAAATAAAAAAGCCAAGTGCGAAACGAAGCATTTAAAAATGCGAACTGCTGAAGCGGGCACCAATAGGCAACAAGAGAATCATTCCCGTCAAACAGTCGCGTCGTATAAGAAAGAAGCAGAGTATATCAAGTGCCTACTTCAGTAGCTCTTATTCTCTGCAACTATGGATCTGGGTCATGTTCTCCACCTCCTTATTCCCTCATGGAACTCTGTAAGTATGCCTCTCTAAACCCATCACCACCTTTTCTTCCATCCCCAATTTTGTTATAGTTAATCAATTAATTGATCCTTAATATTCAGGTTGCTATACTCGCATTGTTCTTTGCTTACTTGGCCATTGCTGGATCTATATTGCCCGGCAAAGTTGTTCCCGGAGCCACCTTACCAGATGGCTCTCGTCTTCATTATCGCTGCAATGGTTTGTTTCTTTTTAAGTATGTTCATACTTGCACACACACTACCTGTTTGTTTAATTGCTTGAGTAGCTGTGGTTTAGAGAGTGTGATGTATTTTGACTTAAAATCAATTTCTTTTGTTGTCCTTGTAAGGTCTGCTATCACTTCTGTTGCTGGTTGGGCTTCTTGGGTTTGGTGCTAAGATGGATTTCGTATCACTTACCGTATGTGGTTATAACTTCATTGTGTTTTTTGGATTATTAATTTCCTTGTAGTGACTGTATTTGGGTTCATGGTTCTTGAGAGTGCTAATTAATGTCATGTTCATTTACAGCCAGCTTCCAATTTCCATTTACATATTCTGTAATATCACATGCAATTGATCTTGTTGTGGAAATTGAAGATGATATATTTGTATCTACATTTTGGTTTAAATTTGAATAAGCGTCAACTGTCATACAGAAAAATCACTTTAGTAACCCAAAATAGGATTGATGGTTTTTCTTGGAAAGACAAAAATTTGAATGCTTTTCACGTTTCATATCCAGCGTTGAGCACCAATTTGAAAACTCTGTCAAACCTGAAATGCATACTGGAAAGATGAAGGTGGTTCCATATGCATTTTAGTGCATCCTATCTCTAAACTTACAATCCACCAGCTATATATCATTCTTCTCTTTTTTGCCATGAGAGGGGTTATTTCACTTTCTTGAATATGGGTCCAGCTCCATGCAACAGAACCAGATTGATACATCATAATATGTAGCTTTGCTGTTCTCCAGGGATACAAATCTCTATCTCTCTCTCTGTCCTAAAGTTGTATAAATAAATTAATGGATGTATAGTGTTAAAAATGTTGTCATCAGTTTTTGTGTTTGTGTGCTCCAAAAATTGAATAATATTAACATCAAAAGAATGTTTGCAGGCAATATCAGACAGAGGATTTGAGCTGTTATCAACAACTTTTCTGTTTAGTGTTCTGGTAAGTCAGTAAGCAATTGACATTTAGCAGTCCACGTTTCAGTTGTAGCATTTGAAATAGACATTGGTGTTGTAGTTGGTGAATTACATGAACAAACCTTGTGCTGGCATCCTTGTTTAAGATAAAATAAAACCCTCTTTTCTTTTCTGTTTTCAACTCAGACTGACAATTTTGTGACTTAAAGTTGAGCTTCTCATGGTCTCATGTGGAAGAGCCTCCATATGGCCACCGCCACAACCTCACTGTAATTTAGACGATTTCACTCTGAAATTACCAAAGAAAAGCCAAAACTTCAGTATGAAACTAATATAATGGGGAAAATGATTCAATCATTCTGGCTTGCAAATATATAGGGATAAAAAAATACCAGCTTCCAAATAGTTTTTCATAATAATGGATTCTTCATTTACCTTTGAAGAGCCCCTGAATGGTAAAGAATAAACTCACTTGTCCGCATCCACTTTTAGTTAATCCTATGAGACCATATCTTCCATCTTCTGTCAATGAGTATTGGATCATCATTATTAAGTTGTCTTCTTTTATCAAAATTGATATATAATTGTTTCCTTTAATTTCATACAATGATAGGTCACACTGGTACTTTACGCTGCTGGCTGCAAGTCAAGCAACCAAGGTTCTTCCCTAAAGCCTCATGTGACAGGGAACCTTCTACATGACTGGTAGTTTAAACAACTTGTCTAACTTATTCCAAGCCATCTCCATTTGGTGAAATGGTTTATATCCGTATATGATATAGTGAATAGTTAAAAATTGTTTATATAAATTCAGATGAGCATATATATATATATATATATATAGTGCCCCGCCCACACTTTTCTTTACCTGCCTTATAACATTTGCATTTTCTCAATTAGATAAACGGTAGCAAGTAAAAAAAATGGTAGGAACAGATGTTATAGAGGGATTTTTGGACTGATACGTTTAAACCTTGAGTTACCAACCTATCCTAACTCCGTGCCATCTGCATGTTAATACAATCAAAAACCTCCTTGGTTTCAAACAGGGTTTGATTCAAAATCATCTTTTTGGAATACTCTTTCAACCGGTGAAAATAATTACCAAATATTAAAGATTGAAAAGTCATTATTTATGTTGTGGTTTAGAAAACGAACATAAATAAGTTAATGTCTTGATGATTTTTGTCTTCACCGATTCATAACAGGCAATGATTGACTACTTGTATCCTTTATTGTCTTAAAAATGAATTTTCAGTTCCTGTATTTGCTTCAATCCTTTGTTGAATGCATCTTACAGTTTTATTAATACGGACACTCTAAATTTGTTTAATAGGTGGTTTGGAATACAGCTTAATCCTCAGTTTATGGGCATCGACCTCAAGTATGTAATCCAGTCTTCAATATTTGTGGCATGCTTTCCATATAGCCACTCTAACATACACCAATAGAATTAGTAGTAATTACTTTTAATTTCAGACCTTATTTTATCTTTCTTGTATTATGTTTATATGAAGCTTATAAAGATGATATTCTCTTCTGTAGATTTTTCTTTGTTAGAGCTGGAATGATGGGCTGGCTTTTTATCAACCTTTCGGTTCTTGCGAGAAGTATACAAGATGGCACCTTGAGTCAATCCATGATCCTCTTCCAGTTGTTCTGTGCGGTAATCTGGGACCTCATTTGATATGTGTATAATATTTGTTTCTCTCTGTCTATCAAAATTGTATATATATATAGTATATACTCTTTAGTTTACTTGTTGTAAGTGATTGCTGAAAGTTCTATCCTTTTCCTTTTTCTTTTTTCCAGTTATACATCCTGGACTACTTTTTTCATGAGGAGTACATGACCTCCACGTAAGTGCATTACCATGACGTCTAGCTGAATCATTCAACTTAGTTTTATCCTGTGTCACCCTTTGCTTTTACATTGTCAAGAATCTTTTCTCAGTATATCCTAGGGTTCCCATTCCCCCCCAAGACAGAATCTGCCACACACATTTTTCTGAAATATGCTGAACACACGATTCTGATTTTATCTTTAGTCATTTTTTATTGCTATAGCTATTTATTTTATTTTTCCTCTGTCTTCTAGTTGTATATCCATTTTCATTTGTGTTTTTGGATATTGAGGAAAGAATTCAATAAGTTTGGTCTGCTATATTTCTTCATGCATTCTCTTTACTGTCTTTGTGATGATTGAATAACATGCCAATTTGGGTCGTTACATTTGTCTTTGCATTTTTTATTTATTTTCACATGGTTTGCCTTTTCAGATGGGACATAATTGCAGAGAGACTGGGTTTCATGCTTGTATTTGGAGATCTAGTGTGGATTCCTTTCACTTTTAGCATCCAGGCATGTCACCTGAACTACAGCTTAAATAACTCAACTGGTTTTTTCTTTCCTACTTCCCCTCATCCATATGATCAGACTGTAATACTTGATTTGGTGTGTTTGCATACACTTCTGTTTGAGAACTCAGACTGGGTGTTGTCATAGAACTGTAAAAGATAAAACATATTTGTTATAGATTCTGTGAAACAGAAGAGTGATTTAAAGCAACATTGAAACCCTTAGCCATTGTGTTCTTCATTGTTATAAATTTCTGCCTTTTTATTTCCTTTGTTAAAGGGATGGTGGCTTCTGAGTAACAAGGTGGAGTTAGGAACAGCTGCTGTTGTAGCAAATTGTTTGACTTTTCTGATCGGGTAACCTTTCCCATCAACTTGTAGTTGGCATTCGGAGCATTATAACCTAATTTCTCTGTGTATTTGCTAACATTGAACTTATAAAATCCATACTGGTCAGGTACATGGTATTCAGAGGAGCCAACAAGCAAAAGCATGTCTTTAAGAAGAATCCTAAAGCACCTATATGGGGTAGGCCTGCAAGGGTCATTGGGGGAAAGTTGCTTGCTTCTGGTTATTGGTAAGATTTACCTCAACCACCTTCTATATCATCTTGTTCTTTTCTTCTTCTCATCATTATTGTCAATTAAGCACAACAGGTCAAGTGAAATGACTTGATCTGTCAATTAAGCATTATTGGTATTTGAATCAATCACCCAGCAATGTTTCAAACTCTGAGGTGAACCATGTAATCCATTTAATTGGGCTCTAATACAATCTGGTAGGAGGAATACCTGCCTAGACTGGCTGTTGATGGAATCTTAACTTCACAAAAGGTCAAGTAATTGAAAAATGAATTAGATGATGTATTGACTTGTTATTCACTCATTCTCTCTCTGGGGAAGCTACATGCGTTATATTTCATAAAATTAACTATAACTCCTGACTCTCTGTTCCTTACATTCACAATGCTACTTACAAGCAAAGTATATATAAAGTTCATCATTCTTCATCACAACCATTTTCTCATATTCTGATTATTTTGGTGAAGGGGAATTGCAAGGCACTGTAATTACCTTGGGGACTTGTTACTTGCACTGTCTTTCAGTTTGCCGTGTGGGATAAGGTAGTTTACCTATTCCTTTACCAATGTTGATAGCTTTCATAGAAAAAGAGACTTCCATTTTTAAAAGTCCCTCGTTTTGCAGTTCCCCAGTTCCATACTTCTATCCAATTTATCTTCTCATTCTGCTCATATGGAGAGAAAGAAGAGACGAAGCTCGTTGTGCAGAGAAGTACAAAGAAATCTGGGCAGAATACCGCAAACTTGTCCCATGGAGAATATTGCCTTATGTTTATTAAGCTATCAGACTCTGGGCTTTGTAAACGCATCATCAAGTTTAGCTGCAGTGGACCTCATGCTTTCTTGTTTATACTAGAAAATGCACTTTATTCCTGACTGTTGAGTTATTTCAGAAAGAAAAAAAAAGTAGTTTATCTTTTTTGACAAAATGCTTGCACATTTAACTACTATCATGGCTCTTGCTATATAGCTCGCGTTCCTCGTCAATGTCATGACAATATATATATATATATATATATATTGGGCCGGCTGGCCCATGGTCATGGAAGTAACGTGCCCTTACTAATCTTCTTGATTCACTAATTAGTTTTAATTAATAAAGGCGTAATGAAAGAACCCAATAATTAATTGTTGTGGTAGTTGAGCAAGCTTTTTCAATTACTTTGTTTGGGCACATCAGTCAAATGCACAAAGACAGAGAATGAGTAAAAGAGAGGTGGGTGGTGGGGTGGCCCTTTTTTTGGTCACCCTTTTGTCTCTTTATATCTTTAATCGATTCTTATCACTCGAAGAAAAAAAAGGAAAGGAGGGATGCTTCTTTCTCTCTGCCTCTTTTGGCTAACATTATGGCATTATGCAGTGAAGGGTTGTACATGTAAATAGTACTACCAACAACCCCTGATGGCATTTCATTGAATAAGTGGTCCCTCCCTACTCAATAAAAGGACGAAAAAGAAGGCAGAGCGAGGGGCGATGATTTTGGACTAAGTCTATGATGCACTCATCTTTGGGACCAACTCATATAACCAGAATTGTTAACACCTGTACATGATTTGTTTAATTTTGTTTCCATTTTTTTGAAACTTGGAAATTGTAGATGAAGTCTAGGGTTACGCTACCTATCTATCTCTACTTGCCTTTCACCTTTCGGAAAGAAATTTTCAAATTACAAAATTTTTTCTAAGAACAAGAGAATTTGGATTGGAGGATTGTATGGGGTGAGATTTTAACGAAGAATGTGGGTATACATCACATTTTGTAAAATTTTAGAGCATTCAATTCAAGATAAATGGTAATAGGTAAGGTGAGATGCTATAATCACAATAAGCTCATTTTACATGTGGTGGGACTTTGAGCTAAATACACAAACGACTACCATTAATTTCAAGGTTGGTTTATTGATTTTGGAGGTCCTGTGCACAAATAAAAGATGAGGCCTTTTATGTTCAACACTCGGCTTCTTTTGTAAAAGATTCCACATTTAAGTGCTATGTTTGTTAGTTTAAACTAAAGAGGTCCACTATATGAAGATTTATTTATTTATAAGTTTTAGGATAAAGGCCAAATTGCATAAATCACACACCTAAAATACATTTTTTGCTTATTTAATTATTGGACTAAAAGGTTTTATAAGATGCCCCATTTTTCTGGGAGCCTTGTGCCGTCATCCAGGTCCGCACACTTATAGGTTAGACCTGCTTTCGAGACGTAGAGCATATGCAGTCCAACAATGTGGTTTTAACATGTAGAAGTTCAAGCTTCTCACCCAAAACCAATTAGTAATCAGCGAAATAGTACTATTGAATTATGTGGAGCACGTACAGTCCAACAATAGAGCATTAAGATTGAAATTCTATGCTCTCCAACAATTTTCCCTCTTTGGCTAACATTATTTAGTATAATCTCTTAACATCTCTGTTACGTTCCATGTTCAACTTCTTGAGCATTTTGGTTCTTGTTATTTGTATTTGCACAGACTTTCTTATGATTTCAAAGATAGATAGACTTAAGTGAGTATTTTGGTTCTTATTGCATGGACTTTCCTATGATTTCAAATATGATTTTGATTATTTGTACTTGCATAGAATTTTTTATGATTTCGAAAATAGATAGAACCAAGCGAGCATATTGGTTCTTATTATTTATACTCACATAGATTTTCTTATGATTTCGGAAAATAAACAGACCCAAACAAAGTGGACTTTCTTATAATTTCGGAGATAGACGGACCCAAATGGAGTGAGCGCAACCCAACGCACCCCAAAATCAGTAGTAAAGTTTTCTAGCGGTCACACGCAATAGCACCAAAATAATGAGGTCGAGGCACAGAGACACACAGTACACTCACTTTTAGAAAGACAGACGTTAAAGCATCTTTTACACAAGTGCTCCAATTTCGCATATTTGATTTGATTATTGAGCATCAAATTCAATACAAATTAGTATAATTTGTTTTGGTTTTTAAGCTGATAATTTATGTAATAGTATAGTTTTTTGCCGACAGAGGTACATGTGGACTTGTCAAGCCTGCTTGGAGGTACAAAACTCACTGATGCTTGAGTCAGACAGATGAGAGAGAGGCAGGCAGCTAAACGCAATGTGATGAAGCATATGAGAAAGTAGGTATGGGTACTTGTCAAACTTTGCCTTGCGTAATGGTCTTTCTTATAAGCGGTAGAGCAAGAGAAGCAAGAAATTCCTACGATCACATCTTTCTTATCTTTGTTTTTCAATTCATTCAGCAATTTAAGTTTTCAGCCTAGTTGATTTCTGAATCAATGGGTGGAGGTATTTGGGGTTTTGCCTGGGAAAGTCACGCACGCTTAATTGGACAACTTTTATTCGTTCATGCATTGTGAGTTTCGTATATATTTATAATTAACAATCATTCGTTCACGTGCAAGTTTTTTCAAACATTTTTAAAAAAATAATATCCACCAAACTTAAACTATGTGCGAACCCCACCAACCCAATAAAATTTTACACAAAGTTGGGAAAAGAGGGAGCAACGATAGATGAAATAAACAAAAAAAAGGTGGAAAATGTGACAAATTGAACAGTGAGACGGGTGCACCGTGCACAAGTAGTGCACCAATCCCACTCACATATTGCCACATTTCCACACACAAAAAACTTCTTCTGAATCTTTAGAAAGATGAAGAGGAGACACACAATGACACAACAAAAAAGACACATATTTCAACTCATCACCGTCATTTTAGAAATCATTTGTTTTCTTGGGAACATTAAAATACATCACAATACTAAAAATAGATAATAAAGATAAAGAAGAGATAAAACAAAACTGAGGGCATCATATTATATCTAAACTCACAACCATCATCTTAGAAATCATTCTTTTAAAAAAAACCTTAACAACGTCACATCAAATTAAAAGCACATGCACAAAATTTCTTAACTCCAATGAAAAAAATAGGATAATTTTTTTCTTAACCTTTCTTCGTAACTAAACAATCCAATTGTGAGATAATTTCAGCATAAAATAATTGTGAGATAACTTTTTTTTGTCAGAATCCAATCATTAGATATTAGATTATAGGGCCACGTGAGAGTGACTGAAGTTTATATATTGACTTTTTATCATAAATAGACTATGAAGTTTGCAAAATTATTAAATTTCGTTCTTAAATTTTTTTTATAATACTAATGGTCCTTGAGGTTATTCTCCACACATAAAAATGGTTCATGCCGTTGGCTTCTATCAAATTTTCTATTAAATTGCTGACGTGGCACATGTATAGAATCCACACATCCAATGGTATAGAGCCACATGATTTTAAATTCTTTTATGGTTAATAATATGCAATTGCATAATTTTCATTAACTGATGGCCTTTGTGCCTGCATTTGTATAAGCTCTTGTGACTGATGACTTTTGTGCCTCCATTATAAATGCAACTTATGGCCTTTATCTCAACCAAAAAAAAAAAAAAAAAAAAAAACAAAAATACTAGAATAGGATTAGGGGTCACAACCAAATTGTGTTATGTCGCATTATTTTGTATTCGTGTTTAATGCTAGTCAATACTAACTTGATTAGCACTAAAACTAATACAATATTTAGAATTCCACTCCGCCAAACTTTCTTCTACAATATGTCTAGCCTTATCATCAAATAACTTTTTAAACCTCAATGATTATTTCCCCCCACTTATACACTTCAAATTGGCACATCTACATTTAAAAAAGTAATGTCACATATATCACATTGGTTGTTGTTGTTTGTCTTATTTTTGCACATTTGGAGCTCATGCTTTAGATTTACTTCGGATCTCTGTGGTTCATTTCAACTTGTGATTTGGTGATAGACAAGGTGATTGAGCAGTTTTATTTACATATGTGTGTGAAATTGCTTGAGTTGTAGTAATTGCATCAACTCTTTGTGAGTTCGATGCTTGTTTGTAGTCTAATCTCTACTTGTGGGAATTTAAAGGTTGTAGTTGTAGATATAGTTTGGTGTGTAGAGGTATTTACCTAGTTTTCCAGACTAGTGGCCTTTTTGCCGGAATTCCTTTGGCCATGTGTGGCTGTATTTGGACTAATCCTTTGTGGTTACTGTGCTTCTATATTTGTAATAACCTTTTTTGGTTATGTGTATTTCTGTAAGCTCTTGTGACAGATGACCTTTGTGCTTGCATTATGAATGCAACATATGGCCTTTATCTTAAATTTTTTTTATTAAAAAAAAAAAACCTAGTATAGAAAAGGATTAGGGGTCACAACCAAATCGTATTATGTCGCATTATTTTGTATTCGTGTTTAATACTAGTCAATCCTAACTTGATTAGCACTAAAACCAATACAATATTTAGAATTCCACTCCGCTAAACTTTCTTCTACACTATGTCTAGCCTTATCATCAAATAACTTTTTAAACTTCAACCTCAATGATTATTTCCCCCCACTTATACACTTCAAATTGGCACATCTACATTTAAAAAAGTAATATCACACATATCACATTTGTTGACACTTAATCCTCTCCTCTTTTTCCTACTCGTGGATTTTAAGTAGGGGTTTTCAAAAGTTTCTCTCTCTTCTTATTTTCTTCTCTATTTAAACCCATTTAAGCAAAAACCAAGGAGAAATAAAAAAGAGAATGTTTTCTTAAGTCAAAAGTCCATGAGTCATCATTGTTTTCTTATAATACCAATGATAGTCTAAATTACAAGAAGAATGGAGTTTTCTCATACATACTATCAATGTACTATGAAGTTCGAACTTAAGATCAATGGCTTGCAAGTCAATACTATTTTTTA